TTTTTTGTATATTGTTAAATATTGACAGGTGTTTACACATATATTACAAGTACATATTTTGTATTATCAAAGCAATAAAGTATTATTGTTACTATTGCTGTTTTGTTTCTTGACTATATATTTTAAGGTTATAGTTGAAATATGTAGTACGAAATATTTTACCAATTTTAAATGTACCTGGAAGGGATGATGTATTAAAAATGTCAATTTTTTTGTTTCTTGCAAAATAAATTTCTGCATAGTTTCCTCTTTAAAGTGTTGTGTGTTTCATCTTAATTTGAGTAATCTATTTTCAAACTTCAAATTAACACAGTGATGGATAAAAGGAGTGTGGTCTGGTCACTCTCTCTTCTCACATATTTATTTATGTTTTCAATGTAGGTGCTACAATAGAATGTTGGGTTTATTTTTAAATGAGTAGTGCTCACAAGTTGATGACAGTTTTGGCAACAACTACATTGTGCCCAGCAACATCATCGGTTTAAGAGTTTTGTTCTTGATTTTCAACTCAAAACATAAATGAATACTTGAATAATTTGTACTTGAATACCAAAAAGGAGTATTGTAAAACAAAAGACACTTAATTTGGCATTGATTGTGTTGTTGTTCCATTTTTTGGGGGTAATATGAGAAAATATGAAGTGCTTCAAAGATATTTTGTACATGGACTGAGAGCGCAATCAAAGCAATTAGAAAAGTGACAAAGAGATGAAGATAGCCAGAATCGGCAGAAAAAATAACTTGAAAATGTGTATAAGACACAAGAAAAGAAGTGCTAGAAGAAAGTTATAACTTGCAATGGAAGAACACTGACTAAACAATGTAGAGATCAAGAATATGATACAAATCTTTGTTCATTTCTTGTAATTTCAAATTTTTAGAAAAAAATTCAAATCTATCTATAATTCAATTAGTCCTGTTGCCCATCAACTTTTCATATATAATGTAATCATATAAGTTCATAATGGGAGTCTTTTTGGAAAACAAAAAAAAAAATCTGTAACATAACTTGCATGTTTTTAGGAGTGTAATAAATTCATTATCAAAAATTTATATTTTTTAAAATACAAGTTCTGTTAAAGTGTGTAACAAAAGTTAGATGAGTGGGGAGGGGATTGAAGAATCTAGCTTTTATATTGTAACTGATACTGAAAGATTGATTTGGTTCCATAACTTCTGTATGTCCATCTGTGCACAATGCTTGTAGCACCTAACATATTAATTTGATGTTCTCCAAAATGGATATACCATGTTTGATCTGGCCACTCTCGGAGGCCTGCGAATTTGACGCAGTCATAGGGAAGGTAACTGTCGTCCGAGAAATGGGCATTTTAAATACTATTTTAGAGAATTGTATATTTAGTCAGTGAAATGGTAAAAAACTGCTGAGTCAGTCACAAAAAAACTACTATAATGCAAAAAATCATTAATATTAGCACTTTGAATAGAGCTGTGTTTTATTAGATACACAGCGATAAGGCTCTGCTAGTCAGCCCTTCAATGTTTGCGCAATTCAAAATCAAGTAGGGTATAATTTTTTACTAATTGTGTACTAATTTCATGTAAGAAAAATTCTGCTCAATTAAAAAACAAATGCAAACGTGTGGGGGGGGGGAGTTAGCTTGGCTTGCACCCCATTTACTAAGAATTAGCTGCATGTGGGATCGCCGACGCTTTGAACTTTCTTCGGTTGAGTGGCTTTCCTTTTTTTCTTCGGTTCAGAGGCCTCTTCATTCAGTTTAGATGTTTTATCAGCGATGCGACCTCGCCACTTAAATTTTGCAATTATTTCATGATATGGAGCATGATTTCTATCTTCGGCTTTCCTAAACTTCGGCAATGTAATTGTTTCATAAAATTGACTTCGTCAAGAGTTACTTATACGTTTTTTTCATTCAATTTATCATCGTACATATTTTTAAAATCAATTTGAAAACCACCCGACATTGTCGGCAAACATGCATTTATCTTTTGCACCTCCTGGTCACTTGGCTTTTCCTGATTTCTCGTATAAAAATTATCGTCTTCTCGATATTCTTTGAAAACAACGCTGATTCCCGCAGCCCAGATGCAGTGACCAGAACGATCGCAATGCTATGCTCTTAATAATAATTATTATTATTATTATAATATTAATAATAATCATAATATTAATAATAATTATTATTATTATTTTCACATAAATGCGGCATACGCCTTATATGACAAGTCAAGATATGAATACAATCATTCAAAAAATCATTAAAGCTCTTCTCGGAGATGTGCACTCACGGCAGTCTGACCCGGTATAGGGTCAATAGGTACTCCACTTATTTAGTTCATTTTCCATGAAAGGAAATTCTTCGTTTTCGTATGCTCGTATTCTTTGTCTTCCAAATCTTCTGTGTCTTCCTCTACATCTTTCTCTTTGTCACTTTCTTTGTGTATCTTTTCGAAAAATGTCCTTAGGACTGGAGTTTAATCAATGCCACATACGTAGATGGTATTTAGGTGGCGTTGATTTAATCCCTGACATACCAAGTTCACAGCGCCAAAACGAAAAAATACGTCTTTGGAAATTTCTTAGAATCTCATGGCCGAATCCGAAAGAGTCTTCTCTCAGCTGTGGTAGAGGTGACATCTTAGTGACAGTACTAAAAGTGTGTGCAAGTGACCGAAGTGCTCATGAATTCTACAAAATTGTTAATTGTTCTTGAAGAAACTTGTGAAACCTTTCCATTAAACACCCCTTCTATGAATAAGAAGATAATGGTATGCAATGAAGTGACAACTGTTGGGATTCCTCTTTGACTACAAAGCCAGCCCAATCTGTATAGCTTAAGTTATAACAAAGATGTGCAAAATGTAATATATACGGACAAAGACTAAGGTATTATAATGAACAGTAGAGGTTTGCTAGTAAGGTAGATTGAAGCTCTAGCCGTTTGTATTCAACCTAGGTATAATATGTATATGACATCTAATAATAGAGTATGTATATTCCTCTCTAGCAAGAAGTTAGATGATATTAAAGGAAAATAGAAACAGCAGTGAACAGAATATGAGACCTTATATTAGTAAACAACAATGAATACTGTGTAATGTGTACCCAGTGATTCCATAGAGAACAATTCAACAAGTTAAATGTTAAAAGAAGTTCTCCAGTGCCGTTTTACTAGCTGGTGTTACAAAAGAGAATCGTTCACATGTATTAAGTTTTAGAAGGCAGTTGTTGGTGCTCAAAGAATCTGTATGTAAAAAAACTTGACTATTGTTGCAAAATCCAATGGAGAAGGAAATTAGATTTATCTGTCTTCCAGCGGCATTAAAATAAGCTTTTATTGTAAAGAGGAAGCATACATTGGAAAAAATGAAAAACTGTATGTAAGATTTAATGAGATGCAGTACTGAAGGCACTTTCTTTCAGCATTTACAAAATAATCCTTAAATCTCCTTAAAATTTAAAATACTTAAAATCTCCAGCGATGAATATGATACTGGCGGATACCGCCTACATACATACACACACTCACACTCTCTCATGCTCTCACTCTCACTCGCTCTCTTACTCTGTCACACACACTCACACACACCTCTGACCACCTGTATGTCCTCGCCGGAATCCATCCTTTGGCGCCACATATCATCCGACATTATTACTGTTTTCACTTAACTCTAAACTAACCTACAGTATCTTAAAGCCACTATTTACAGGCACTCCTAACTTTCACTAAACCTCTTACTGTCATTCCCCACACTCGACTATCCCTGCTTCTTCGTCGGACCCGATGGAAGCCTTTGAAAGGGCTTTATGTAGTCTGCTGCCGTTGTAGTCAACCGCGGGCTCTCTCCTGCACCCACTCTCACCACTTCGTAGCGGTCGTTGTCTTTCTCCACAAGGACTTGGTAGGGACTTAAGAATTTTCTCTTGATCTTCAACCCTGGAGCAAACTATCGTCTACTGACCACCAAGCTTCCTTTGGTGTACATCACGGCTGGTGTTTGGAGGTCATCCCGGTGCTTCATTGAGACACCGGTGGAAGCCTGGATTGGTGTTATCCCTATACGACTCCGGTATGTGCAGTTTAAGCATTCTTGCACTTTAGGCACATGCTTGTACCACCTGTCTGACAATTTAGTGAGCACGGGTATATTCTTTCCACTTGCCCATTGCCTCGGGGCCCACCAGTTGTTACCTTCACATGTTCAATGTGCTTTTCTGCACCATACTGCTTGAAATCGGAAGTGAATGCGATCCTTCTTTCACTGCTGATATGCTTGGAGTTCACGAAAGTTTGTTGTAGCCCTAGCTTGGCGAACACTTCTCTTGTAGTTGACTTGGTCGGGAATAGCCAAACAAACTTGGCGAGTCCCTTTACGACTACCAATAAGTGTTTGTACAATTTTGAGGTGGTGATCATGGGGTCAATGTGGAATGTACTCAACGACCCATCCCCGTTGATGATGACCGTAAAATCCCTTCTCGTTTGCCTCTTCTCCGCCAGCACACAGGGAATGCAGCATTCAATGAACTGTTGTAGCCAGTCCTTCAACTTGGGGATGTAATAGTCCTCCATCTTATTTTCCAAGGGACCATTTTCCAAGTGATAATTTTGATGCATCCTTCGTATCACTTGATGCATTGAGGTAGGCAAGGCAAATACACTTTTGCTTTCTTATCACCACCACACCTTCTATGATATACAAGTCCTCATTAGGCTCAGCTTGATCACTCACATCCTATCATCCTTTCGTTGTTCTCTTCTGATGGTGGCCAAAAGGGTGTCCCTCAACAATCACGACAGGGAAACGACTCAAAGCATCCACATGTTTGAGGCGCTCCCCTTTCCGGTGTTCAATTTCACAGCTGAACTCTTCGAGGGCCAAACCCCATCGAACAAATTCTGGTGGCTGCTTCTCCTTTGACATAGTCTTCTGGAAGGCCTGGCAGTCCGTGACAGTCTTGAAGGGGATACCCAACAAGTTCACACGCAACTTTTGTGCCGTACGAGCAATGGCCGGAACCTCTAGCTTGTAAGAACCTGTTCTGCCTGAGGTTTTCAGGCTCAGGTAATGGACAAAATGAAATACTTTGTTCCCTTTGCTGCAGTACGATGGCTTTATATCCCTCCCTGACATTCGTGTGAAAGTCTGTCACTGCTGTTTGATCATATCTCTCTCTCTCTCTCTGTCTCTCGTTTTGAGTATTCGGTAACTTGTACTTTTGGTCTAAAATGTACACAGGGAGCTTAAGGAAGCGTAGCGAAATTTGTGGGGTCAGATGGAAAAGTAGGCCTCATGGCATGAAGCTCGCCTCGTCAAATAAGGCATCAATTCAAAAGTCCGAGTAAAAAAGTTTGAATCTACGTGATAAATAAAACTCTTAACACCCCTGGAAAAACGCTTCTGGACGATGCTGAGAGATATGCGGTAATCCGACTCTAGTAGTAAATATTTCGGAGGGGTCCTTGCCGAGCTAAGTCGAAGCAGGTGTAGTGAAAAGAAATGCTAGTTACTTAAATGTTTCGTGAGAAAAGTTAACATTAATGGTTATTGAATTTTGGGGGAGGGGGATTTCCCTCATCCCCCCACCCCGCGCCGGCAAGTCGAGGTCTGTAGATGAAAAGTTGTTTTGGTATGCGGCGATCCTCCATTCTGTCAAGCTATACCTTTTTTTAGATTAAAGTTAGTTACCAATTTGCTCGGTATCTATTTCGATTTTATCATGGATACTCGTAATATTCAGTTCCAAGTATATAGCGTCATTTCTTTTTCCATTTTGGAGGGTGTATCCCGCCTGAGAAATTTCATTTCAGCAGCGTCATTTCGGCTGGCTTGATTTTTTGTTAGAGTTTAATTCTCAGATCTGTATAAAAAACATGGGGATAGTCATTACTTTATAGAAATTTATGCGTGTTTCTTTGCTCGTTCCTTTGAGATTTTGCCTGATGGTCTCACTCATTTGGTTGAATTTATTTTTTGCATCATAATTATTCCTGTATGAGATATTGTAACCTTCATAGTTGACTTGCTTTAAGATAACCTCAAGTACTATCTTTACTCCTAAAGGATGTATTCCTTTGAATGCCATTATCTGTGTTTTATCAATAGATATTTGTAAATTATACGCTTTACTGGTATGGTTCAAAGAGTGAACAGCAAACTGAAGTTTATCTTCAGAATTAGGAATAATGATCTGATAATCATTGTCTTACTCCATCATCCCTCATCTTCATTGTCTTACTCCACAATTTATTTCTTCTGAATCAGGGTTCTATTTATTATTTGCCATTTCAATAATTTTGTTTGCAGCATACTGGATTGCTGTGGAACATAATTCTCTTTCATAACTTTTAATATTCAGATTCTGTTAACTTTATGAAAAGCCTTCTGTAAATCGATAGAAGTTGTGTAACATGTTACAATTCAAATTTAAAGCTTTATTAATAATCAATAAATCAGATTCAGCCGGACAGTATTGTAACATATTGCAACTCAGACTGGCTGTTCGCCTCGGGTTATAGGGATGTACTACTGGATATATCAATACAAGGTTATCGTTACTAGTTATGTATGTGAAAAATTGATATTCCCGTTTCGATAAGCTGAGTTACTGAAGATATTCAGTTAGTACTTACTGAGTCTTTCAGTAGAGTGGTTTGCGCAGACTGACGAATTTTACTTGCAGAATTATTCACTCAAAATGCACTCGCGCAGCAACAACTACATGTACTTTTAATAGTTGCTTGATACCGATGAAGATTGTTTCTAATGTGTGTAGTGAAAACATTCATTTAACATTTTGCATTAAGTCTGCAAGTGCTGTGTAGCTAATTGTGGAGGGATGTGGGAGTACAGTGAAGAGTGAAGACATGTCTATTTATGCTTGGTTAATGTTTTACCTGTACCAGTATTTTTGTTGTCAGCAGTGATTTGGTGAAACTTTCAAGTCGGCGTGTTCAGTCATGTGGCTTTCTCACGAGTAAAAGGCTATTTTAATGTTTTTATGAATATCATGTAAAGCGAAAAGTCAACTCCTCAAAGAGTATTGAATAAATACTTCAAATATTTTTAAGGGAGTGTTGTGAATTATTCCAACAAATCTCTCAATAATACTGAATAAATCTTTATTGAAAATTTATTTTCCACATCAATTACTGTGTTAGTACAATGGAAATTACCGATATATATTTTTAAACAAATAAATACGTATCGTTTACAACTTGCCCTTTAGAATAGGAGGATAGGGAAGAGTGTGGGGTTTAACATGCGAGAGTTCTCGCACTGGTACGCGGAGGTAGTAGGGAAAAAACTTGAGCTATGGCACAACACAAAGAACAAACTTTTAAAATTAACTGAAGTAAAATAGATTGAAATAAATGAATGTCAAAAATCAAAACGCGCTAGCCTACAATACTACACTAGCCAACGATCACAATCCAGACGCACAATTTCAATGTAGTCAGTATCTGGAAATCTGTACATTACTGCCCAGCTGTGAACTTATATTGTAAATAATACACCAATTGATATTAAACTTAAGGTTTCGGTTTGCTATGATATTCAATACGTAAACATTGTTTGAACAACATTCCCATGTTTTGCAGTGAAATCTAAGCCTTTGGAATTGTTTCTAATCGTAACAAATGGCATTTAGAATTCAAAGGTGAAAATATTTTTTTATCTTTTTTGGCTCGGAATTTGTAACAACTTTCCTTCTTAATGAAAAGGGTAGGGATTAACAGGCGAGAGTTCTTGCACGGCTACGCTAGTTACCTAAAATTTAAGTTTCCACTGGTAAAGAAAAATATTGTTTAGAGGAGGAGAATTAGGCAGGTCCATTGATGATAGAAACACCGGGGGGAGGGGGGTTTGCCCTCTTAAGAAAATGGTGACAGATGTCGACTAATCAGTTCTGTGCATCAAACATTTTCGTGGATGTGATATTTCACACCATGAAATGTACAAGAATGCATCTGGGAGATCAAAGGAAAGGCATAGAAGAGAACTGGTGGTAGTTTCTGGTGCAGTTGCTATTTGGCAAAAAGGGTTCTGTCTTAGGAGGACTCAAAGCAATAGGAGGCAGCGCTGTCGCCGGCCGGGGTGACTGGACCGCACTGGCAGCACGAAGGTGCGTACAAAGGCAGAAAGGGAGTGCCCAGTGAGCGTGTGCGCGCCGCTGTTGCGTAGTCAGACTTACTGGGATGGCGGAGTGAAATACGCACACCCTCTGAAGAGCGAGCGCGGGAGACAACCCAGGGTTGGATAATTATTCAATGGTTTTGGGAGGTGTGTAAAGCTAGAACAGCCATGTCAGCAGACCAGAATGAAACATGTCAAATAATTAATTTCTATTTAATTGTAACAATTTCGTATTAATTGCCATGTATTTTCGTGATGAAAACGGGTGTGAGCTGGCTTAACGCGTAATTAGCAATAAATCATTTGAGGGTTTACGACCCGAATTTCACTTGTGTGTGTGTGTGTGCTGGGTTGACGCCTCAAGCCAGCTCACCCCCAGTTTTGCCACCAAAATACATGGCAATTAATTAGCAATAAATCATTTGCGGGTTTCTGTCGGGTTACGACCCGAATTTAACGCATGAGTGTGCTGTCGTCGCTTCAAGCCACCTCACTAGTTTTCGCCATGAAACAATCAATTTCAAATTAATTAGCAATGAAATAACAATAAATCATTTGACATGTTTCAATCCCCGGTGTGCTGACATGGCTGTTCAAACTTGACACACCTGTTTTAGAGTACTGTAATGATTTACAACTGTACTTTCTTTTCTTGAAGATGTCGCTCCATCCATGGATCAAAATGAAACACCTATTGGAATATTTTTAGATCTTTCAAAAGATGTTGCCCTCACTGTTAATTAATTTTTTCTTTCAACATTACCTTCGTTTAGATTTTGTGTTATTGCTATAAATTGGTTACACTTGTACCTTAAACGATATCAGAGTAGAAATTCTGTACTAAAATGATGGTGTATTATTTACTTATCTTTCTGATCCATTGCCAATTGCATGCAGTGTCTTGCAGCAATCCATTTCAGGATCTATTCTCTTTGATAACCAATATGCCGTTGATTCGATTCTCAACTATATACATGTCCCTGAAGATTCATATATTCCGAGGAAACACATCCTGTAGCTCTCAGACATTTAGATTACAGATAAGAATTGTACGAGTAATAAGCAAATCTCACTCACGTGACTCCTGAGAGCCTTCTTTTTATTAAGCTAAAAATTCTTGCCTTGGCTCTTGATTTACGAATAAGTAGTTATTATCAAATATTGATGTACTCGAGGGTGGGAAAATATTTTCTGAGAATAGAGAGGTCTATAACCAGAACACTCAATGTAGTAATTATATTCATGTGTCAGTATCAACAGCTCATTACAAAAAATTCATATAAAATACATGAACATTATTTTACAACACGATGACACTAATAAAATCAAAACGATTTTCATGTTTAAGTGCCAAGTAAAATCTTTTTTGCTGCATAACTGTTTTCATAGAATTAGATGGATGGCCAATATGTAGGTTGATGTAAAAGAACTTAAATTAAAGCATAACTTAACAAATTCATAATATCCAAAACCAATAGTTGAGATATACAGGATGTCCAGGGAGGAAACATTGAAATTTCAAAAATAAGCTCTTAAGACAATTTTAAGCATATCTTGACTAATTATATCTTTTGAGATTTGAACAGTTGAGCTGCAATAAACACTCAAAAGTTGGTTTGAAAAAATACTTTCTATGCAAAAAATGTATTTCAGTAACAAATAAACACTCCCGAAACATGCAAATTGTTTATTATTTACAAACAAAATGAATACATTTGTTCCCACAGAAATAAAAAATAAATTTAATTGTGCAAATTGGGTGCTTTTTTATTTCTTTGTTAATTTTTTAAATATATTCATTATAAATAATAAACAATGTACATGACAACTGTGATAACATTTAGTACCCAATACGAAATTAACATTAAAACATATACAAGATAGTTTGGAAATTGGTAATTGGGTAAGAGCCTGTTAAGCAAAGGTTTGCAAGAAGTATGGTGTGTACAGAAAAAGACTAATCGAAAGAAATATATATATATATTAAAAATTATGAAAAACAATACAAATATCAGAAATAACATTCAAAACAATCAAGAACCTTTCAAATAATATGTTTTAAAATCTGCAATATATTGCAACTGCAATATATTGCAGTTGTAGTCCTATAGGACTACAATCTCTGCAGAAAGACTAGTTTTGAGATTTTCCTTATTTACTAAGAAAAAGATATATATATGTTCTGAAATGGATTTCAGCAGTAAGGCACTTTCTGAGTAAATGCTTTATCACTATATTACGTTTCCAAATATATCTCTATAAAAAGGCAAACTTGGACCTAATTATAAATGTTAAACTTTATAAAAAAAACAAAAACAAATAACTATCATTTCACATAGCACAACAAGGAAAATAGAAACAATAATACAAAAGTACATTCTTATAAAAGAAAATTTCACTTTAGACAGTTAATGCAATAAAATATTTGGTAAAAAAAACAACACTACAACAAAACCTTCATCTATGCTTGTTATTTGAGAACTTTCCTTACGACTTTTTTCAGCTTTGTCTCATAGAGGTAGCACCATTTGGAAATTGAGAACAATAAGTGAAACTTCCATTAAACAGAACAGATAGTAAAATGGAAGTAACAACGTGCAAGCTCAAGCTTTGATAAATCGAAGCCAAGTATATAAGATTATAAATCCATCCATGGTCAGATTATGACATCAAAATGCCCTTTTGGACATAGTGGTAATCTTCAGTGCCAAAAGTGAACTGGTAGGTGCAGCACCACTACAGTACTGTGCATTTTTTTACAAAACTTGCTGCTAGCCACAACAGACACTTAAGATTCAACCAAAATGAAAAAAAGGGCTTTTTAACATTAAATCAGTTCATGGTTGGATAATATAATTTTTCTTTATTCCAAGATCACTATAACGTTACACTTTCTGATATTTTATCAAAGATTTACCAATTTTAACAGAGATGTAAATGAATTGTAGACAGTAAGTGAACACCATGCTATGTGCCAAAAATGGAATTCAGAGATAATTAAGTAAAAACTGTTTCAAAAGGTCAAGGGACTTTACTGACGTGCAGTCCACTGGTGACAATTTTATCACCTAAGAATGAAAATTGCAGATAGCCCATTTTACACTGTAATGTGCTTGATAATTACCATGCTTATCAGCACAAAATCAGCGCAAATTTTCACGTTTTGGCACCTAGCTCAGGTTTTATTTATGCTCTACAATTATTATTCTAAATGAGACCAATTTAATGAATCACCTACAATATTTGCAAATTTCCTGTAGCTTTCGTGCATCGCATCTAATGTCCTGAAAAATTGAAAATTTTGTTTTAAACATATGATAATAATAGTGTAAAAATGAAATTGGTTTTATTTTCATGCACACTTACAAATGTCTGAGTTCTATATTATCTTGGATGATGGTTGATGTGTCAATGTTTGATGACACAGGTAAAGAGGTGGTGCTGACAGGAATGCTAGGTGTCATAGATGATTCTGACATTAGTTGTTTCCTTTCTTTCAAATTGAACTCAGAATCCTCCAAATTAGAAGGGTTAAAATGCAAATTGGTCTTGACAGACATTGGTTGAGTTTGCAAGTTATTATCCAGTGTTTTCTCTGGTACCTTCAACAAAAACAATACGTAGTATGTAAAACCACAAATTCCAGAGATACAGAAAATATCTAACAAATTTAAATAAATCCTAAATTAATTTGTAGACTTGAATAACGACACTTATTCATTAGAATAAGTGATAGAGATATGATAATTCTCTAGTTAGCTTGAGAAAATCTTCAGCAAGATCCTATATTTTCTTTTAGAATTGTATTTATAATCAAATTATGACACAAGGATATTTAATTAACACACACATATCTTCATCAAAACATACTACTATTTTTTAAACAAGCACTCCTTAAACAAGAGCATGTCTTTAAATGTGGGAATTTAGAAGCATAATATTATCAGTTCATAAGAAGTTGGTTCAGATATCCACTATGTAGATATCTGAACTAATCTTTGTTGTCATTATTATTTTAAGGTTTACACATTTGGTTATTAAATAACATGTATGAAAATTTGTAATAACTATATTCCATATTTGTAACTTTCTTTCTTTTTATTTTTTTTAATTTTTTTTTTTACTGTGTCAAATTTACTGTGTTTTTTGTCCAATAATAAAATTTGTTTTACTTCAATTTGTGTTTAGTTCTAAATCACAGTATTGTGTTGTAATGTGTTGTAGGAGGCTGCCAATGATTTTTTTCAGTTCACTCAATGATTTATGCCAACAGTATCACGGAGACATCTGCATACTTGATTAATTTGGTGTTTTCCTGGGGTCTTAAACTTTTAACATAAACAATGTAAAAAAAAGACCAAGTATTGATCTCTGTCATACCCCTCCCTGCATTGTGATGATATTTGATCAGAGTTTCTTTGTTATCCCATCTGTAATACATGTTGTCTCTGTACTTGAAGACCAACCACAATAGAAGTCAACAGTTCTAGAGCTACCCCTCTGATCTCATATCTTTCTAGTTTGTCTAGCAGTAAGATGTAATTAACACTATTGAATGCTTTGGACATATCCGTAAATAGAGCTTCTACTTTGTACCCTTCATCAAGTAGGCTTGTTGAATTCTGTAAGTGCCGTTATAGTTGACAGACCTATCGTAAAACTATGTTGTTGGCTTGTTAGAATATTGTTTGCCTCGAAAAATTTTACAATTCTGTTTAGTATGACTTGGCTATTACGTTTGTGAATGCGGGAGTTAGGGCTATTGGCCTGTAATTTGAGACTAGATTTCTTTTCACCTTTTTTGTACAATGGTTTTATTATTGATAGTTTCAGTGTTTCTGGAGAGATACTATTATTAACAGTGTCACTGATTAAATACGTTACTGATGTGATAATTGTGTGGATACATTTTTCAAGTAATTCAGATATTTCATCCCACTCTGGCGATTTTTTTATTTTTTAGCTGCCTTACTATGCCTGACTTCTTTAGCATGTCAGATGTATTGAACTAGTTATGTTTGGGTCATCTATGCTAATTAATTTATTTGTTAACCTGTTTCTTGTAGTAATGTTTGGTTTTAATATTGTTGAAAAATATGTTGACCAGTTTACTCACTTCTAAAGGATCAGTTATATTTTTGTTACCATCTGTTAGATTGATGTTGGAGTTTGTGTTTGTTGCTTTATTTTTGTTTACTATTTTCCCTATATTTTTATTAATGTTGTTTGCGTTATTTAGTTAAGTATGTAGGGCTTCCCTCTTGTCAGTGAGCAGTAGTCTTAGGTAATGCTTTTCTTGTGTCCTAGTATTTTGATTGAAATATTTCTTGGTTAGTTTTTTTGTAGAATTTATACCATGTTATCATTTCATTATTTTCTTTTGTGTTATGTGATAGCCTTATTTTTTCTTTATTTTTGTTGTTGTATGTCTTATTCTTAACTGGACAATTATTGTGAAAGATTGTTATGAATTCCATTTTTCATTACAATCAATGTCAAAGAGAGATGACCAATCCGGGGCTGATAACGCGCACGCGCACGTGCACACACGCACACACACTCTTATACTTAAGTAGAGTTTGAAACGAAATAGAAATGGAAAGAAAAATAAAATAAAATAAAATATGTAATCTTTCTATAATTAATAAGTTATAAGTAACATTATGTTCAGGGGTTTATACCATGGTTCATCATCCTATAGTGAGCTTCTTTGAAAGTTCGACTATTTGGCGGGGTAACAATTTCTTCTGGTACACAATTCCAGAATTCTACAATGCGATTTGATGTTTATGCGACAGTTACGTTTTTGGGAGTCCTTTAAATTTGCCTTTGGTTAGTTTAAAACTCTGACCTCCCTAGTGGGTATCGAAATCAGGTAAAGATTTCTTCTAATTCATGTTATTGGTAAAACTCTCTCCTTGAGAGGAGACAGATTCAATTCTCTCAGACGAGTATTGTAAGGGAGATTTCTCAGACAGGATTCTATTTTGGTGCCTTTCCGCTGTATGTTCTCCAAAGATAAGATGTCCTTATTGAAATAAGGGTTCGAAACGATGCTGCCTTATTCAATAATTGAAAGGAAAAGAAGTTTAAATGATTCGCCAACAAGTTCAAAGGCTTTCCTCAGGAGCTAAAGTTTTTTATTTGCTGTTTTAGTGATATAATTAATATGTTTCTCCCATTTCAAGTTGCCAGAAATCATTGTCCCCAGGTCATTGATACTGTTTTCCAGGTTCATTCTCTGTTCTTTTAGATAGTACGGTAAACGAAGGGTTGTTTTTATCAATGTGGATTACGGAGATTTTTCCACATTTCAGCTGAATAAGCAAGGTCTTTGTAAGTCTGCATAGTAATGCGTCTGCTAGTAAGCGGGTTGGCTGATTGAATGGAGTCGTCAACAAATAGCAAGATCATATTTGGGAGTGTTTTGTCGTTATATAATATGGCAACCCCTTATACTTACACTGCATATACCAACTGATTAAGAGAAATCAGTGCATCATTGACACAACTGACGTGATGGGTCTGCAAGGAAGAGGCTGCTCTCATTCAATATTTGTTATTTATGAGTGGAACAGCAATTTCTCTGATATTCTTGGTAAGTAAAGAACTGTTTTACTGAGTATCCATATATACCACACTATATTATTGCAGAATTCGTGAAGATTAATATAGTTCAAATATTTAATTTGTTGCAGTATACTATATATGTTGTTCTTGAGCATTATGTCTACTATTTTTTGGAAAACCGTTTTGTGTTTCATTCAGCAGTAATTTTGCTGCTGCAGGCCACTCGTAAAATTTTAAACGTTACACTAATCTCAATTAAATTAACTGAAATGAACCATGTTGATGTGTCCATTGGGTAATGAATGGCTGTGGAACATCAGTAGACTGGAAGTTATTTAAAGAAGACTAGGGATTGTTTTTGTTTTTAACTAATTCTTTCTTGGCAAATGAACTGACTAACTGACCAGCAAAATGTCTTGTTGATAAAAATGTTAAAAATCTATTGCCTGAAGTCTCAATATTTTCTTATTCCTTAATCATAGTTATTGTCACTATCATCTTTCTTCTTCTCGTGTATCATTGTTTGTTTGTTTCTTTCTTTCTTTCCTTTTTACCTCTTCACATTCTGCATTATTTTCTGACTTTTTAGTTTCCTCTGAAACTTTTGTGCATTCTGAGTTGTCTAAGAATATTCTCTTTGTTCCAGATTTTCTTCAACTATTTTAAAGGCCTCTCATTATTTAACACTACTTTCACATTCTTTAAGAGAATATATATGAAATTCTTATCATTTAATGTTGGTGTGATCGAAATGTGAACGGCAAATTTGTTTTTCTCAGTTCCAACATTTCACAGGTAATGTAGGAGACAGCAACAAGTTTCGAAAGTTTTGCTATCATAGTATTTTTATGATACTTTTCTGAGGTTAGATGTAGATTGCATAATATAGATGTGAATTTTTTCATTTCCATCTCTTGCAAAATGCAGATTCACACACATTGGCATTAAACCGCGAGTCTGTGTTGATCGTATCATGTAACAGAATCTCCGCAACGATTTTTATTCATTTTCACATAGTGTTTCACTTGATACAATACCATTCGTTTGAGGTTCTTTTTTTACCGGTTCATTAAAAAACATTAATGTAAATCATCTGGCAAATCTGTGGTGGATGCCGAGAATATGTGCTTGAATACAAATACTATAGATGTGTTAATTTTTTATTCTCTCTGCAGCTTATTGTTACGTTAACATTTACAAGTTTTATGACGTGAAAAAGCAATGTCAAAATATGAAGCTCTAGGTTTAATCTGCAAATATAAGGTGACCCCATATTTTTCTAAAGAGATATTTAGGAAAAACTTGTGTTATATTCAGGTCAATGCAGCAAATCCCTTGTCACTTAATTGTATTTAAATCCCCATCTTATAAATTAAAAGTAATTTACTTCAAAATCCAGCAGGCAATGTTTTTAATATTGCACTTACCACTAAATTCCACACATCCTTCTGACGATCCAACTGACATTGGCAGATTTTTAACCTTAGTTCTTTAACTTTATCAATGCATTGTTCTAGTGGATGTAAAAGATTTTCCATTTCTATTTGCAACTCAACAACTTGTCTGAAAAATAAACAATTAACGATAGAAAAATGAAGTTATATACAACGGTACATTTATGTGTGATTATGCAAATACAAATTTTTGGATCAGTATGTGTAAAACCTTTTTCCTTCTTGCTTCATGATATACCAATTCTGTATGATATGGACTTGTACACGATTTCTTGATCTTCACTTTTTCTCAGGAGAGAAGTGGAGTATTCTAAAGTAATGAACTCAAGTATACAGTATAGTACAGTAAATCTGTCTAAAGCAGAATTGATTGGGCCAATAAAAGTTCCGGTTGGGGAAGTTTCTGTTTTATGTAGGGTTGTCCATTTAACGACACTTGTGATATTGATATTTACGTTCTGAAACTAGTAAATTAATGTAAGTAAAGAAGTAATGAAAGTGAAGTAAAAATTACATGATTTTATTATGATTATGATAATAATTTACATATACCGTATTAATGGAAGATATCAGCAATAAATAAATATTAAACGTTCTTCATTGACAACTTCTGAGTTTCTCTTTCTTTGATAAGATTGACCTTTTCATCTAATGTTAGAGAATGTTAGAGTTGTATGGTTTTCGCATATGGCACAAATAGAAGCCATTGCCTGTGTACCTTCCCAAGCTCAGAGAGAGGGAGCGAGGGAATTCTCCTATGGTCTGTGCCTTGAGAGGCAAGTGACTCCAAGGTTGAATTCTATGCTGTCAGCTGAAGCCCCTCTCCTTCACACAACAGTTGCCCCAACTAAGTGCGTGGAATAGAGAATTTAAAAAAGACTTGTAGACGTATTCATTACATTAAGAATATCACTAGTCTTTGCCAATCGCATTTAATTTACAGGAATTCCCATTTATAAAGAATTTCCCACCCCAGAGGACATGAGAAACCGTTCCGTTTCAGTGTTGGAGAGGTTCCGTTTTATGCTGTGTAAAATACCATATAACTTCACAGGCTAGAAAAATTTTCCGTTTAAGGTAGGTTTCCGGCTTGTGCAGGTACCAATTTAGACAGATTTTACTGTACAAACTTAAGTGCATAGGCTTTCAGACATAGTAAATGCTTCCAAGTGGTTAATCTCCTGTTGTTGTACAGTATTAATCACTTTTTTCCACTTCCAATTTAACTTATAGTTTTGATTAAAAATCAATAGAGTGAAACCTCCCAATCTTCAACCTTCTTTAAAAGTATTTTTTTCTTGGAATTAATTGATTATTCCGTAAGACAAGTGTAAATATACCTCTATCCAAGCATCGTCCTCACTCCGCAGTCAGCGGCCAGGCATATTTCATAGCATGACCTGAATTAAGTAATCGCCTTTAGCAATTTTGAGTTGTAGTAGAATAAGATACAATTATATTTAACTACGTATATAACTTAGTGTCAGTGATTAACAAGATAAATTATTACAACTCCATCAATGGATTTGCGGCAATTCTAGCTTCAGATTTGGATTCAGCATGTAGACATAGAAAAATATGAGTGAACTTGTTGGGTCTGATACCCCCCCCCCCCTCCTAGCCAATATTATTTCAGTGTTTTTTGCGGTTAAAAAAACTAGATGGTGATGCTACAATTCCGGCTTCAGATTTGGATTGGGTATACTTAAGAAACCTGTGCCAAGGTTTTGGGTCTGAAAAATTTTGTTTTTGTGTACCTGTGTGCCTTTGTTTTTGTGCTTTTGGATCATTATTTTAGTTTCCACTACATAATGGCTACAATTTACTTCATGCCCTAAAATGTACCAACACTTGAGTAAAAGGAAATAAAAACAAAAGTTATTTGGATGGGAGAGCATTATGATTAAGTAGAAAGAAAATCTGAAACTCACTGTAAATGAATATTGAATTCTTTGTCTCTGAGAAGAATATCACGCTGCTTCAGGCAATTGTATACTACTTTCACCATTTCAATGCTATCTGATCGCTGAGATCGGGCTTCACGAGGACGCCTCCGAAGTTGGTCATAACATTTTAGACCTGCCTCCATTCTGGAAGAAAAGTACATTACTTATTTAAGTGCATTAGATTTTAAACCGCATCTTGCAATTAGCTCAACAAACTGATGTAAATTAAAGAACGTTTGTTATTTCATTGCTTAAACAACACAAATTTTAATAACAGAATTCAATAAAGCCACTAGAAAAATTATGATATACATACAAGTTTTCTTTCTAAAAACATTTTAAAGGTACTTTTAATCCAAATTATGAGCTTTCATTAACTTACAAAGTACGTAATATGTTGGGCTCATGAATTCTCAAATGAGGATCAGATTGTAATGTAGCCATTTTCTTACGAATGATGTCACAACGTCCCTGCATTTCACTTGCTTTTTTGCTAACGTCAATCATATCTGAAGCCAACGAGTTACGGTTTTGAATCCATTTCTGTTGAATACTTTGTGGAGCTATGACAAAAATTAATACAAAATTCACTTGATTAAATGTATAAAATTTCCAAAAGCAAATCTACAATTAAAGTTGGATATCAACTTACATTTTTTGACCTTCTGAAGATTCTGTTCATCTATTTGTAAGGACTGCAAACTTAAATACTGTTCAGCACGAGCTTGTTGTAACTGTGTATTCAACAACTGAGATTTTTGTTTCAAGTGCTCACATTTTATGAAAATATGCAATCTACAATATCAATATAAAAGTAAACAATCAAATCCAACAAATAGACAAACAATCCAACAAACAATCTCAATTTAGTATCTTGCAATTTAACTTGAAATTGTTATTGCAAACTCTATTTCCGTAGCAGTGGTTTTCAATTTTTTTAAATATAATGCCCATCACACTGATTAAAACTTTAATGTAGTCTCATGATACAATGTCCTTAAAAATAATATGATTAAAATATTGGAATCTGGTTAAACTATAACTGATCTGAACTATAACTGTTTTACTTCCTCGTGTATATATATTTAGAGTAATATATGTATTATAGGAAAAATTATATAATGCTGCTACAAAAATTGACAATTTTTTGACGGAAAAACTCGAAGTGTACAACTATGATACATAAAAAGTGGTTAATTAAGTGGTCTTGTTCCAACAGATAGTAAATTACTTCTTCTAACAGAATCCATAATTTGTTGGTTCTTGATGCAGAAAACTTGATTATGGTAAAATCCTAAACGGTTTGAAGAAACTTTGCCATAATTAATAATATGCACTGATCTTTCTGAGCTATCTCCAGGCCCAGTGAATTCGAAAATAATTCTTTGAATTTTGGGGGGACTTTACAAAATTCTTCTGGGACATTTCTAAAATATCTCAAAACTAGCTTGAAATTTTCTCTTTACATTTCTTTTAATAATTAATACTTTTATAATCATGGTATAGGTCCATTTTTTACTGTTAACTAGAAATTTTTTTAAATTGCAAAATTTCAAAAATTTTTGAACCCCTCTAACAACAGGTTATCGTAGACAGATTTTTTCTTCAAATTAAATTCTTTCTCCACAACTAGTTCTTTAATGTACTTTTAAAAAAAAATATTTGTCATTTTTGCACAGTTTGGAGTAAAAGAGGGGGAATATTAAAAACAATTTTTCCTTTAAATTTTTTATATGGATAGTGCTAAATGCACTGAATTACATGACATAAACACAATGTTGATATTTTCTTTTGATATGTCAAAAATTACATATATATGTATTTTAAATTTTTTCTAATGAAACTAATACAAGCACTTGTTTCTATTTGTATACTAAAACTTTACTCTTTTAGTTCTTGTAGGAAATTTTACGTTACTGCATTCATTTATAATGTAGTGAGTGATGAAATAAGACTAAATAACCAATATGTTCATTATCACAGAAAATACACTTAAGGAAATTGGAAAGCTCAAATCAGATTGAACCTTACACATATGCAAAATTCAAGGCTCTATATTTTGCACCTGGTTAGAGAATAACTAGAATGAATGACAATGAAACCTTACTTATGAAAGATAGTAGTATGCTAAAGTGATCTAATTTTATAAATCTTGCAAAGAATATAATTGTGCAACTATATTTTTCCTTTTTATTTGTTGTTAATATGGTATATTTTTGATAATTGCTTACAAGATTTAAAAGTTTGTGTTGGGTAGTAGTCTGAACTTTTTATGAACAGTGGATATTACTATAATCATATAACTTACAGTTTCACAGTGTGCGAATGACGGAAAGTTCGATAGAGTTCACACTCCTGTTGAAGAAAAAATACAGCATGTGCCCATGCACGTTTAAGGTGTATGTATTCCATTGGAACCCTTGGCTCTTCCATCATTTTGCTAACCCTTGAAGGTATTCTTGGAGTCACTTGTGGTATGCTAAATTGCTTTAATCGGTAGATATAAACCATTGGAGTTCCATCCTGCAGACAGTCATCCCTCTTATCTACAGAAATTGGTAAGTAAGCTCTTACAACAAACAATCTAATTATGTTTTTAAGTTTGATAGAGTGTAATTAAGTTTTAATAGAGAAAACCTTGAATTTGCTGTTTTGACAATGAAATGCATTATTTGTAAATGTTCTGTTCAGCAGTAAATAACTTTTTGTCATATGTCACTCAAATGCAAAGCTAATAGCTATATTGGAATGTAAGATCAAAATATGTCAGAATTTAATTTCCAAGGAAATTACCAAGACTGAATTCTTATCAAAAACTGAAAAAATTCAAAGAATGAAAAGTACCTCCAAAATTGTTCAACCTTCAATCAATATATTCTGTTATTGTTTTGTTCAACTCTCTATGATGGTAAGTCAATAAATATCTGCTCTCAGTGTTCATAATAGATTACAATGCAAAATTTACAATGAGACCCCCATTTCAACATGGACATTATTTTTTTTTAACATACATGGTCCATTATAGCACCAAATTTCCAATACCTAGAGAGAAAAGTATTTTGGATGGAGCAGAATGCCATGTATGCACTTGAAGGCCAGAGGCAAATCCTTAGCCTCTTAAATAATTTTTAAGTGCACCAAACAATTGGGAATTAGATCTGACGAGGTCAGAATTATATCCAGGAAGCTATAATACCTCGAAATACAAACTTTGAAGGGCTTGGGCAGTGGCGTTATGTGGGTGAGTGTCACAAAAAAAGAATGTCTTCACACAATTCATCTTGCCAAAGTCATATGCAGAACATGGCTAATGTGGATATGGTTTGTCAGTTCATCAATAGTCACTAATTAGTTATTCGGAATCAAGAGGATGTACTTGTTCAATATTGGGATCAGGAGTGGCTGGAAATCTTACTCTTTTCGCATTCTGCATGCTATTTTGGCTGCAGTGTGGATAAATCCACTAAGCTAAACTCTTAGCCAAGTAAAAACATTGTGCTGAAAGTCTTCTCAGGATTTCAGCTTTTGATACACGTTAAGATCACAATAAACAGATAACAAATGCCTGTTCTATTTTGGTGCAAATAGAAAGTGGTGCACCCATATTTTGTGTTGTGACAACTCAAGTGAACATTAGGTGCAGATACTTATTGACTTACTCTCATATAATGATGATAGCAATACTTGAAAATGTTTTTATAAAAATGATGTGATGATTTCATAAGTGTGTTTTGAAAATATTATAACTAAGCAAATAGAATACCTTCACATTTTGGGCTATCCAACACTGACTGGCTTCATTACAGACATCCACACTTTTCCCGTTGGCAAGTATCAATTCTTGTTCTTCAACAGGGATTCCTGTATCACGTCTAATCCACTCTTTAAGTGTGGATACAGCAGTTGAATCATCAATTTCATAACTCCACTTTTTGTATGTAGTCACACAGAAAAGTTGAACAATCTATTGCAAAGTACAAAAGAAAACATTTATAGTAATATTTTGGTTTAATTTTTGTGTCTTAAATAATTACATAATTAACAGTTGAAAACACAATACCTACAATAATTATTATTTTACTGAACATTGTGATAAAAGTATCAGTAATTTCTCACCTTTTTATTGAATATTTTTTCAGCCAAATCAAAAACCATAACTTTCATGTCTTTATTTCTTCCTCTTTTCTTTGGATCCCACTCCAAGAGAGTTTTGAACCACTCTTCCATGTGATACTTCAGAGTTCTAGAAAATAAAATTTAACGTATATTTTATTACTTATCATTGGCAAAGATTCAGACTCAAGACCATCTTTAATGGGTAAGAAAGCATTAAGGCACTAAAACAAAACATTATGCAAAAGAGGTAGGATTCCATGCAGTATAAAATCTAATATTTTATATAAATGTTATTAATCTTAGTGATTGATTGAATTGTCATCTCTTGAGTTTCATTGGAGCTACCCACTCCTTTCTAAAGAGTCCCTCCCTCGCTTTTGCTCCAAAAGGGGCAAGAACATCCAATTCAGTTTAGCTTTAGAATATATGACACATTTTTAAAATTACTATTAAGTAGGGATGGATTTTAATGAAATGTCATTTTCCCCCCTTTTCACATTAGACCAATGTCATTTACTATAGAAATTAATTTTGTTTCGACAAAAGGAAATGACCCATTTTTGTGTCATTTTTAGTTGTTGTATTTTTCGTAATTTCGACTTATAATCAATCTTTTTTACCCTTTTTGTGTCAATTTTGATGCAAATTGATATCATCAATTTTAATATAATATAAATAGTACTAGCTTCAAATAATATTTAAGACATGCATGTTCTCTACAGGACTCCTGAATAGCCTATTCTATTTCTTTGCTCAGAAATTGTAATGATAGCCATTGTATATTGGTTTCTGTGCCTATCAGCACCAATGTCGGTTCAATTCAAAACAATTTAAGACAGATTTCCCGGTAAAGAACAGTCCAAACCAAAAAATTGTGTGCTGAATGCACTTGAACAAATAGAAGAAGCCTTGATTACATCAGTAAAATATTCAATTTGAGTTGTTCATCCAAACTGGTTTTAATAAAATTTTTCACATTCTTTTTCTGTGATGCAATACAGTTAACAATGTGTCCACCATTTTGTCAGCAAAGGAAGATGATCAATTTGTAAACAAAATTTGTCTGGCAGTTGCTAAGCACGTTCTGCTCTCATCCTTTGTCTTACGACTAACCTTACACATTGGCATTGTGATTTGCAACACTGAGTGCCATTTAGTGTAAAAATAAATTTATTTCGCGTCAGTCTTCGACAATGCCATACCATCTTTGATTCTGAGAGAGACACAGTCCAGTGCAGGTGCCCCAAACACAAAGCTCTGCTCTGTGCTGCTTCTGTTTCCCATGTGCAAGTGGGTTAGCAAATATAATTCTTCCAGACAAGGAATAGGCTACGATTTTTGTATTTTAAAAGGGAAGAGTAAACACGAACAATGATCTGAAAAGCTATTCAGTTTCAATAATAACAAACAGATAAACAGTATTTCCCGGTTTAGATCAATGCTGATGGCTCACTCTAAAAATTGCTGTACAAGACAAAATTACAATTACTAATGCAGAACATGACCCAACCCATAACTACCATAACAACCTTTACGCAGTGGCAATAAAAACAGGTCCTATCTGGCAATTGAATGAGCAGATGCTCACGATACTGCACTCTCCTATTCCTAATACATTTCTATGAAGCTAGACAGAATTTCAAGAATCTATGGAATTATAACTTATAATAAGAAACAATTGAGATCAAAGGTATGCACAGCACTTGCACATCAACTACCAGGAGGTTAAAAAAATGAAAACCATGTACACTATATTGGTTGGTACAGCTTTCAGCTCTATGAGTATTTGGCTGTAATTTATATTCGCAAAATATTACTTCTTGATATCTTAATTACTATGGAAAACTAATGTCTATCCTCTACTTAAAGTTCAAACGTTTACTGTCGTACTAAGTCTTAATAACTTCATACGATCACCGTCTGTTATTAAAACCAGCATGTCATCAACATTTCAGATAGTGATAATGAAATATTCACATAATGTAAGTGAAACGTATCCAACATCACTGCAGCAGATATTAACCAACTGTAAGTAAATAATCAATAAAAATTCCTTACACTGTAATGTGGTTCTCAGGGAAAATTTCTCTGCAAAATACAATACTTCCATCTTGATCTTCATAAGCACTTATATCATCAGAAGATTTGTTTCGTATATGATTCATCCTTTAAAGAAAAAATATCATTTTTATTAAAATTATGTTTTGAAAATTAGCAAATATGTTATTTCACACTTCTAAAACTCAATTTTCCTACAAATCTCATTCTTCTTAATTCAATTTGTTTATGTAAATTAAATTCATTACATTAATCAACAATTGAATACCTAAACATAACATTGGATGTGACAATTTTATCAAAAGCAAAGTTTGAATGAAAAAGCGTTGAAAGTAGAAGCCTTCATATTACAGTTTGATCACTTTCAGGAAAATTTCACTTCATCAGTTGGTACCATAATGTTTATGTTCGCTTCCATGGAAAAACGTTGGTTGTTGTATTCAGATGGCTGACAATAGCAATTTGAAGTGCAAATTGATTGAAAGGTGCAAGAAAACATGTCGTGATTCCAGGAGAATGGAAATGTGTCCTTGCAGAAGCTTGTGTTAGCTGATGATTTGAAATAGAAGAAATGGCTCAAATGATTTTTCATAATCGACTCTACTATGAGGCCAAGTCTCAAGATTATTGAAAAGCTGTCACTTCAAATTTCAAATGATGGCCAAAACTCCATTAGGGGTAGGTGGAGTCAATGTTCTGGAGCTATGGTCACAGCCACAAATAACCAAGTTTGGATCAAAAAAGGGCCACAAAAGTGCCTCCTCCACTGAAGGAATTTCCACCAATTCAAGTGTAAACAACTCTTATAACAATCACTGCCAAAAAAAAAAACAAAAAAACATGATCTGCTCACTATGTGCCCTCTATTGAAGCCAAAATACAGGCAATTTTATTACTCCTTACCAGCACCAGTAGTGGTGAAGAGTCCACTGTGTCTCTTCAGCCCAAGGCTGGAAAACAGTAAATAAAGGCAACATTACCTTGTGCATACACAGGAAACTTAATCTTTTATCCATTAAAATGATTACTTATAGCTTTCTCAATTCAATTAAAATATATGCTGGTTCAAACGAATCATTTATAACATCCAACATTTTTCCATGAGAAAAACTGAATTGGTTCCATAGGAAACAAAGTCACATCAAACTTCTTCGATTGACAGTGCAACAAAACACAAAATGTTATGAAATATATGCTCACCAAAATAAACAATATTGTTTTGCCTGGCACAATATATCTAAAATTATTGTAACAAACCAACAAAGGTGCACATGCACTCCATAGGGAGCCAGGAGGCCCTTGTCCTGAATTGCGATTGTAATAGGCTATTAACAATAATTATGGAATGTGACCGGAAGCTTGTAGAAGTTCCTTGCTCAACATCACTTTTAATAAAAATAGTGATTTAAAAAAAAAAATCCAAAAAATAATATGATTTTTAAAAATTCCAATTTAAATATTCACATAACATCAAATTTTTAGATATCTGAAAAAAAGAAAGAATTAAAGGGCTCAATAGAACAATGAGTTAATTGTAGTTCTATTGTAGTTCCTAGTTCTGAGATAGTAACGTTTACTAGAACTTTCATGAAATAACTCAGAAACCATGGATCAGTATAATCTTACTGGGCTACTACTTTTTTATACATACCAAGACAACTTTCTGCAAATAATGAAAAAAATATTAATGTTTCATTAAATTTTCGAGGTTTACATTAATTGTTCGTATTTCACCAACATTGGTTCTGTTCTTTAAATACCCTCTTTTGCAAGAAAAAATACTTAATTAGTCCAAATAAACATGCATTTTGAGTATTATAATTATCCAGTTTATAAAAATTACAAATCACAACATATTTTTCACCATTTGCAAATGATGCTAATGTACAACCACTCTCTTTTGCAAGGGTTAATGTCAACGCATACTTTGTATGGCACAAACTTTGGTATTTTAAAAATATATTGTTTTCCACTTTTCCTCGCCTTCTTTCTAATATTTTCTTTTTAGTATTCTGGATATATTTTGCTTTTATTTGACATTCAAATTTTAAATCATTCTTTGTAAAATTTACAATAAATTATATTTTTGATTTAAATCAATGATCTTTTTGGTGAATCATGTGATTTAAATCACTTAATTTAAATCGTCAAAACCCTGCTCTATAATGAATGTTTTTCATCAATATTACATTCTCTTTGAAGGTTTTTGTAAACACACCAGATCATATTTTTGACTACTATTATGGCTGCCATAAGGCATTTGGAATGAATGGAATCTGTGGAATTTGTGGAATCAGAAGAGTTTCCTGAGTGGATGACCGATGTTCTGAATGTCAGTGATGAGGAATTATATAATGATGAAACAGGTAATGTTGGTGGCATTGATACTGACATAAATATTAACATTTCACTTTTAATAATTTTTTCAACAAATTAATTAATCACAAACATGTAGTTAAAGTACTACCTTGAAAAATTGAAATAAACAATTTATGAAATCCAATATAATAATTATTTTATATATTTATTGTTATTTAATATATTATACAATATATTATTTGATGCAGTGGCGAGCTAAAATTATCTTTGTTCCAGGGACGACAAAAATTTCAAAAAAAATTTGGCCTTGAATAGGTAAATGAAAAAATTTTCTACACCCAAATTTATTTATCTGTCAATTTTATGCAGAGGTAAAAGTAAGATCCTTAATAAAATTTAAAAGCTTTTGCACAAATATTCACAATTAAAGAAATCTTAAATCAAGTAATCTCTCCTTGATTCATGCCTTTCACCCTGTTATTTGCCTCATAAACACTTATTCCCCTTCATTTTTTATCATCATCATCATCATCATCAATGTCTAGACCGAATGGCCTGTTCCGTCACCAAGAAGATCATCTCTCTATCTTCTTCTAGGTCAACCTGGAAGGGAGTGCGTGGTGGAGGAACTTATTTGGTAGTGTCTCAGCAATCATTCTTTGGATATAATGGAACTATTTCTCTTTTCGTATTTGGATTCTTTTTATTGAGGTTGAAAATTTTTAGTTCGCTTTGGATGTCTTTGCTTCTTCTGTGGTCTAGAAACGTATATATACTGCAACAAATCTTAAAATATATTTTCAGCAGTCTATCTGAGTGATTCATGCTCCAATTTTCGCAACCATATTAAAGTACAGGAACCGCTACCACCTTCTAATTTCATTTGTGTGCTCTCTCTTACTTTGTTCTCAAGCTTTCTTTGGATTGTTCCACATTGCCTGAAATTTAAAGAGTCTTTCTGGATGTCATTCTTCTCGCAATACGAGGTATTATGTCCGAGGTAGTTAAATTCTGACACTTGTTTTAGTATGTTGTTTTCTACAACTATTTTGACCTCAAATGATGTTTGCCCACAAAAGTCATTACTTTAGATTTCTGTGTAGATATCCGCAACTCAAAGTTCTGTAATATATTTTGAAAGGTATAGATGTCATTCTGCAATCTATCCTCGAGTTTTCCAAAATAACCTGATCATTGGCAAATAAAATTGTTCTTGTGCCTTTTCCAGAAACTCTAATGCTTTCTTTTGATAAATATCTCTGCCATTCCTTTATGGCTTTGTCAATATATAAATTAAAAAAGTGTAGGGGAGAGTGGGTTTCCTTGTTTTACTCCTCTATTTATTATTGCTTGTTTTCTCGCAATTCTTGTTCCCACATTAATACATATTTTATTATTACTAGACAAGCTTTTCATAATTTTATCATATGGTTTGGAATTCACTGAATCTTAATTTCCCACAACTTTTTTCCTGGACACAAAGTCGAAAGCTTTTACAAAATCAACGAAGAGAATGCAGGTAGGGAGTGTGAATTCCCTAGCCTTCTGTATTAACTGCTCCATTACAAAGACACAGTTTGCACATGATCGTCTTCTCCTGAAGCCACATTGTTCTTCTCCAAGAATAATTTGTTAATGATATTCATCCTTCATGTTGTAATTTTAGCATAAATTTTGTAGGCTGTTTTCCCTGTAGTTGTCACAATTTTCTTGTTTACTTTTCTTGATAATGAGGGATATCATGCCCACTTTCCCTTCTTCTGGTATTTTACATGTACTCCAGCATGCATTTAGAAGATACAGAAATCTTTCTTTCATTTCCATTGACACATATTTAAAACGTTTTATACAGATTCCATCTATGCACTTTTTTATTCTTCAAACTTTCCAATACACCTAATTCTTTTAGCTCAATTGGGTCTACATGTGATAGTTCGTCCTCTCCTTGGTCTATAAGTTTGAGTTCTCCGCCTGGATCTGTCCATAAGTTTTTATAGTACGTTAACCATTTTCTTCAGAACTCTTTAGTATATTTATGCAATTATTTTGAGCCAAATCCAATCTCAAAATTTTATTAAGATAAACTTATTTACAATTTGCCAAATTTTTATCAGACTATGATTACAACTACAAAAAATTGAATGATTTTCTGTTAATTTCATCCACTTATTGATATTCTATTTATTTCATATAGTGTGATCAATATTATAAAATTATTCTATAAAGCAATGTAATTTACCAAGCCACAGGTGCCATGTGAGGAAGAAAAGGTCGCACTCCTGTAATAACTTCATGTGAAACAAGACCAAGACTCCAATAGTCAACAGAACTAGTGTATCTGCAGAATATGAAACAATAATTTACAATTTTATATTTATAACATTTTGAAATTTACATGTACCAATTAATTTAGTACTAAGATTTACATACGCTTTGCTCATAAATAATTCAGGTGCCAAGTACTGCAGTGTTCCAACAAACGAAGTGCAGATGCTACTTTGATCCAGTTCTTTAGCATAACCTAGATCAATCAGTTTGTAAACAATCTAAACATAAAACATCACAATTAGAAAATATCACATAACAAAAAACAATGAATGCTTTTATTAAGAAAAACTTGTTTATTAATCCCTGAATGGATCTGTTAAGTAAACCTTTAGCAATGATCAGAAGTAAAATGTAACTTTTCAATGAGCATACTAATTTAGTTTTATATAAAAATTGAATGAATATACCAACACAAAACAGTAAATTGGAAACCTTATGTAAAGCTGAACTTTCATCTTCGACTAAGTAAATGCCTGGTTCTGGGAGCAACAGTTCTGTGCCTACAGTATTTATAGATAATTATTAAGGCTTGGGTCCCAGAAACAGACTGTTTTGAAGTAATATAGGCAAATTCATTATTCTTTTAATAATTTTATGCTGCTTTCTTTAGTATGATTAATATTCTCCAAAATGCTTATCATTTAACAAAGAATGAATTTTTATAAAAATTATTGTAAAAACTTCGTTTTTTGGCTCTATAAAATACTCATAAATGCAAAATTCAAGTCTTTTGGTGGATTTTTAAAAACATTTAACTTGCACAACTCACTTAAAAACAATTTGTTGAGATACTTTCACATACAATAAACTTCTAGATTACAATACAGACAAATTATTTTAAAAATATTAAAAATGGACCATACCCTACTTTCATTTTGCTGAAGAACAATATTTTCTGGCTTTAGGTCTCTATGTGTTATCTTCATTGAATGCAAATACTGTACTGCATTCTTCACATCAGATATAAGCGTTCGCACATCGTTTTCTTGAAGGCCACAACAGTTCTCTCCACGATTTAAAATCTGTAATGAAACAAAACTTGACCAATATCCTCTGGGCCCACTTTTCTCCATTTACACTTGCAAGTAAATAAGTAATCGGTATTCAAAGTAAAATCTTATAAATCACCAACTTTTTCCTTTGGTAAACATGCCTATCAACAAGTCCAACATTGACAACCGCTATTCCTTAATATACTAAAGATGAATCAACACCATTTTTCCTACATACGCAAATGGCATACTTCCCCGCTAACTAATCCTGATGGTCAAATTCTCCCATGTTTTTTGTTGTAAATCTTTATAAATTGTGTCTGTCTGTCTCTCTCTCTTTATATATATATATATATATATATATATATATATATATATATATATATATATATAGTAACGGTATGACCTGCCGTGAATTTAGCATCGAGAGACTTTGGTCGTTTATGGCTTGCCGCTTTGTCGGCAACCGCGCACCCCCGCCGAGCACTTAGGTCGGGTAACCTTCTCCCCACGCGACGATCAAGAGGACCGCCTGCAATCACACCCACTTGAAGGAAAGGTTTACGACCTAACGGATTTTGGCGCACGTGCAACCCCGACGATCTAGGTCACAACGACATTTTCGCCGACCGCGGAGGGACTGCGGCCGCGGCGCTAAAGAACGGAAAATGATCGTCTGTTGCGTGGATCGTCGAGTTATTGGTCGAAGCTCCGTTCCGCTAAATTTGATTTCAGTCAATTAGGATACTCAGAGAAGAAGGGGGTACCAGAGCTTTCGTTATGACAGGAGTGGTGCTCCAAAAAAGATTCAGCACCGGTTCAGCTCAAACATTCACTCTTGAGATTTCGCGAAGAGAGACATAGTTTCTGGCACTTAGAAATTATTTTCACTGCCCGCGAGCTGTACTCGCACGTCAATGCCAGTCACCGGTGCTCAGTTGCACTCAGCTACGTGCCATTGGCAGGCCTAGCCCGCACTTCGTTAGTGGACCGTCCGCGATCCCTTGATTCAGGAATTAGATCCAATCATTCATTGCCGACGCGAATCGTGGGTGCCCGACGGTCAGCGTTTCCCCATCCCTGGATCCGAGCAAACGGAGACGGGCGCGGCGACGGTCTTGGCTGCAGCTGTCCGGGGCTACCTGCCCCTACCCGTTGTTCAACACCACCAGCCGGGTGTTCTACTGGCACATTAATAATCACCAGCTTTACTCCCGGTAAAATGCGGTAGGACATTGAGAGAAGCTGATGGACAGATGCCATCACCATCAGCATTCATTGCGGCCCAACCAGTTTATTTAGTTTGTGTCCAGTCAATCCAAATTAAAAGAAAGGTCGCATGTGTAAAATTTGTAATTTCCATGTAATATCTTTCACCCATGCCGTCATTTTAGATATTAAATATACTTTGTTAAATTTAATACATGTATTATTGAAAACGACATCCCCGCTTCCTAAAGCCACACAAGGGTTACGAATACACTGTGTGTATATACATAGAGAGAGAGAGAGTCGAGAGAGAGATAAATAAAAATTTAATGCATTAATTTTTCTTTCTGAACAAACATATTCATTTCTTTTGTACATAATAAACAATCTACATGTTTCTAGAGTGTTTTTATACTTTTGCAATGTAAATTTTTGCCTAGAAACCATTTTTTTTTATACCTAACTATCTTAAGTACAGTGTTTTTTATACAATTCTGTTGATGAAATAAAATAACAAAAATAAAGCATTATTTATTAATTACAATATTGCAGGAAATAAAAAAGAAATCAACACCAAAACATAGATAGTATAGCACCAGCATTTATTCTGAATTTTACAAATAAACTTAGCATATGAACAACTCTAGAGTGACAAGACAGAATTCCATGGTTGACTGAAGGAAACAAGGTGATGCTTTGGGGAATAAAATAGGGTGTGGATGACCAACATTAAGGAAGGACAGTAAGGAAGTCACACCAAAGCGTAAGAAAGTTGCAGCAAAACAGTCGCAGAATTGGCCAAAGATTCCCCAACAATAGGTTTAAGAGGAAAAATTCATTCACACTATTGTGTCAGGATCTGACCATTTGCACCATGCCATTCCGCAGACAGTGCCGGGAATTTAAAAATAAATTTCCTTCTTAGACAGGTATTAATCACTTCACATTTTCTAAAAACCATTCTGTTTCCACATTAAGACAGGTTCCCAGCTTATAGAGGTCATTTTCAGGTACAAATTTGTTCCCTTCAGAGACCTTTCTTCTGTTTAGGATAGCCTTCCACAGTTTCCGCCTTAGACTGGTTTGACTGCAGTTTGAAACACTGAATTTCATTCTTTATATCACTTTTTTCTCAAACGCAATTTTATTTTTTGTATACTTTACATTCACAAGTTTTCAAAGTAACCGATAAATTGGTTTTGATACTATATAAAAATATCAGAACATTTGGAAGCAAAACATTTGATAAATAACATATGGTAATCCTAGAAAGGCAAAATGATTTAATGTAACTTTCTCTAAAAGAGTTTAAAATTCTCTGAAAAAGTTTCATAGTGAAGGTCTGAACAACTCTCTCTAAAACGTTTTCATCTTTGTATTTTTTCAAACAAATTTCTCAGAAAACCAATTACTACTATTGTAAATTAATGGGAAAGTGAATACGCACCTGCCTTAAATCTCCTTTAGAGCAAAACTCCATACAGAGTAGCGGAAGTTCTGATCGTAAAACAGCAAGGTCTGAGGGAACTTGAATAGCTTTAACTACATTAGGATGTGACAACCTTTGCATTATTTCTACTTCCTTAGACCATCTTTCTTTATGTTTTGGTGTCAATAGATTGTCAGTTCCAGAACGACATTTTTTCAGGGCTGAAATCACATGCATATTATTAACTATACAAATAATAATAATAATAATAATAATATTCTTAGAACAGTGAAAACAAAATTTATAACAAGAAATAAATGCAAGCCAACTAAAGCAATGACACAAAGACATTAATAAAAGTCTACTTAAGAAAAATAGTTATTTTAAACAATGCATATAATCTTATTCATGATAGTTGCTCCAAAAATATATCTTACCAATCATTTCTTCTCGGTGTTTATGTTTCCATAATGTAACAACCCCAAAACCACCACTCCCCAATACCCTTTGCCTCACCCAGTTTTCAACCTCTTGAGGTTCTTCAGCAGCCATGGTACTCAAAAATAAATCAGCGTTAATAACGTGGATTAAAATAATAATTCATTTATTACTGACAGCTTAGTGTTCTTCGGCAACTTCAGTCTGTGTTCAGTTTTGGTATACGATAATCACCTACGTTTTCCTGACTTCCTTCAGCTTTCTATACTCCGATTTAAACATAGAAGCACACCAACGTCACGAGCTGGAAGGAGAGGGAGACATTGCTATCTAATTGGGAGCTCTAATATCAAGAATTTAAGACGTAACGAAGTTCTGGATTCGATGACAGTGTACCCCTCTCCACATAGCTTATGATCTGCAAGTGCCATAATATTTAACTGGGATTTTACAGTCATACTGTTTCCTCTTCTAATTTCTCCATAATATTCTATTACCAACGTGCTAGTGCTCACCGAAATTACACGACCCATATTTCTTGTCTACCTACATCAGTCCTCATTCAGCTCCAATCGCTTTACCGCACATAACTTGTATTGTGAATTAAGAGTACTAATATACTACATAAGATTTCTATAACTTGCAGAACATGTGATCTAATTTTAATTTAAAAAAAAACAGCTTGAAATGGTCTAAATACCGAAAAATAAATTATACTTTGAATTCCACACATTTCAGAAATATTTTCTTCAATTCATAGTATTTACTACTGTATTTCAATAATTGTATTTATTTAATACAGAAATAAAAAGAATTTCAAAGTGAATAGTATTGTCAGTCAACAATTGATTTTTTCCTTTGTCCATCTAAGTATGATGTACCATAGATTAACCATAGTTGTATCATAATTATACTAATGTATTACTATTATTATTATTATTATTATTATTATTATTATTATTATTATTATTATTATTATTATTATTAAACAGTTATTATAGTCGCATCAACAACTGTGGTCATTAGCGACTACTTTAAATACAGCTTTACAATATTAATATGATAACTTTACAATATATTACAGTATATATAAGTATGTAGAGACAGACATTATATGAAATTCTTTTTGTTACAGTATTATACTTTAGTTAGAGTTCATATGTATACTCTTTGCTTCCATCTCCACCAAAATCTTCCCAGCATTCCCAAGAAACACGGGAGGGGATTCGTAGTGACGCCATTTCTCTTTGCGTTGGCCAGTTTGCGGGAGACCGGCGTTGTGGTTGTTGTGGAGGTGCCATCTTTCTGTAGCGACGCTTACAAGATGGCTACGTTGGAAGAGGCTGGCGTCTCCGCGTTGGTTTACGATTATTTGCTGAAGAAAGATAATTCTTTAGCACAAGCTTTCAAAAAGAAGACAAATGCGGTAAGTTGAATCGAGGCAGCCGTGTCATTCTTCATGAAATGGTTAACTTCAGTTGTCGCGTGTTGTTGCCAAAAAAACACGTGGGATGCGGCTTTAACAAAATTGGGTGTAACAAAGCATTATTATAACTTCAATTTTGTTCAGAGCTTGGTTGCGAAAACTATCTCAAATTCAAAAAGGTCTTCTTTTTGTTTCGAAAGAGTTTGTATTTGTAATGTGTTAAATCCACGTGGGACATGCATTGCCCACTTTTTTCCGTTCTTTTATTGATAATTGCAAAGGCGGCTTCTGGCTTTTTGATTGTAGATTTATCTAACATTAACTAAATATTTTCTTCTTTTCTATTATTAACTTATCTTATTTTCAGAACATTTTGCCTAAAGGTTCGCCGACACTTGGCGATGTCTTCAAGCATTACCAAACATCATGTCCCCCGAAGAAGAAAATTCAAGTAAAGCCTGTTTCCATGCAAGCAGATAGCTCAGACTCCAGTTCAGGTAATGAATATAACATTTGTATTTTGTTGTGGGAAGATGGAACTAAATGTTATTGGGGCATGTGTTACAAGTATTGCAAATTTCAAGCTGTTAGATTAATTGGATTTACATGAGCAGTTTAATTTTAGTTTTGAAGATTCTTTAAAGTTCGTAATATCAACGAAAATCGCACGTGGTTATTAATTTAGCCCCTACTCTTCCAAATGATGTATCTGAAAGCTAATGTCCTCGAGTTTTGAAAATTTTCCCTTAGTTGGTAAAGGAATTTACATTCCTGAACATAATCAGTCTGCAGTTTTCGAAATGCTTTTTCTTTTTATTACATGCCTTAAGTATTTACTGTGAAACTTGATTTTTTTCCTGTCTTATTAAGGTTTCAGAAACAATTTTGGACAAATGTCGGTTTTCATATAGTTTTGATTGAAATTCAGCTTGTTGTTCTGTAGCAGCAGCTGCACCTATTTTAACTTGAATGAGAACAGTGTGGTTAAGGATTTTTTTTTACTTTGAATATGAGTTTACATGTGTAACTGGAAGACTGGTAGTAATTTGTGTGCTGGCAACTTCAAAGTAAAATACTAAAGCATGTTAATGTAAAGTTGATTTTGATTGAGTATTTTGATAATGATAGGTGCTTGTAGATTATAATTAGGAAGATCTAATTAGTGAAACTAATTCAAATCCTTACTAAAGTCTAAATAATCAGGCGTGTTGATTCGCTACACGACAAGTTGAGTAACTAGTATTTTTATGCTTTACGCACATTCCCTCATTATGCAGCTACTCGAAATTTAACTTCTTTATTCTCATGTGTGGAGAATGATTAGGTCAAATTTGTAAGATTCCCAATTTCATCAAAAAGTTGTCTGGTGAGCATGTTGGACATCGTTAAAATTGTGTACTATGTTAAGACTAATCACAATCTTGCAAATTGCTTTAATACAAGATTCCCCCTCCTATGTTACCAATGTAAACTTTTTAATATTGGTGACCCATTGGGTGGTATGAATAAAAGTAAGCAATTTCTCTTTGCTCTGAGTTTCGGAGATCCTTCTCAGTTCCATATGAATAAAGTGGGTGAGCAATTGCTCAGTCTGAGCACTTGCTCCATCTCTGAGCATCCTCTCAACTGGCGAGCAAATGCTCAGAATTGGTATGAATAAAGTTAAGCGTTTACTCTCTAGAGTGAGCACTTGCTCCAAAATTTCGGAGGGACCTTAGTATCAGACTCACGTTTGAAAAGTCATGTTAAATTGGCATGTGTGTGGTTTTTTCTTCTTTTTTTTTCTTTATATACATATATTATATATATACACCGTGGGTTGATATGCAGATGCAGCGGACTAAAAATTACAAGATAAGGCGAAATTCATATTGCATATGAATACATTTTCAATACGCATACGTTTTCATACTGCATATCTTCTATGTTTATTGGCCATCGCTCTTTTCTACTTGGAATTTTTCAGGGCACTGTTTTTTCAAACTTTGTAATGTTTTGTTTAGGCCACAGCGTTCCTCCGAAAGTCTCTTTTCAAAAATAATTTTATATTCGCTTAGCATTTCGGCAAAAACTAGCTGGGCCTCTGGCGCCTGTTTTTCGTTACTTTTACTCATATTCGAATTTAAAGAACAAGACATTGCTCTTTATTCCGCACAAGTGCGCGCGACAGGTGTAACCTCTTTGTTGCTCAAGAAACCAATTTTTAAAACTCTTAGCCTGCATTACCACTTGTTCACGACGAGCAAATGCTCACGAGACATGAATAAGTTCTTCAAAGACTTACGAAGTTTTTATTCATACGAAATGGAGCTTCTGCTCAGTGCCGCGGAGTAGACTCACTTTGCTCCGGAGCAAGTACCCCTAAGCAAGTGCTCATTTTTATTCATATGACCCGTTATCTCAAAATTTATTGGACATACGAATTTAAAATGTTTACTGTACGTTATCTGTACTATTGTACTGATTTACATTGATAACAATTGCTTGGCAGGGAAATAGAATACTTTTTCTTGGACCTCCATTTATCAAAGATTTGTTAAACTTTGTTTATAGAATTGAAACAATTACCAACTCTTAAGTGTAAATTCATTGCTTTACATCACCTAGTCGAGTAATATATAAAGGAATCAATAAAATGGGTTAAATATGGGGCATTTGTACTGAAAATGGTTTTTAAAAACTCTTAACTTAAAGTTTTTATTATAATTTACCCAGCATATTTGTTGTATTTTGTGTAAAAGCAACCTGCTCTTGATATTGAGTTCTGCTTGTTATTTCTGATATCTAGAAGCTGTTTTCCTTGCTCTTTGTTTATCTCAATGGTTCAATTCTGGAGTTACAAATTTTATTTTGAAACGTATGTTCTGTTGTACATAAATTGTTCACCAAGTCTTTACGATTAAACACATTTCCTTTTTTTCACAAGCTATTTAAAACACCTGGTTTTGTCATTTGAGTTAAACTCCAGGCTATCATGACAGAAAAACAATACCACTAAATTGCACAGAAAAACAAGATAAAATGAAACTGAAAACCACAGCCTTCGGGAGTCTGTGCACAGTTTATGTGAAACCATGGAATGTCTGTAACGTCAGCCTGTCAGCTGATGTACATTCAAAACGCTATAAAATAATTCTATGAAACGCTTTTTCGATGAAAATTTGTCAAAAATTCTCTAGCTTATTAAAAAACAAAATTTGGTATTTTGCAGTTGGAATCTCACCTTAAGTAATGCAATTATTTTTGAGACAAATTCCCACCTGGCTGCTGTGGTCTGTGCCCTGCATATATACATACTCACAAACATAACAAGCAATCGTGTTAGTTACAGCTTTTGTAATGTGAGAACAGATAGACTTATTTCTCAGATTGTTTTATTCATCTCTGCCCCCAATATTAAAGTATTAAAATATCGGAGAAGTTGACTAGATGTAGAACAAGGCTAAATATTCATGTCAAATGTAAACCACAATTCTCTGTAGGATTTTTGAATCTGTATTGTTAAATAACTCTTAACAAAAACTAAAATATTGACACCAAAGACCTCAAATAAACATTTCTCATACTGTTATCTACAGGTTGAGATATTTTTGATCCTGCTATTACATTTTTGCAGAGGGAATGGAGGAAAGTAAGAGAAACTGAGATCAAAGACTGCTAGATTATGGTGGATATTACAAATAAAAAATTACCCTTTGTTTTTGCATCTAGTTACAAGTGTTTGGTAATTTGTCAAGCCTAATATTTTTTCATCTGGATGTTAATTACTAATGAACATATAGGAAATTCTTTAAAAAAATACAAAAACAAGAAATTAGATCTGCAATATTTTTAAAAACACATTGTGCAAAAAAAAGTCTCTGAATGTGTTGGGAATGGAGAAACTACTTATGTAGAATTTTTCATTGCAATAATTAAAACTAACAATAAATGAAGTTGCAAGTCATGGATTTAAATAATAAATTGATTTTGTAATTAAAAAAACTCTTACCCTTATTTCTGTGTTTAACAAGAGGCTGGGAATGTCCCTCATGCCACAAACTGAACTGCATTGTGTGGGATTAGAGACCCACTGGTATATGAATTAAAGTACATCTCTGTGAAGTGTCATTGGTCTGGCATTGTGACAGTCTGATATTGCAAGTTGGTTGCTTTGATTGCAGAATCAGAAGATGAAGTTCCTCCCAAAACAACTGTGAATGGAAATGTTCAACAAGGAAAGAAAGCAGCTCAAAGTGATTCAAGGTAAGTTTGTAAATGAACACTAACGTAATAATACTAAGGCAGTACTTGGCCACAGAGTTAAAATTTTCACTAAATGCAGTAGTACTTCACTAAATGCAGTTACTTCTAATCACAGTTCAGATTATCTTGAAATTTCAGAGAATAATGTATTGAAGGCAACTGCAAAGGTAAAGGTGTTTTGGTAACATAAAGTTCTGCACTTTGTGGGTTTTTCTCTTTTTCTTTTCTTTTTTTTCCCTCTTTTCTTTTTTTTTCCTCACTCTTTTTTTTCTTTTCTTTTTTTCTTTCTCTTTTCTTTTTCTTTCTATCCTCCTCCTCCTGTGCTGACTTTACAAGTGTTTATATTCTTACCTAGTAGTGGTGTAGTTTTTTCTTGTTCTTTTTCAACATCTTTACTTATGTAAATCTTTCTGTGATAATGTTGAAGTAAATTTTGTGCTCAGAAGCAAGTAAAAGGTAGTTGCATTAAAGTATACATAGTCTGTGAAACTGTCTACTTTTAAGGTCTCAGTTTTTCACTGAGGGACCTGCATGCACAATGCAACAGGTACATGAAACTTTTTAGACTGTAGAATGTGACCTTAAATTCTGTGTACAAGAAGTATTAAAAAAATCAGAGGCAAATAAATGAATTGATTAAATGCAGGATGACTTTTTTTTCTGGAAAAACTATGAATTCAAAATGCTAATATATCCAAGGAACATGTAGGGGTCATGTCAAAATTAGTGCTGGTGTCACAGCAAGTACATTCTCACAGGAGTACCAATTATGTTAAATTATTAAGCCATATGCCTGTGTGTATTGACAAATCTCAACCATCTTTGTAAACCTCGTAACTTGTAGTGCATTAGGTGTGAAAATTTAATTCATTTGAAGGTAATACACATCAATGCACACTTGTCAATCCCAAACTATATTCGATATGCCCCAAAATGTTACCCAACTATGAGAAGTTATGCTGAGAATTTCAAACTGCTATATCATGGTGTTTTTTGTTCTTGTATTGGAGGCTAATAACTCAAGTCTACTGAAAGAGAACTGAAAGATTCTGGTGAAAGATGTGACAAATTCAAATCTAGTCTTGAAAAGTGCAGAAAATGGAGGATATTATAGTATATAGTAGAAGAGGATATATTTATAGTTTCAGAAATCAGCTTTTGCCAAAATTGGGACCAGCACCACTTTGCAGTTCTGTATTATATGGTAGAATTTAAAGAAGGAATTTGGAGCTGTTTTGAGGAAATGATTGTGTGAAAAGGCCTATATTTCACACTATATGTTAACTACTTGTAATATTGGAGTATTTGCAAAATTATCCATGGCTTTATTTTGAGATCTATTTTTGATGAACAGATTTCTTTCAGAGGGAAAACCCGTTTTTGATATTGTAGGTGTATGTCAATGCTGAAAAAAATGTTGGTTTTGTAATTTTTTAAACAAAATTCAATAAAAATGACTTGACTATTTTTTAAAAAGATTTCTTTACAGTACTTGTTGTAAAAGTTTAATAAAATATTTTAAAAAATTGAGAAAATTTTGAAAGGGTTGTTGGGTCATAAAGTATGTACTTAATGATTGCACATGTTGGAAGTAGTAAATTTACTACACTTACAAACCAGCTTTATCTAGTTTTGTTACAAGGGCCAGGCATTAGGAGTTTTTGTTGAAAAATCTTTGTTGCCACAGTATTAGCAGATTTTCTCTATTGTGTATGCAACCTACAAGAAAGTAAAATATTCATTTGACTTTCACCTTAACCCTGGCAGAAGAATATATTGATTTGATGCAGCAATTGTCAGCAATATTTTAAAAGTTTTGGAAACGGAACATCAATACAGTGGATTCACTTACGGTGGTAATGAGTTATTATCCTGCTATAATTCTGGTCTCCCAGGAGTTGTCTGGGTGATACTAGGGAAGTTGAAGTCTCCAAAGATTATAACTAACTTGTGGTTTACACTTATGTCGACACCTGTATAGACTTCATCTGATAGCTTCATACTAGGATCAGATGTTGCTGATCAATATATAGTGCCTATTACAAACTGCATTTCACACTATCTTCAGCCAGAGTGCTTAAACTTCTTGTATACTCTGGGTTCTCATGATTCTTATGCATGATGTACTATTGCTACTCTCCATCCTTGCTTGTCCTGTCTATCGTAATAAAGATTATAGCCGGAAATATTTATCGGATAAGGTAAGTTGGGCTTCAACCATGTTCGTTAGGATATTTGGTTCAACTTGAAAACTGCAAAGATTTGAGTTCAGGTGACTGATGGGCCCCCTGAAATGGATAGAACTTGGTTACAAGCTATTTGTCCCCAGGTATTCATTATTAGTACAGGGTTGCATTTCATTAATGGAAGTTTTTCTGCAATTCATTATACGCTTTTGTTACAGTGATTCGGAATCTGACTCAGACGCCGCACCTCCGCAAGTGAAAGGAAAGAATGTTCCAGTAAATTCCAAAATAGCACCAGGAAAAGGTCAAGCAACACCTGGAAAGAAAACTGCTGTTCCTCAGAAACAACAACAACAGCAGGAAAGCAGCAGCGAAGAAGATAGTAGTGAGGAAGAAGCTAAACGTTAGAATAATTTTTAATTTCTCACAAGTAAAAGTACTAAAGTCATTTGCATATCGGTTTTACAGTAGTGTTTGTCTTTTCAGCTGCGCCACATGGAAAGAATGTTGCCATAAATGCAAAGCCACAAGGTACCTCTTTGAAGGGTCAGGCCACACCAGGCAAGAAAGTTGTTGCTGCTCAGAAACCACAGCAACAGCAGGAAAGTAGCAGTGAGGAAGATAGTAGCGATGATGATGATGATGATGAAGAAACAAGTTAGTATCTTTGTAAAAAACCATGTGCATCCGCTTCAACAGTCTTGCATCACATCTTTTTTCTGATACCATTTGAGTTTTAAAATGAACTACAAAATTCATTATAAACAAAGGGGTCTGCTAATGAAACTACGTTTACACGTACGCGTAAACTGACAATTGATGAATGACTTGGCAAAACGTCGAAGTTCAGACACAGAGTTCAGTGTCAGAGTAACAAAAGTATAGGGATGTGACAAATTATTTTAAATGTCATACCAATGCTATTCTTGTATGTTGAGAACTATGTTGCTTCTGAATATACACCTGTACTCTGCATTGACATTGCTGAAATAGTGCAATGTGTTGATGGGCATGTCTGCATGTAAGAGAAAGGTGGAGATTACTTTGGAATTTAAAAAATTACACATGCTAGTGCCAATTTTTGTAAAAATTCAGCTGATGTTGTAAGATCCAATTCACCAAGTTAAGATTCTAACAATGAAAGTCTTAAATGATGGTAATTCCAAAGTGGCGGTGTATGCTAAGCTCTGGAGTAATATTGGAGTAATTCCATTGTGTAATAACTTATTGGTGCATTTAACAAAAATATGGTCTAGCACAAATCATTGCAAATTATTATTTTTACTTAAATGTTTCAAAATCAGCTTCACATATTGGACTTATTTAATAAGAAATGTTCTGGGCTTAATCTTTTGGGGGAGAACTGTGCTTTTTGATTGAGAAACAAAATATACTAATTCTTCATATGAATTAATTGGCTGAACCTAATTGGTAGCAGTACTTCTTAAATTAATGTTGTACATTGTTGTGTCTTAAATTAGCAACCCTGAATCAATTGCATACATTTACAGGAAATGTGTATTGTAGGATTGTCTTAATAACATAAGATGGGGGGGGGTGAAATTTTAATCTGTTGTACTGAAAGTTCATATTTCATAGATCTATTTGTCACTGTTCTCTGTACTTCATTTTCAGCTGCACCGCTTCCAAGTAAAGGAAGTATTGGCAAGCCTCAGGCCACACCTGCTAAAGGCCAAGCCAAGCTCACTAAGGGTCAAAACATTCCTGCAAAGGGTCAGGCTATGGCTGGCAAGAAGGCTCCTGTTCCTCAGAAACCACAGCAACAGGAAGAAAGTAGTGAGGAAGATAGTGATAGTGAGGAAGAAGCAGAAAGTTAGTATCTGGTCTGTTGATTACCTTGTGGTTTAATGGTTCTGGTCACTTGCTAAATTGTACAAATTTTCAGCAACAGTGAAGCTGCAGCAAAAAGTTGCACCTGCTAAAAAAGTGAAAGATGAATCTTCAAGTGAGGAATCGTCAGATGAAGATGAGCCAAAAGCACCAGTAAAAACACCAGTTAAACCTCCTGTGAAAAAGGTGACCGTGGCCCAGAAACAGGAGAGTAGTTCTGAAGAAACAGACAGTATGTATTTCAGTAATTTACTTCTGATTTGCTGTTAGTTTTCTCGAGCTCTACAAATTAGGTTTTGTAGGTAGTGAAGATGATCAGCCAAATATTAAGGCTGCCAAATTGAAGGCAGCGACTCCGGTTGCCAAACCACCACCACCTCAGAAAGGCACACCCTTTCCCCAGAAGAAAGCAGCTGCTGCAGCAGAATCAAGTTCAGAGGACTCTGATAGCTCTGAAGAGACTGGTATGGAGATGAATGGCAAAATACTAATTTTGTCCAATTTATTTTTATAGGCCTGGCTTAATTCCCCTAATTCTTTCAAGCCATTGTTGAAAGAATTTAGAATTTAAATGACCCTTTAGTAGCATAGATAACCATTAGACTATAATTTTTAATGTGTGTATTAATTCATAATAATGTCATTATGACATTAGCTTTAATTGAATGATTATCCTTCATTTCCTTCTCCTTATTCCTAAGAAGAAAGTCTTTGAAGCAAACCTGAAAGAGTTCAATAGAATTCTAGGAGATTTTTTTTTCTTTTTCTAATAAATGCATATAATTAATCAAAATAAGTTATACAGTTCCTGAAACCAAAAAAAGGCTTGAGGCGTCAGTCCCTTGAGAATAAGCACCTAAACTGTTTGTAGCTTTCTGCAAAATTTATATTTTCTGATAAATCTGACTGCTGATACTGGTTTCCAAATTTAGGAAGAATCGTGTAATTTTTTAGTTACTTTCACAAAGTTCATAGAATGTTTTATACATTTTTTAAACTCTAGATTTTAATTGAAAATGGCATCTCTTAATATGGCATAGTTTAAATGTGTAAAAGTAGGCTTCCGCGTCTTGAGTTTCGCATGTCATATCGCAGGCTTCTTCAGGGTAGTGACGACCCTGAAGACTCAAAAGTGCATATGACTCACTATTACATTCAATTGTAACTTATTAAAACGAAAGTGAGAATAGAAATATGTGAAATGAAGGGGAATGGGGAATGATTGCTGAAATTGTGCACAGTAATCAACAAATTTGTTTATGGGCTTTTGTCATCAGTTGGGTCAAGGTATTGATGCAGTTTTTAATTTTTGTATTGATGTTAAGTTAAATTGTGTAATCAATTGGTTACTTTAATAATGTATGTAAATTACTATTTTTTAATTTTCAATTATGATAAATATTTCATTATGGAAAATAATTAATATAATCTGGAAAGACATTTGTCCTGCTAAGCCTGCTGAAGCCTGAATTCAAAAATTTTGAAGTGGCAAGAACCTTGTATAAGAAATATAGTTACTAAAATGTTTACAGCATTATTTTTTTATAAAACTAGACTGCTTTGTTTATTGAAGTATATTATGTTTTTGAACATATTATATTGATGCAATTTTAGGCGCAAAACCTGTGAAGCCAGCTAGTGTTGCAAAGCCTCAACAGATGGTACAAAAAAAAAAGCAAGAATCAAGCTCTGAGGAATCTAGTTCTGAAGAGGAAGATGAACCTGCAGGTAATAAATCTTTAGTTTCTTGTGGATGTGCCATCCCCTTCTGTGTACATAATCTGTGATATGGCAATTGTAACTTGTGATATTTTCAGTTCCAGCTAAAAAAACCATTACTAATAAAGCTGCTGCAGCAGAGGAGAGTTCTGATGATTCTGAAGAGAGTGAAGAGGAAACTGCCCCTCCTACAGCTCAGAAAAGAAAACATCAATCTTATGATGGAGAGGATAAGCCCAAACAAAAAGTAGGAAATCACATTATTTCAATCTCATTTGCCAATATAGAAACTTATTGTTTTGGGCTTAGAAATGTTTTCATTTTTTTTATACACACCCCACACACAAGTGTATGCTTTAAAATCAATACACCAAACCACAAGTAATGAATGAAAATACATCAATGCACACAGTTATTATGCATTGTTGCATTTTCATTCATTAGTTGTGGTTTGGTGAATTGGTTTTAGAGCATACACTTCATTTTATCAAATGTGTATGGGCTGGTAATGGAACAGATAGGTAAATGGTTTTTCTCTCAAATTTTTCAATTTTTTCTAATTGAGAAAAATATTGTTTCAGAATCCCAAGTATTCGAACTTTGTCAAGGAAGGATTCAATGGAAATAATGTAAGTATACAAAAGTGATTATAGTTTTTACCTGTCTAGTAAACAATGCTATATGAAAGCCCAGAAATCTCTTGGGGAAAACCACATCTAAAACATTCATTTTATGTGAAGAGGAAAGACGTTTGTGTTGCGGCTTGTAGAATGGAAAAGATATGGCCGTTTCAAAATGTAATGTACAGTTTAAGCAAAATCAATAACATCATTGCAAAAAGATCAAATGCAGTAATCACCACTTAGAAATGGCAATTAATTGTTATTGTTGCTCAGGTAGAGCTGAAATAGTCACACAATTCATTTAATACTTTTTTACTATTTTCTTCACTACGTGCAAATATACAGAAAAGGAATGGTGTAGATTAAAAGAACGCAAAAATAAGTTATCAGTTTATAATTTTTTTAAAATTGTAATTTTGACACTGTCCCATGTGAGAATTTCATTTAAACCTCTTCTCTAGACATGTTCTACATTCATTTTGTTTGTATTTTCTAAAGTTGAGTAATCATATAGAGACCCTAAGTGGTCAACAACCCCAGCAAATATAAACTTCAATTACTGTATATTGTTGCTGAAAATTTATCCAGAATTAGGCCAAAGAATATTTTAGTGCGGAGTCATTTGATAGTACCTTCACTTCCTTTATGGACCTGGACTTTTTATCTCCCTATTGCAACTATCCAAAACCAACAGGTTCATAACTGCTGATTTGTAACAGTTAGGAAGAAAGACTAGATAAGCAAACAGCTGGAGTTTAGTTGGGGTAATGGAATAAATGACATGGGCAGCATCTTACAAAATGCATGCTCACTGCTAATGTACAATATGGAAGGAGCAGTATGTATTACTAGAGACCAGATTCTTGTGTATTTACTTATCTTTTTTCTCTCTCCATCCACATAATACAATACTGTTTACATATTTACATTTTGTACTATACTTTGTTTTTATAACATGGCATGGACACGTCAGGGCTTGTTTTCAGGATGTAATATCTCATGGCATTTAGTCTTTCTCAGTTGTGCTGCTAGATACTGCTTGATAAGATGTGCCATCTAGATGGAGAAAAATGCTAAATGCTGTAATGTATTAAATTGTGAAGACAGGCCCTGACACATCACATTATAACGAAGTATAGTACATAATGTGTAAAAATAATCTTTGTCCTGATAAAGATTGCCCTGATTCAATAACACAATTTTGAGATCTGAACTGTCTGCACTGCATGTTTTAGTAAGGAGTGTTGGGAGTGTAAAATCTTTCTATCACGATTTAAACATGTAGTTTACCTCAGATTTTTAGTAAAAGGATGAAATCAATCTTGTTTCTTACCGGGAGATAACTTCTTTTGACAGTGAAACATCAGTGGGTGGTTCACTTGTGTAGAAAGAGGCTCCTTTCAGAATGTAGTGTTAATAACACTGCTTTAAAATATTTCTTTCATATTGATTGGATGTGAGTGTTCATAATGATTATTGTGATGTGAATATAAAGCAATTTACTGGCAAACCTGGTAGCAAGACAGTTTCATATTTGTCATGACTGGCAACACTTTTGTATTGTCAAGCTGGTTCAGGTTGTGGGTCTCCCTGGAAATTTTCAGTACTTCCTAATGTTATTTATTTGCAAAATTTTAATTTTATCCACAACTTTTTTTTGCATAGTTGCATTCCAGTTGATTTTGCTCCTTTCTTTTTCTCAGAGGAATTCACCCTTTAGAAGAGTTCGTGATGAAGACTTTGCGATAGATCCTAAGTTGACTGATAACTCATTTGAAGCAAAGGTAATATGCCCTGAAAGCCATACATAGACCGAAGCAAGCCATGAAAGTGCTGCAAGAATTTTTTTTTTTGTTTGGTTTCTGATCCATTTGAAGTATCAGCCTGCCAAAAGGCTTTAGAAATTATTGGCTTTCAGAGTATCATTCCTGCTAATGAGATTGTAACCTTTCATGACTTGTGGCCAGTCTAATTTTCATTTTCTTTTTACATTCAGGATGGTGAGGAAGAGGATGAGGGCTCAAAACCCTTCTTTGAAGATCGAAGGGGTTCATTTGGGCAGGGCAGAGGTAGGGGGGCATTCCAAAGGGGTGGTCGGGATGGCTTCAGGAACAATAGGGGTGGTTTCCAAAGAGGTGGATTCAGAAAGAGTTTTGGTGATAGAGATGAAGAAGGGGGTGGTGGTGGTGGTGGCGGCAGCGGTGGTTTTAGAGGTGGACGAGGTGGTTTCAGAAATGATAGAGGTGGATTCAGAAAAAGCTTTGGGGATAGAGATGGGGATGGCGAAGGTGGCGAGGGTGGGCCACGTAAAAGCTTTGATGGAGGTAGGGGTGGTGGTTTTAGAGGTAGAGGTGGTTGGGGAAGAGGGGGCAGAGGCAGGGATGGAGATAGGCGGAGTTGGGGAGACGGTGACAAGGGCGGTAGAGGAGGCTGGAGAGGGCGAGGTGGAGGTGGGGGTGGTTTCCAGAATAGAGAATCATTTGGAAGCTCAGAAAATAAGAAGATCAAATTTGACGAGTAGATTTTCTGGTAAGGTTGTGTGGCAGTAAAAAGTAGTCGCACAAACAAAACCAGCTATGTGAAGATTTTATGAACATTTCTTTTGTATAAAATTTAAAGAGCAAGAAACAAGAGCTTAGTATTAATACTTTGCCCTACTTCAAACCTTTCTTGAAAAAGACCAGTAAATTTAACATTAAAATCTAATAAATCTTTCTCCTGCAAAATAATTCACTTTTCATGGCTGGTTTTGCAAGCACAACATAGTATTGCTTCTTAAAATTTGGATAATTGAGGGGATACTTTGATTTATTTTAATTTTTTCTTTTACAGAGAGGTGCTAGAGGTTCTTGGGGTGAACGTGCCAATCAAGTTTTGAAGTTCACAAAAGGAAAATCCTTCAGGCATGAGAAGACAAAGAAAAAGCGGGGCTCTTATTCTGGAGGGTTGATTTCTACTGAAGTGAATTCGATAAAGTTTGAGGACTGATTTGGACACTTGTATGGTCAAAGTGTAATGTGTTAACTTGCTTGCATAATTTAATATGCAGCTAGATTTTTATGTATGTTGGAAAAGTGTGTGATTTGAATAAGTGAGTATGTGTATTGACAGTTACTTCTCATTCTTGCTCTTTTTGTTGAGTAATCTCTGAGTCACATTTTCTAGAATTTGAAGTGGGCTTGTTTGAGTATTAAATTCTTTCCTGTGAATATCCGTGCTCTGGATGAATGTATATATACTAATATTGTAGGGGCATAAAAATTTTGCCTTGAAATAGTGTGTCTGAAATATTGTGAGAATGTGTAAATGATTTATAGTTGACAACTAGGTAATGCACATTACTTTTGTATTCATATGTTAAATAGACAATTACATCCTGGAATGTTTTATTTATTATACTGGAAATGGATCCAAATTGTTGAATACTGATGCCAAACTGCCCTAATGTTGCTTTAGATACAGGTGGACTGGGGAATCTTTAAAAACTTTTTGTTCCAAATACAGCAATTTCATTTATTCTAACAATGGCAACCATTGTGCTGTAGGCATATTTCTACCGCATTTCTTTGAAAAACATGACAAAATATGCCGGTAACAATAAAAACAAAATTGCTAATATTTGTAAATTTACAAAACTGAACATACAAAAATCCTGTATCTAATGCTGTACATGTCTAATTCTATGAGCTTGATTATTTTTTCTTCATTGAAAATTTTTTCTTTCATTCTTTTTTTCTCCAGTTGCTCTGGAGAAGCCGGAATTTATTCAATTTCCTAGAATAGTTTTATTTCCTGGAGCTGGTGAGGCTCTTTCTCATTACCTACAACTTGTGCCAAGGAAAACCTAATGGTCCTACAGAATGGCATACTAGTTGGATTTGTCTTTGTTCTGGACTAGCTTATCAGTATTGTCAGATGCCATCTATTGCTGCTCAAGCGACCTTTGATCTTTTAAAAAACTACAAAATTTATAGCTTTTCACAGAAAACTTTTGAGAAACTTAATTGGAAGGAATTTGAAGCACTCCCATTCCTAAATGCAATAATGTATTCAAATATCTCAAAATATGCAATAGTGTGGAGTATTTCAAAGAGATAAATGTTGTGTATTTTGGGGGGTAGGGAATGAATACAGCAAAATGACTTCATCTTAACCTGAGTTTTGATGTCAATGAATGAATAAAAGGAAATACAAAATTAAAAAAAAAAATTGGAGCCCTTTTTGAGAAATTGGCATTTGAGGTTTTGATAATGCAGATTTTTCTCATTTTCACAGGTTTTCAATACTCCATTCAGACTTCAAATGAAGCATTTTAAGAAATTCAATGTATACAAACTGCCCATTATGTAAATATTATCAATGTGAGAGGCATCAAAAAATATTACAATCATGTAATTTTTGAAGAAAAAACCATTAGAGCAATGCCATTGTTATCCTGTGCCGTATTGAGCCAGTGGAGAATCCGAAGACTAATTTTGGGAGGGGAAATTCAAATTGTTTTAGTCAAATGTATTATTAGAGATTAAGTAAAATGTTGCAGGCTACTTGCAGATTGCACTGTAATTCTTTTTCTTTTTTTAAAAAAATGTTTGCAAAAATGATTGTTTCCTGATAGTCAAAATTAGTTACTTAGATTTTAAATGGGGAAAACTTCCCTGCCTATGGAACCAAGCCTGATTAAGCACTAAAATTACCAAAAGTGCAAAGAAAAATTTGGAGCGCATAATAAAACTTTAATATTGTGGTTGTAGGAAGGTTGGGCCTGTGCCACCTTTATAAAGATATTTCACCAAATTCTTGTACAATAGATTTCAAGAAAATTTGGTGCATTTTTTTAGAAAATGTCCTAGAGACTCATAAGGTAACCAAAAATATTTTTTCAAAATCTGAGCTTTTGGCGATGACAGATGAGGGTTTATTCAGATTGGGAACAATCCTTCAAATAGTTTAGTCGCTAGAGTTTGCAGATGTAGAATAAACTGTAACCTGGTATTAGTGAAATCAGACAAATTATCATGTTAGAGGGACTAGTTAACTAAATGTTAGATTAGGATTTATCCACTTTTTCTGTATTGGGTGTATCCCCATAATAGTGATTTTTTCTGTTGTTAAATTGCAATTTTTTGCTGTAAAACCTATATTTCTCTATATTACACATTACTCCAAATATATGTATGTATGCAAAAAAGTAATAAACTGAAGATGTACCACCAGCAGCACATACTTTCACACCATTATATAACATTGAAATTACAATTATAGGTTATGATTTAGTGTGTAAACAATCTGTGCTAAGATGGCAAAATGTCACTTTCTCATAACTGTACAAAATTACATTTTTATTCTTAAAAATCCTGTCATGGAACAATTTTTAAAAGTGGCATTTTGCTATCTTGGCGCTGAATTGTTTTTACTAATAACTCGTAACTTGAAGTCAAATTCAGCTTTAGTGATGAAAGTACATGCTGTTGTAGGCCCACTAGGTAGCAACACGTGGATAAATGCAAAAATCGCTATCTTCAATTTTGTTGTTTTGAAACGTTATAATTGTCGGAATATGTTTTTATTTTTTTTACAATTTTTGAAAATGGGACCACCTTGGTGTATATGAGAAAATTTAAGAACATTTTTGGAGCTGTTTTTGAGATTGTTACATAAAAATTCCTAGTTTGCACAAAATAACACGAAAACTACTTATTTTCAACAAATTGTACATAACTGAGTTTCAAGATATGTGTTTAAAGAACAGATTTCATTAAGAAAAATATCTCAATATTGTTGTTGTTGTAGCAAGCCGCCAAAAAATTGCGCTGTAGCGACTTTCGAAAACTCAGGGATTGTAACTAACTTGACCTGTACCATTTTCTTAAATGTCTTAAGTTCAAAAAAAGATATGGAGCCTTTATGAGAAAATTTTGAAAATGTTTCTCAGTTTAATTGTAAAGTAATCTCAAAAATCAAAATATCCGTTTTAAACTGTCAAAGCGCTAGTTCATATCGATGGGAGAATATCAATTTTGGAGAAGGTCGGCTGATAGGTTTAGGCGTTAGCGTTGACCACGGACGGGCAGACAGACGTTTTGCTGGCAATCGAATTTTCGGTATCGAGTGAAGAGTCATCATAATAAGGAAGTTAAGTATTCCCGGAAATTCGTATCGAAAGTTTTAAATTCATTCCAAACCAAGAAATACTCTAATAAGAAAAACTCAGAATAATGATGACTTCAAATTTCTGAGTCAAACGCACGACATGATGGAATCACCGCGTGTTTCAGGAATGCAGTAAAGGCTCATTCGCAATGCAAATAAGTATTAGCATGGCCTTATCGTAAGAGTTAGGACTATGTCCATAAGCGGACTCATTCATAATGCGTTCCCATAAGCATAACACGTAAGACGTTAACTTAACAGCATCAAGCTTCTGTGCTTATGGTTAAGAAAGACTAAAAATAAACCAATCACAGTACGTTCATATCTAGGCAGTTGTATGACCGTCGTCGAGTGAGGACGTGACGGAACGCAGGTAGCGACACGGGGCCCATAGCAGGCGTCTGGTGAGCAGCGAGCGGTGAAGTCGAAACACAAATTATTATTATTTATACTCGGCTCTTCTCCTCCTCGTTCTATCCTGCTGCGTAGTACCTAGTGTTTCTCTTCGTTTCAACTTATATAAAATAGCGTAATTTATCCGCTGGTGGTGTTGCTATGTTTGTTCGTGATGATATAAACTGCAAAATAATCAAAGCATCTACTACTAGTTCACCTGGCTTGGAATATATGTTTGTTGACATGATTTGAGTAAAGCATTTACTTGTCAGGGTTGTGTATTGGCTTCTAAATACTGGAATATTGTCAGAATTAGAGGAATCACTTTCTAAACTCACAGATAAGAATGAAGATATGGGGATTTTAATTGTAACGCAAAAAATTCCATCACAAAGTCTGCCACTAATTTTACTCAATACTTTCAATTCATATAATCTGCAAATATTGAAATTGAATCCTACTCATAGCTCGTCTAAACCTATGCTTCGCGCAATGAGTTTTCATTTTTTTTCTTAGTGTCGGCAACTCTGTAGTGACATCACAATTCCAAACCTCTGATTGGATGACGGAACCCCGCCTCCTCTGGCAATGGGGTGCTGCCAAGTGGGCGGAAGTATTAAGACCCATTCACAATGCAAACGTAAACCTAAGCATAACGCATTGACATAAACATTAACATAAGTGATAGACTGTAGTTCTGGACCATTCACAATGCCTAACATAAACATAAGCAAAATAAGTTCGTATTGGCTGTGAGACATTCAGGTTTAGTATTGGTTGGATGTGAGAATCGATTTCAACGTATCGACTGTGTCCATGACCCATACGGCGTTCGTTTTTCTATCGACTTCACCCCAATTTCGATTCTCGATTTTGAGTTACCGTTCTGTGATAGGTTCATTTCTTTTGCCTTACTTAAGCATAAGCACAGAAGCTTGCAAGCTTTTAAGTTAACGTCTTATGTGTTATGCTTATGCGAACTCATTGTGAAAGAGTCCGCTTATGAACGTAGTACTAACTTTTATGTTAACGCCATGCTTATGCTTATGTTTGCATTGTGAATGGGCATTTATTCGCAGTATAGACTACGCGCCGCTTGCGAACAGCGCAGAAGCAACGCGCCGGACCAGCTCAACGCGCAACAGCGCACAGGGACCCAGTAATTGCTCAGCCCTATTTGTGCCGTTCTGTGAACGCACGGAAAGTGCAATGCACGTTCACGCCACTGCAGTGCGACCATTCCTAGCCTTACGGGCATCTATGGCCAATCCTGCAACAAAGAGAAGCAAAAGGTCAAAATGACTTAAGCCAACTGGCGCGCGCATTGCGTGTGTAGAAATGCTGTTTATGTTTCAACTCTCATATCTCTGTTTCAGATTCCTCTTACTCCAGGGACTGCTTCGGTTGCCTATACTTCACCCGTTGATCGGGCTTGTATGAGACAATCTCGGTAATGAGAGAGTTTACCGAGTCAGCTGATGTTTCAAAAAATTTGAAACAATATTTTTGATGTGATCAATCAGGAGTGGCATTGATAAATCGCGATGTAAATTTTTGATGGGAATGTATCTAGGGGGCGCAGAAGGTTGCCCTAAGGCATTCGTTTTGAGCAAGTCATCACGTTCTGCACTGGAGTCCATTTAGCACTTCGGCGAATAAGAAAGCGTTTTACAAATAAACTGTAAATTAGGAACTAAAGTAATTGTCATTAATTAATAAATTGATTATAAGATTGTGGAGCAATTTAAATTCTAGCAATCATGATGGTATTTTATATTTTAATGTTTAATTACGTTGAAGCAATTGTGATGCATAATACATTGCAAGAGGCAGGTGCTGCTGTGTGTGGAGATTCCCGGAGTGGGCGTAGGGAAGAAGTGTTTGTCGAAATTACCCGTGCCAACTCTCAACGCTTTCAGATGCAAACAGTTGTACACAGTGGCGGCTCGAGGTCATGCCATTAGGGTGTGCAACATCTTTCTCTCTCCCTTTCTCTCCCCGCGTGTCTTTAATACACAACGCTATATATATATATTTGATATATATATATATAATATATTTATATATATACTATTATATATATAGATTTGTAAGCGTTAATGGAAGCAGGTTATCTCACGACAATAATTATATAAAGGACGGGTAGCATTTCGTGATGGGGCTTCCATGGTGTTTGGGCCTGCATTGGAAGATGATCATAGAAATTCTTTTGTGCATTTAAAATTTTTAATAATAGAAACACTCTTTACAAAGATTATTACAAAACGCAATGCGGCAGGCTTTAGGTAAATAATCTGCACAATCAACGCTACCTTTGTGCTTTTAATAAACCACCTGCTGGCTGGAGACGATCGGGCGCCGTAGGCAACGGCGAGCGGCGTTTCGGCAACCTTCGGTCGCCGAAGTCCGTGGAGTCGCTTCTCGGCGATCACTGCGCTTGCTCCCACTCAACGGCCGATGATCGCTTGGGTCCACCCCCAAGCGGTACAATAATGTACTCACAGCACCAAACACCGAACGAGCGCGATTAACCCAGTCAGCAGTTCAGTTCAGCAATCCTTCAATCTCGCGCGTTGTTTGCTAGTACGGCCCCCCGTGCTGATTACCCGGGCAGATTAACGTGTCGTCCACGCACAAGAATTCTGTATAATGTTTTTGATTTCGTCTGGTGGCACTTTCCACTTTTCACTAATCATTGATTATTACTTTCATCAATCTAGTCTTTCACTTAAACACACCATTCAATCCAATGTTACTTAACACCACATAATTTGTTTTGATTCGCACTGCCGTCGTGTTTCCCACGGACTCTCTGCGCACACTGTCTAACCGTCGTCGCCTCAGCCGTCCTGCCCCCCCCGATTTGGACGTTGGTGGCAGCGGCGGCGGCGGCGTTACTGCTCTGATCAATTCAGTACTTATTTTAATTATAATTATTTATCAACTTTGATTATTGCAATACAGAAACGTTCTTCGTTTCAATATATATATTCATTAAAATAAATAATAACATTAAACACAGAGCATCTTATGAAGTCTGATATATGCTGAACGGTATCTTCATCAACAGTGAGGGTTGCCCGCATTTCTTTTCACAGTTGCTTCGACTTTGCTCGGCAAGGATCCCTCCAAAATATTTATTACTAGAGTCGGATTACCGCAAAACTACTCGCACGTTTCAGAACAGTTTTTGCAGGGGTGTTGAGTTCTATTGTACACGTTGATTCAAAACTTTTTTATTCACACTTTTGCTGAAAAAGTATTTTCAATATGCTCGCTGTACAAATTTTAGGCTAAAAGTTTAATTTACCGAATACTCAAAGAAATCTAGGTAATTTGCGTCTACATTGTATGATGAAACATAAAGTCAATTCAACGCTGTTTCTTTTCAGCAACTTTTCTTCACGATTGACAGAAAACGAACACACTAACTTCGATTTTTCAACGCATTAAAAAAAGTAGCCTCTACATACATTTTGAAAATGCATTTGAGTTTTCATTCATTCAAAATGGATTTGTAATTGCAACTCATTTCACAATATAAGAGAATGCGCATAGAATATTATAATAACACAATTCTTATGTTGTTCGCAATGCGAACTGCACAACAATGCGTTCGTGTATCGCGTGCCAGCGAAGAACTTTTTTCATTGGAAGGGATGAAAGCCCTTTCCAGTGAAGAGATATCACACTTCCTTTGTTCAATGTCACACGTACTTTTTCCACAAACTTGTGCTACCTCAGTGTTATACCTTCAAGCCCCGCGGCAGCCAGCGACGCGCTTTACCCGTTCGCAATTCCCGAGTGCGAGTGCGCCGGCCAGAGAGTATGTATCAGAGACGGCACTCAATGTTAAACGGAGAGCCCATATTTCCGTGGAGGAGAGAAATTCGAATATCCCACTCCAACATAAGCAACGAATCATAAAGAAGCAGTCATATTCGCCCACTGCCAGCCAAGAAGCGTCGAAAAGCAGTCTACAAATTGAAATGGAGGACGGACGTGAACCGGGTCATTTGAAATTACATTATCTAGGTCAAAATTTTCAATTGGCGTATTATTATACTATATTATATATTATAATCATATATTATAATATATATATATAATAAACATACACACTCTCTGATGTACAAGCTTAATAATTAATAGGATTTTGACGTAATAATATATATAAATCAACTCTCTTTGCTGTGCACCGAACACATGAATTCATGAATTTAGAAAATAGTCAAAATACACGTAGTGACCATTACTTTTTTAATATTGTCTTATTATCAAAACAACAGACCAGACATCAATACATGGTATTGAAATTTCAAGTAATCAAAACATAAACTGAAGTGTTATGATACAAATGAAAATTATTGATATTTTTTTATAAATAAATGCGAAACTTTCAAACAATTTGCACCCGTTCAATGTCACACGTACTTCTCCCTCAAACTTGTGCTAGCTCAGTGATATATCTTCGTCCCGCGGCAGCCAATGACGCGATCTACTCGTTCGCAATTCCCTAGTGCTAGTGCGCCGGCTAGCTTTCAGTGAAAACCTTTCCCGAAGGATACTGGCGGCCACTGGCGGCCTCTGGCGGCGGACCTGCGGCAGACAGTCAATCGCTGCTTCCGAATGGCGCGTGTTTGGAAATTTCACGTTTCGGAAATGCTCTGAGAGGACTTATATTCCCCTCTTTTATATGCTTTTTTTTCTCCTTCTACTTCGCAGGATGCGATATGCCAGTTCTTTCTTCTTTGCTTCAGCTCGAAACTGTTAACATGAAACAGAAAGTCTAATGGGATAAGAAATTCTTATTTATTTTTTTTTTAAAGGGAAATGTTGTAATTTGAATATTCCTTTACACTGTAGAACATGTTAAGCAGGAAAGCTTTAAATTTACTTTTAAATGTATGAATTGTGTTTATGTCTTTGATGTCATTGCCTAGTTTGTTGTGAAGTGTAATTCCCTCTATTAGGGTACTTTTTTGATAAAGTATGGTTTCAGAGTGGGGAATGTGTAGGTTATCCTTTTGACGGGTGTTGTAGTTGTGTACATCAGAATTTAAAGTAAAAGTGTTTTTGTTTTCCATGAGAATTTTCTTTGTGAAGACCACTATTTCAAATATATACATGTATGGTAGAGGAAGAATCTTTAGTTTATTAAACAAGAGTTTGCAAGACTCCAGCTTATGAGTGCTGGTCGTTGTTCGCAATATTCTTTCTTGGATTATAAATGTGCAAGTGCTTTCAGGGGCATTTCCCCAGAATATTATTCCATATTTTAGGTGTGAGTGCACATTTGCAAAATACATTGTTTGAAGTGTCTCAATGTTGGAGCTTGACCTGAGGGTGTATATGGCTTAGCAAGATTTGGTGAGCTTCTTGTTAAGATTTGAGATGTGACCATTCCATTTTAGGTTTTCTTGAATTGTTAGTTTGAGGAAGATAGTTTCATCAGATATCGTTACAGGGTTATTGTTTAAGAGCAAAAGCTATGAGAGTTTTTCTTTGGATCAGGGATTCATGAAATTTAGCAGAGATGTTTGCTGAGTGTTTATGATGAGTTCTGTCCTGCTCTTGGAAAACCATCATTTACTAGGCTTGCAAAGTTTTATTCTGTGAGTTTCTTTTTCTAATGAATGATTGGTCTTTTTGCTTTTGTAATGATTATGTTTGTGATCTCTGACATAAAACATATTTTTTTGTTCCTTAAGGCAAAGGAATATCAATTATGATGAATATATAAGGAATAGTATTGCCAGGATGGATCCTTGCAGGACTCCACAATTTATTATTTGAGGGCAGGAGTAGTATGAGGAGATTTTTTTTTATTTACTATGCTGGAGGGCAACTATTGGGCTATGGTTTGATAAATTTGATTTGATACATTGGCCTGCAATGCCTCGAATCCCTAGCATTTCTAGTTTTCTTAAATGTATGTGATGGTCAATGGTCAAAGGCTTTTGACAAATCTAAGAAAAGGCCAATGGGAATTTCCTTCTGATTTAGTGCCACAAGTATGTCATTTAAAAAGGAGAAGATGGCTGTGTTTATGGATCAATTACTCCTGACGCCATGTTGTGCATTTGTAAGGGCATTATTTGCATTGAGAAACTTAGAGTCTATCATTAAAAAGCATTTCCAGAATTTTTGAAAATCCTGATAACAGGGATTGTCAGTAGAACAGGGAAACAGGGTGTCAGGTAAACAGGGTCTGTAATTCATTGAATCATAACTATTGCCCTTTTTAAACAGTGGTTTAATTTTTGCTGTTTTGAATATATCTGGGAATATGCCTGATTTTAGAGACTAATTGCAGATGTGAGAGAGTGGTTGCAGTATACTTGGAGCACTGTGTCTATTAAGAAAATCTGGAATATTGTCCATACCTGCTGAGAATTTATTCTCCTTTTGTCCAATGATTTTAAAAATTTCAGAGTTGTGTTGAGAGATTAACTTATAACCTTATAACTAATTTGTGAAAAGTGTTCATTGAATATATCAGCTATTTCTTGTGGATCTTGTAGTTTGGTTTCTGTAGTGAAGCTCTTTATTTTTTCTGTTATTATTAGTTGTTGCTGTAGTCTTTTTAATGATGTCCGACATAGCTTTTGCAATGTACTTATCATTTGTCATAATTTTTGCTTGTTTGATTACCTTTTTAGAATCGAATTATATGTTTTGTAATATGAACTGAAGTTTGAGTTACATTTGTTATTTATTAGTATTTTATATATGTTGTGTTTTCTTTCACATGACACTTTGATGCCTGTGGTAATCCACGATTTAGTTTCCTTATTTTGGATCTTTTTGAGAAAAAATGGCATTGAAATATCTTAAGTATACATTTATGAGTGAATTAAAATTATTATTTGTATCAGTTGCCTTATGTATTTCATTCTAGTTTTCGGATGTGAGTAATGTAATGGATCTAAGTATCTGTAATGATCTCAAATTCTACATCTAATTCTTTTATTTTAAACTAATTATTCTTATATTTTTTTAAAAATTTATTTTAAGTCTCTTATCAGCTACTTGGTCATTAGCGATAGTCATTATTAATTATTTGTTGTATCGTAATAGTGTAAAATGTGATGACTAATGCTGACGTATTCGTAGAACGTTCTAGAACTATACGTCCGCTCTGGGATTCCCCGACTTTATATCGTGAACTCCAAAACAAGTAGTACCAGCATCAGCACTATTATAAATATTAAGATACGCGTCGTCTAGACGAAAATCAGTAATTTGTTTAAGTACTAATTTTAAAATTAAGTGAAATCGTGAAGATACTAAACTTGAAAATGTTATCATTTTTCCATTGTAAAACGTTGCGATTACCATGAAGACAATGTTCATAAAGTCACGTTACTGTGGGAATGTGTTGTCCATTTTTGTGGCAATATCAAGATGATCTGTGTCAAATAAATTTTTTTATGTTAATATTTCTTTTGTCCAGAGATTTCAGTGGATATGTGCGGTATTTCATTTAAAGTATGAATATAAGATGTTGTCTTTCTATGCAGTTGTCAACTTCAGTCACGTGACAGGGTATGCTGCGTGAAGCAGGGTGGTTACAAACAAATCACTGATTACTTTTCTACGTTTTCTATTGGGATGAGAAGCAGGCGACGGGACGCTGTAGGATTCTATGTGTACACAGCTTTACAATACTGAGCATTTCATGTTATATAAAGTGTTGGACTGCAGAGCTTTTTGTTGTAGTATTTAATAATTACTTTAAAGAAGCGTGTTTATGTAATAGTAGTTTACTGCGTTATTACTTGACTGTAGAAAATTCGAAAAGAACGATTAGGAAAGTAATTGAGTTAATAAGTTTTTAGGTACAGGACTAATGGGGAAAAAAGGCAGTAAGTATATTAATCAGTGTTAATTTTATTGAAAGGTAGAAAAACAAACACTAATGTTATTTACGTGGACCATTTTCTTTTCCGTTCTAATCTCCACGTATGAACATATGTGAAGTAATTAACGTTTTCTCGTGCGTATGTACCGAGAAAGGAGAAAATGTTTACTTGCTTAGTAACTGTTGGATAAAACAATCAATTCATATTTGTGATATTACTGTTTTTATTAAGTGATAATTCATGTGTCCTTGGTGCATGTACTTTTAATTTATAATTATCATATTTGCGAAATAATGTCAATGGGTGTACTTCAGATCTTGTGTGAACTGGAAGTGTATTGCATAAAATGGTACAGTTTAATTTCAATCAAACATCACAAAAACAAATTTGAATGGTTTACTTCAATCCTGTTTCTTTTGGTAGTAATCACTTTTTCTGTGGCATAAATCATGAGATAAATGGGTTAAAATGAACTTGAAGATGTATTGCAATGATGCAAACAGCATGTCTCATTTCTTCTTAATGCAATGCCCTAAATTTAATGATTAATTATCAGAACAAGTAATACAGAAAGCTTTCATAGATTTTTTATAGTTGTGAACTTTACTTTAAGGTGCACTAGAATTATGGAACAGATGAAATGTAAAGTTGTTTTCTGTTTTGAGCCCTTATCCTGTGTATTTGTCATGTGGTAATTGGCACACTGATCAAATTTTGTTTAACTTCACAATAGCCCTCGACCACTCTGCTTGCTTGAGCATATTTGTTGTTTTTTTTATATTGAAGGTGACATAAAAGTAAATAAGGTGACTCCTTGATTCTGGAAATTGCAAAATCTCATTACATATTAATGCTTTTATGGCCAAATTGACTTTATTTGCTTCTGATGTTACAATGGCAAGAATAACCCTTCGACCTTATGAATTACATGAAACAACCATGAGTTTGGCCAACCTAAAATTCTCAAGCATTTTTGTGCCAAATTGCTTGATCAGGAATGTTGTAACATTTTGCATCCTTGACAGGGTGCATTTAGTGGCCAAGCTGAAGTGAAGTTGAGCCAATTGATGTCAAAAAGTTTTAAGTTGAAACAAAAGTAATTGGATATAGTTCTGTTCTACCAAATTTTCAAATTGTGTGAGAAAATTCCTTTCGGGGTTGAAATATGAAAATCTACTGATCTGTGTACATGGTTGGAGCATAGTACATTTTCATGCTCCTTGTTATTCCTTTAAAAATGAGTACTCTAAAATATATTGTTAAACACACCTATTAATAAGAAATAAATTGAAATCAAAAATGTTTCTTTATAAGTCAGCACACCTCCGTCTTATACTCTTTGCTATGTCCCACTAAATTTCCAGGGCTAGGTTAATGTTGTAGCACTATGTCTCAGTGGTTATACCTTCAGTTCTTGTATCCCATTTTAGCAATACAAACAATGTAAGCTACATATGTAGCCCAAATTAAAGAATTTTTTAAAATCAATTTAAGTTTTGGAAAAACTTTCTAAACAAGTATTCTGTTATCTCATATTATTTAAATAGTATATGAAAATTAGGTATAGTATAGTAAAGTAATATATGGCATTCAAATCTAGTAGTGTTGTCTCCTGGGTAAAATTTGAAGTAAGCCAAGTCTTATCTCTATAGTTATTTACGTATCTTAAGATATTAAGTTGATATTTTTGCTCTGAGGACTACTTCCAATGTGGAGGGCTTCTAGCTCAAGAGGTTGGAAGTTGCTTGAGGGGCGAAAACAATGCTCGTGGTGCACTCAAAACTTAAGGGTTTGGTTGTTCGTTACTGCCCAAACAACAATTTCTATCATTTTTAAATTTGTCTTGCATCAAAAGTGAACAGAAGCATTGCAATTGTCAATATGATATCAGAAATACAAAACTGTGTATCTAATAACAATTGCATAATTGCTGTTGAACTAATTTGTTCATACAAAGTGAAAGAATATTTATTGTCTTGTGAAAATTCTGGCAAAAACTATGGAGAGTTGTTTTCAGTAAAATCTTGAGAAATATGAAAATGTGTATGGTGTATTTGAGAGTTATATGGAAAATAACAATGTGTATTGTGTTGATTAAATGGTACTTTTAGATTATTTGCCTCTATTGCAGAAAGTGTTTTAGAATATTTTATAACATCAAAAACTTGAGATTTTGAGGATGTTAGCTGTGTCTCATATACATCTTGTACGAGTAGAACTGCTATTCAACAAGCATGTGTGTTACAAAATTGTAATTTTCATGTCATTGAAACAAAATCAAGTTTATGACAAGTTATTTGACTTATTTGAGCCTTATGCTATTTATTTATTGTATTTTCTTGTATTTCAACTTAAATTGAATTCCTACAAATTATATATTTGTTGTCTTGGTATCAGAGCAGGAATAAAGAATCCGAAAAGCCTACCAGGGTATGAAGTATATCATACATGGTTTGTTTCTGGTACATAAACACTCAGTACTGAACTTAGTCAATTATAAATAATATTTTAATTCTCCCTTGACCTTTATTGTGAGTCATTTAACAGTTGTGACAATAGTATTTAGTCTTTCAGATAGCCTGCATGGCAAACTTCTATTCTAGCATCTCTTAACAGTAGTGCTTGTGCAGGCTATAATTGTAGTACAACAATCTATAAAGCTATCAGACAACAATATGCTTGGTATGAAAAGCTTGAAAACAGACTGTGTGCTAAGAGAAACATGTTATTTGAAGCTACTAATGCCCTCACCTCTCTAAACTCTGTGGATGTTGCAGACCAGCAAAATTAAATGACTGAGCTGCACATGTAGCCTGTACAAGTACTCAAAGTGTTATGGAATCCAAAATATTGAAATGTTTCGATAGAAATCAAGTTTGTGATAAAGACAATTATATGTTTTATGACAAATTTAATTTAGGTACTGAAATTTTGTATTCTGTGGAATTTAAATATTGGTGTCTTTTCAGAAAAATCCCAGCAGGGAAAACCCGAAGCAGGAGATCAGGCTCAGCCTGGCCCATCACAACCTCCTAGCCAGCCTCCTGAGAGGCAGGAAGGTGAAGTGCAACAGCAGCAAAAATCTAAGAAAAAACAAAAGAAGCAACCTCAACAGCAGCCTCAACAGCAGCCTCAACAGCAGCCTCAACAGCAGCCTCAACAGCAGCCTCAACAGCAACCTCAACAGCAACCTCAACAGCAACCTCAACAGCAACCTCAACAGCAACCTCTACGGCAGCCTCAACAGCAGCTACAACTGCAACAGCAACCTCGAAGGCAAGAACAAACTACCCCACAACCTCAAGAGCAATCTCGTAGCTCAGAAAGCTCAGTTGCTGCGGAAATTTTCCCGCAATTAGGTGCTTCTGCATCATCGAGAGGTCGTGGAAGAGGAAGAGGTAGAGGTAGAGGTGCTGGGCCTTCTGGTTTAGGACGACTTCAAGCACTTGCTGAAAGTCTACCTTCTGTCAGTCAATCAATAGGACCACCTCATGCTCAATTGCCAAGTGAAGGTGTACCTGGTGCAGGTTCACTACCGAAGGGGCAGGGACAATCAAGGCAACAGCAACCACAATCACAATCATACCAACAACAGCAACAGCCACCACTGCAACAGCAGAAACAACAACAACAACAACAACAACAACAACAACAACAACAACAACAACAACAACAACAGCCTCCTCAGCAAAGGCCTCCACAGCAACGCCCAACTTCAGGAGATGTTAGAGGAGCTGGTACTTCTGCTATAGTTCCAGTTAGAGGTAATTACCCAATTGTCATTATTTAATTTGCTATAAACATGTAAAACAAAATTGAGTGATAAACCATATTAAATGTATTACATTCTAAGAATACAAAAATAATTTAGAAAATTTAAGCAAACAGTATTGGCGACAGGTGAGAATGTGATAACATTAAAATCATTTCTTGCTGGCAAGTTATTTATTTAATGCTACAATGGGAGTATCGACCATAAAATTTTCATAATGCATCCAGATAAAGGCAGTCAATTAAAGTTACTGCTCAGGGAGGAACAAGGTAATATGTGTGTGAATTCATGAGAAAAGGTTGGGTTTAGGAGAAAAAATTAAATATTTGCAGTTTGATTTTTCATTTCATTGGTATGTAAGAGATAAGATGGCCTTAATCAACTGAAACTTATTTTCCTTTGTAGGAATTTTCATTATTGACTAGTGTGTTTTTAACTTGAACACTGCCATTGTTTTGAAGGAAGTTTAAAACCACTTGTTATTGCGAGCAATGCAAGTAATATTTCATTGTGTTGTAAGTAATATTTACGATGATTATGTGGAAGAATTTTTCTAGTCAAATTTACAATTTTTCAGAACATACTGTGTATATTTTTGAAGTTGAGTGTACGAAAAATGTGAAATATAACATCAATTAGCATTTTCATATTTTGTTAATTTTAATAAAAGTAATTTATATGAATATAAACTCCTGAGTTTACTGACTGAAGTATCTGCTTCTTTCTGATTTTTGTTTCCAGGGGGTTTGCAAATTCCTACCAGAGCTCGTATTGATATAGCTGGAACAAGTGGAAGAAAAACTATAATTCGTACTAATCATCTTGCCTTAAACCTTAAAAGTCTTACTACCAAGATTGCTCTTCATTATGATGTTTCTATTGATCCAGACAAACCAAAGAAGCTCATGAGGTATTCATTAAGTATTTTAAGTTTTACCTTTGTGGAGAGAAATAAACTGTTTTTTTGTGTGATTGTAATATTATGTAACTTACGTTGCTTAGGCCTGTTGTGGAGGAATTCAGACGTAAACATTTTCCTGACCGGAATCCAGCTTTTGATGGCAGAAAGAACTTGTATTCAGCTAAGGAGTTACCTTTCAATCACAAAGGAGAGGTAAAGTATTTATCAGTGATCATATTATGAGAATAAATACTATTTTTAATAATACACAGACCTAAGTCTTTTTCTAGCTGAACTAGTTACAATAACACATAGAAGAAAATACATATAATTGTTACTATGTGTTTTCTATGAACTCACAAGCGGCGTAGAAAAGCAGTTGCCGAAGTATATATAAGTAAATGAAATCATGCGCATTCAAGCATTTCTTGTTCACAGTGATTTCTGAATGTTGCTTACGATGGTTCAAAAATATTAATTTTATCAGCATTGACTAAGGTACAAGTTCTCTTTATAGGGTTATTGTTGGTATATGAGGCTCTGAGCATATTTATGTTAAAAAACATTTGTAGTTCTAATATTGATAACGGACTCAAAAGCGAAGTATCTGAAGTAGAAGAGGGCTCTCTGTGATTCTATGAATTAATCTGTAAGATTCGAGTGTAGTGATATTGAGTGACTGAGCTATTGCCGTATAATCGTGGGTTATATAAGGATCAGGTAAGTTGAGTTAAAGGCAGCCATTCTAAAAAACCTGTGTTGGATGGCTTCAAGACGTTTCATATTACAAATTTGATATAGCGACCAAATCAGAGGCAAAAGACAGCATAGGTTTGATGAGCGTAATGTAAAGGAATCTCAAGATTTGTGTTGAATCAATTTCTTGATATATTCTTTGTGCAAAGCCAAGTATTCTGTTTGATTTAGTTACAATGTGATCCAGAAATATATTCAACTGGCAAAAATTACACCCAGATCATGAATGGAAGAAATCTTTGCCATTATAACAGATTTAATCTTGTATGTTGACTCTTATGTTCATTCTAGATCTTGTGTATTTAATATGCAAACATTTGTTGGGGTTTAACGTCTGGTCATTAAACAAGCACCAATCTACGAATAAATCAAGTTCTTATTGTAAGGCAGTCGCATCACTACTAGATCGAATGGCCAGAAAAATCTTACGATCATCTGAAAAAAGAAAAAGCTGTACTTTTCTAAATAAATATTTAATGTCCTCGATGAAACCCAAAAACAATAATGGCGCTAGGTGTGATCCTGATCTCCAATTATAACACATTGAACTCTATTGAGTATATATCCTTGGAACCAGTTCAGAAGAGAACCTGAATTATGAAAGGCTTGGAGTTTGCCAATCAATAACAAACAATTAACAAAGTCAAATGCTTTTCTAAAGTCAGTTTAAATGCTTTCTGTGCTCAATTTCTCGCCAATGGCATTCAGTATGTAGGTAGTGTAGTAAGCAAGAATAGCCTACATGCTTCTCATGTAAACAAAGCCAAATTGTCTTTCAGTAAGGTGCGGAAAAAGTAATATTTTCAGTTTGTCCGTGATCAGGAATTCAAATAATTTTTGAATTGTGCTAAGGACAGAGATTGGTCTGTAATTCAAAATGTCTGTAGTTCCTGATTTAAGTATTGGGATCATGAACAAAGATTTCCATTCTGCTGGAAAGATACCCTGAGAAAGAGAGTTATAAAAAATGTATTTAAATATCTGTGAGAATATGAATTAGCAGTTCTTTAGAAAAATGTCTGCTATATCATCTGGACCTGGCTTTTTATCACAACCGAGACCTTCGATCGCGTTAAGTATGTCTGAAACATGAATGTCCACTGTTACCAATAAAAACAGGAATTGTTCGGGTTCCTTATAATCTTTATCAGAGGGATGTCTATAAAAGTTTGAAAAATATCCAGCAAATGCATTAGATGTAAGAGTCTGGATTATCATAATGTATCCTGTCCAAGCACATTGAATTTGCAAGACTTATGAGACTTTTTAGAATGAATATATTCTCAGAAGTTTGTGGTACTTGAAGTGATGAATTGCTGTAGACTAGTATTGTATGCAGCAAAATCTCTCATGGCCAAGTCCATCTAAGGTCAGAGCAAATGTCAAAAATATTGTGAGCTGGAACTCTTATAATGTAAGTGAGCTCTTTTCTTCGATAGCAGTGTTTGCTTCAGCTCACTGCTATACCAAATAAGAAGTATATTTCTTTGGAAACTAGGCCTCAATACCAATGTATATATAGAAACATAAACACGTCTATTAATAACAGTGACTTATGATGGTCACCCAAATAGTAACAATTAGCTTCGTAATTTGCTGATTGAAAATCATCTCTCCAATTCCCATTTAGCATAGGTGTGAAGTCACTATGCATGATTGACTATAGCTAATGGCGGATAATGTCCGTTGACATTTACTATGGACTCTATTGAAGATAACAAATCTAACTCCAAATCGTTACAGAAAATAAAACACAACATGCTTTTAATGTTATGGATAGACTTATGCTGAGATAAAAAAAAAATATATACGAATCCGCAATTATGCACGCACGCTTTCTCTCTCTCTCTCTCGCTCTCTCTCTCTTTTTTTTTAAAACTAATTCTTGGTATTTAGTCGAAATAAAATAGCAAATTGTGTAATTGACTAGAAAATTGCCTTGTTGATGAAAATGACTTGTTGCGACGAAAAGACTTCCGACTTTTTAGGTCCCTCTGAAAATTTTGCATAGTTCTTAATCTTTCATCTGACACCACCTAAGAACATTCTCATCCGTGTTACCAGATTTTCTACTGGCACATTTGTTGATGCACTTGGTTCTTCAATAGTTCTTGCACATTCATTAATTGAATGTGCTTGAAATTAGCATCGCTTAACGTTCTTATGATCGAGTTGTGATCCGTGAACTAATAGATCTCTGACCTTTCGTTTCATTGGCAAAGTGGGAGATAGCAGCAAGTTTGCGAAGTTTTTACTAAGAAAATATTTTTTGATCATCCTTTTCTGTCATTTGATGTAGAATGCATACATTTTAACAATGTGATATTTTCCATTTCCATTGTGCAGAATGCAGATGTGCACTTGTCAGGCTCTAAACCCTGATTCTGCGTGGTCTGCAGATTCTGCGATTCGTCAAACTCGCATCTTGTAACAAATTCTTGGCATTCATTTTTATGATGTTACGTTCAATTTGATACAATGACATTTGTTTTGAGATTCTCTCTTTACTGGACCATCGCTCTGAAAATATTGGTCTGAATTCCCCAGCAAATTTGTACAATACACTACAAATATAATTAGTATGTTAGAGACGTGTGTTATTTTTATTATCTTTACAGCTTATGAGACTTTTGTTTAGAAAGATTTGGTTCACAAAAGAACTTAATATATTCAATTTGTTTTCAAGATAGCTTAATATTTCGTATGTTATAAATTCTTTTGCAGCTGTGATTGTTGACAGTTACGTCTCATTCAATGCAGTATTGACTAACATGTTAATGGAGTTTTATGTATTTTTTTTGGTATGGTTTCTTCAAAGAGTTTTACAACACATGGAAGACTTTTCAGCCTACAATTTTGCAATTCAAGATCATTTTCCTTCCTGTACATACTTTTTATTTACTTTTCTTTTCAATTTCTTTTTTCATCTACAGTTTCAAGATACGATAACTGTAATGGATCCAGAAAGACAGAGGCAAAAAGAGTTTAAAGTTACTATCAAATTTGCAACAAGAGTTGATTTAACACCTTTGTCGACATACATGAGGAGTGGAACAACTTTAGATGCTCCTCAACAAGCTATTCAGGTTTTGGATGTGGTTTTACGAAGTGCCCCAGCCTTTCGGTAAGATTTAGTGTAGTTGCTTTGTTAATTTTACTGGCATTGTACCACTATATTGTATATTGGGTGTGGGTGTGTGAGCGTGCATATCTCTGTGTCTGTCTGTGTGTGGGGGTGTGAATTAATAACTAATCTGGCATTGCCTCAACATTGTCTCGGTGATATGCTAAATAGAGATCCAATGTTAATGATGATAAGCCATTAGACATTGTTTACACACATGCACGCTCCCTTCCTCCCGCCCCCTCTCACACACATGTGCACACGTATGTTCACCCTTGCTCACACTCATGCATTCATCCAGGCTTCCCTGTTCACCTTGCACTAAATGCTCGGCCTGACCTATAGACCTTGGCCATCCCTCTCATGTATCTCGCCTTCTTACCCGTGCCTTGCCCACTTGTCCTCTATTCACTACTCTAGTGCACTGCCTCCTTCACACACACTACTCTTATTGGCCTGTTTCTGCCCTCCCACCCCACCTCTGTTGATCTATTCTCTGCCCATCGCACCACCATCTCTGCCCCAATGGCAAGTGGTATGTGAACTAGTTTGGTTGGAATTGCTCTAAGCACTGTGTGTGAAGAAATGTGCTGGGACATACCATATCCTATTGCTAAAGATATTTAAAATCTCAATTGTGTAAGTCAACAATTGGAATGTATGTGATTAGTTATTTTTTTGCAGGTTTTTGCCAGTTGGGCGGTCATTTTTTACCCCTCCGTCGGGAACAATTGAATCATTGGGTGATGGCTATGAAATATGGTATGGACTTTTTCAGAGTGTGAATCTTGGGTGGCAACCGTTTGTGAATGTTGATGGTGAGTTTGCCGAGCAACTAACACCTATATTAACAAATTTTCTTTAGAACTGTACAGTGTGAACCTTTCACTGTAGTGTTTCAAAATACTTAAAATTTATTTACCATTATTGTAATTTTTGGGTCATCTTTCATATTAAAGGGAAAATCATCTTACAGTCATGGTGGCTTACTGTTGACAAATGTGTGATTATGGGCCAAATTTATAGTCAAACCCTAAAAAATAAAAAATAAGGAAACGATTAACCAATAAGGAGTTCTTCAAAATGAGGGGTCACTTAAGGAGGCTTGTATTTCATAAACATCTCGTGTATGAGCAGAAATGAGTGTTCCTTAAGGTATTGGAAATGTTGCAACATTGCGTTTCTGAGAGCTGACCCTATGTTCAACAGTGGTAACTGTGTTTTGGTTGTGACGTGTGTTATGTTGACAATTTACATTAGACACAATTTTACCAAGCTTATATAGGTGAGCATTTTGGCTTTTTACCAGTTCAAAATGCAAAATCTCTCAATCTGATGGAAACAACAAAACTCTTGATGTTCCATTCCAATGTTTCTGTATAGTCAGAAATTATTTGTCACTCTGTAGCTTGACTAACTTTATAGAGATCAATGCAATCTAAAAAATGATATAATTTAATTTATTTACATTTATCATATCTACAATAAAATGAAGATATAAAAAAATATCTTTTCTTTCATAAGATTGCAAAAGATATAAAATATCTTGTGCAATCTTACAGAACGAACCTAAAAGAATTAAGTAGTGTATAATCTTAATGTTATTATTATTATTATTATTATTATTATTATTATTATTATTAATTAAATCGTAATAATGTTATAGGCATCTTCATAGGAGGGAAGCCTCTCTTTGTTACAATTCTCCATGTGTCGATGAGAGGAACAAAATTATTTACAACTGTGATTTTATGAAATTTTATGAAACCACCTTCTAAATTGTTTTCTTTGCATATTTCCAATGGATTATCAGCATCTCTGATACACTCCTTCATTACACGGATGATGTTTTGAGTATAACACTCACAATACTCTAAGAAGTCATCGGTGTTGCCATATCACGTAAACGTGTTTTCGTAGACTTTACTTAACCAAACCTTCTGGCAAATGAGGAATACTTGCGGCAGAGTTTTGAATTGGAATTTCTTAAGGAACACTCGTTATAAGAAACAATTATGAATTGTGCTCTAAGTGTAGAATGAGGATTTTAGCAGAATAAAAAGCATTTAATTTTATTATTTCCGTTACTATGTTTGAATTTCATGAAATTTAGCAAAGTGAATTTAATATAATTTCAAAAAAATGTTCAATGTCAACATTTGCCATCCAATTAGCTGACTTACGTGGCTCAGGGCATCAACCAATGTCACTGCAGTGCCTAAGATTGAGAAGTCCTAATGTTCGGGTCGTGACAATTGCAGGGTTTTTGACACTGGTTAGGTAGCTAGGTTGAGTTCTACTGCTTTCTGAAGAATTTCTAATTTTAACCCTGAATGAACACTTAAATGATGTGATAACCTAGATAGCTCAAGAATTGTCATTTTAGAAATTCATGCATACGAAAGGTCAATTGCGAAATATTGGGGAAATAAATTAAAAACTGAACTTCTTTCATTGAAAAGGAACTCCTTTTAAATGACTTTTTTAATAAGGTATAACATTTTCATCCACAAGTCAATTTTCTAGCCACTTAGACAATTCACAATTTTATTTTCACTAAATAGGGAAAATTTGTTAAAAATTAATTACTAGGGTAAGTGCTGTACATACACTCCCTTTTAAGTAATAGAATACGAAGTGACATTTAATCCTAGAAAAATATTATAGTAGAAGTCAAATCATGCATCATAGAATACATTTTTCTGAACAAAAGAATGAACTATAATGGTGTTCACTGCACAGAAGGGTTTCAGATGACGTGAAGAAAAGAGAGATTGGTGCCCAGGTTTAAATATTTTGCCATTTATCAAGAACTACTGAAACAAAACGTAATCACTGGAGTGTTAATTGAGAATTTTCTTTGAAATATTTCAAGTTTCAGTGTTTATAGCTTTATTGAATGCTGTTATAATTATTTTGTTTGTTTCTGTAGTTGTGCACAAAGGATTTCCTAGTTCTCTACCTGTCATTGAAGTTATACAAGAAATTTGTGGTAATAGCAGATACCCTGTAAACTTAGACCGTGGTTTGGAAGACTATCAACAAATGGATCTCAAGAAATTCTTGGCAGGTTTGTATCATCTGCCTTTCTGACTGCAAGATAGTTGATTTAATGTTGTATAATTTGCTTTTTGACTATTTATTTATTATCATCTCCTATATTAGTATATTAGTTCTGTAGTATACATGTCTTCTGGGACTCTCACACGCAATCAATCAAAAGAAAGAGAATTTTACAGAGATGTGACGAATTGCACTTTGACTTTAAAAACATGAAGGATTTGTGAAAAAAATGCTTCTAAATATTCATGTCAAAAGCAACCTGCTACACTTTGTCAGCTATATCATTAAAAAACTCCTAAACAATGTGTTTTTGGGCCTTAAAAACTAAAATTTTGAGACTAAAGGCCTCAAAGAAACTTTTCTGACAATGTAATCTACATGATAAGATACTCATGGACATTTTATTACATTTTTGCCGGATTGGAGCTGCTTTATACTACCAATATCACATATGTATGAAGGAATACAGAATATATTCCTCCATGATCTACATTAGTCATTGGTGCTTGTGGCCATCTTTGTGAAGTCACACTTAGAACACTCCATCTTACATTTATGCTTTCTGGGTACACCATGGTTTGTGCAGACTGACGAGGTTTATTTACATTTTATTAATTGAAGATTCACACTCGCCGTAACAAGTAGAAGTACTATTGATAGTTGCTTGATACCAATGATCGTTTATGCGTTTAGTATAGCTGTTCATTTAACGTTTTGCCTTGGTCTACAAGTACTGTGTAGCTAATTGTGGAAGGAACTATGATGGAAACAGACCACATGTTCCCATGTTTCGGTTTCACGATACCCCCACGAAAAAGTATGGTGGTTTCACGATACCCCCATGCAAAAGTTCTTTCATGGCTACGCTAGTTATTATTATTTTTATTATTTGAAGCTTATTATTTCCATGCATTAGCAAAAACCGTCCTCATATTTTCGTGCACACAATGTCCTTACTTTAGCTCAGCCATCGTTTTTACTTTTGCTCATTTACACATCGCCTCATTGTGGCCCATTGCTCGTGAGGTGCCATGTCCTTCCTAAGCAATTTCCTTCCTATTCATTTTTTTAAAACATCTGTACCACTAGGACTGCAGAAGGGAAAAAACATATCTAAAAGGTTAATGGTTTCTAACATATTTTGTGTTTTCAGTTTTGTTCTGATGTCTTGGTTTCTCTTTCTGTCAATCAGCGTATAGTGAGCAACATCTTACGAACCTCATTTCACTAGCTTCAATTCACCTTTCATCTCTTATCCTTATGACTGAATTTTAGCTGTCTTGTAATGCAGGTAATGCCATACTACTAGTGCCCAGTAATGCAGGTATTACCATTACTTCATAAAACTTAAACTGGGTCTCTTTGTGAACTTTCTTTCCTAATGTTCTACATATAGTAGAACCCTCTAAACCAATCCACGCAAATCTGAAATTTCTGATAATTCAAACAAAATGTGAGATGGAGAAAAAAAATCAACAAAATAAATAAAATGCTTATTTGTTATGTTAAGAAATGAGTTTATAATTATTGTAGAACTGAACAAGTAATTATTAAAAGAAGTTGTCAAAATGAAACGTGAATTGAAAGGTATATCACATGTTTACATGGCAGTAATTTTCACTTAGAGGTACTTGCAAAATCGGCAATCTTCTTTTGGTGTCAGGAACTGAATCTGCTTAATGACACAATGTGGTTGCTATGCTATTTGTCATTTTCTCACATCACACATTACCTTGCAATTTGTCTGGTAATATTATAGGTGTATTTGTATGTGTATGGCACATTTTTTTCGGATAATCTACACATTTCCGAATCCGGACAGACCACACTCATAATTGGTTTGGAACACCGGGGTTCTACTGTGGTCTTGTTCTGCTGAAATAAGTGAATGAATTTAGTTCAATTTTTGCTCTTAATGGATCCTAAAATGTTGTGGTTTTTGTTTTTGTGGTGATTACAGTTACATTAAGTTATAGTTGCTATCTGTATTATTTAATTTAAAAGTACTTATTGTAATTCATTTTCATTTCTTGAAATTATCACTTGGTCATCTGCAAAGTAGTGTTGTAAATCAACATTGTACACTGGATATCACAGATTTTAAAATTTGTTATAGTTTGTAGCCCAATTCTGGTTACTTCGTCTATGTAAACATTGAAATGAATGTGTGACTGTGGGTACCGTTCTTGGATTTCTTGATTTATCTCAGCTATTTTATTAGTGCTGTTATTTCTTTCAACTTGTTATTACGTATAAGCTTTGTATGGCTCTTTTTTAATATTTCCCCTTATAGATCTGTCCACTCTTAACAAAAGCCTGTTCATAATTGATAAAGGTTAAATGGGTTGAGAAGTTAAATTCTGTTTCTCTGTAACCTCTGTTTCAAATGTATGTAATCGGAGCATGATCTTTCTTTTCAGAAGCTATGTTAAGCATCTAAGATTGATGTATCAAGTATAGGTGTAAGTCAATTGAATGTTAATGTAGCACTTATGTAAACACTTATTAGCTAAAAGAAAAAAATAGTTATTGTCTCAAATCATAGGGACTAAACTATAGAATTGAGCATATTAATACTTGGTGCGAACACTTTTAGCGAAATTACAACATTCGACTGGGCATGCCTTGAATGATGTACTTAAGTTGTTTCTTTGTTGTAGGATGTTTTGCCTTCACTTGCTTTTTAAGAACATTCCATAGTGATTCTATTGGATTCATATCTGGGTTATTTCCTGGCCAGTCAAGCTTACAAATATCACTGGAATCCAATTCACTCTTCAGTTTTTGATTGGTGGCATTGTGCATAAATATGTCTTCCCAATTTGAAACCACTCCTTCTTTCTTGGAACACACTGTCGCTGATAGAGACAGGAAAAATATGTAGTATGAAACTTCAAAATAAGTACATATGTAATGGAAATGGGAAGGATATGTAATAAATACTTAAAATCAGATATAATATGTCATATTGAAATACTCTATGTATAAAACATGTTAAAATAATACAAAATTATATTTACCATACAAAAAATTTCCTAAACAAATTTTAAAAATTATTTCGAGAGCACAAATCCATAGCACACTTTACACCCTTTGCAGTTTAGCAGACCTTGAGCAATGCCAGCCATTGTACAAATTGGCAATGTCTATTATGAGCAAATAATCACTTCAGTGTACAAAACTCTCATTGAAGTATTTGGTACACGTCGGCAATAGCCAAATTTTCTCATAAATTAAGGTTAAAGGTCATGAAACGACATCAGTAATACTTTTCGCACATAGATTTTCTCAATAATGCAGTGAAAAATGATTTTAAAAAAATAGTTCTTATATAAAATAAAAAAAAAAATATATATAATAAAATTGAAGGAAATCTACAGAACAAAAATATTTTGTAAAAATAGCAAAATGTGTAATGAAAAATGCGGATATTGTATTAGGAGTGTGACAATTTGCCAAGATAACAATTTTGAGAACAGTAAGTAGAAAGGCAAAAAATATGTACTTTCCTAAAAATCCAATCTACTGATGACTTCTTCATACTGTTTGCTATTCACATTGCTCTATGTGAATTTTGCCTGGTCCATACTCTGAAATAACCCTGCACATCATCATTTTAGTGGGCATCACATTCTTTCTTGAAGGCATTCCCTGGCTGTCTTTGGGGGCTGTCGTCCATAGCTCAGATGATAGTTTCCACACTGAATACAACCTGAACATTCAGCAGTAAAAAATATTTTATTTATCTGCACATTTAAACAGCAGACATACTTCCATATTTCCATTACAAACGTTCTAAAAGTAGGAAAGAATGAAATTTAATTTATGAAATATATAAAATGACCTACCTACTTTCTTCCTCTGTTGTTTTGTCCATAAATGTCCTCTGGAGGGGTTATAGGACTCTCACAGAGTAAGATCTTGATGGGGCTGCCATATGAGAGCATTGGATCCTGTACAGAGAAGGCTACCTCTTCTGTCTGTTTTACCTGTGAGGAATTTAATTCCTTGTGCTGGTCCAATCGTTAAGGTCTTAGACCTTGTCAAGGGGCCCCTTGCTAGGTGCTATCTGCAGGAGCCAGCTGGACCAAGATTTATGATGGTTTCCTCGTATCACTCACCTTTTGTTTGGGCTTGTAACAGATAGATCTTGGCTACCCTAACTTTGGGTCCAAGTTGGGATATAAAATTTCTAGACGTTAGCATGGCTAACAAGATATTGTGACTGTTCTTTTTATAAAGAGTTAGTTCATTTAGTTCTAAAATGAAGGAAAACTATGACAATGACCCTGATTTGCTTTTAAGGCCAGGAATTTGAATTCATTCGATTTTAGCCCTTTTTCTAGATTTTTGGCCTTAATTTTGTTCTAAATGATTTTTATACAGGAAACCACTTCCTGGAAAACATTGGCAATTTCAATTCCAGAAAAAATACAGGGAAAACATAGGGAAAGAAGCTCTTGCATTTAAATCGTTGATTGTCGATGTAGAATTTGAGCTAACAATTAGTCCCAAGTGACAATTATTTATGATAAGAAATATTTCTAATTGAGATATCAATTTTCTTCAAAGTAGTGTAGAGAGGCAAATGTTCACTGATTATAGCGGCCTCGATGTTTTTGATTTTTTACTTCAATATTTATATTTTTTTCTTTTGCACTATTTTACTAGCATTAAGGATGAGTGTATCTGTTTTTATGTTAATATTTTAAATATCTTTTAAATTATATGTGAATTGTAATTGTTTAAGTCGATCATACATGTTGCTTGACATATTTAGAATATTTTTAATTCCTTTCTTTCTTTTATGTTCTTTATTTTGTTTTTTATAGTGTACTATGTTTCCATTTATTAAATTAACAATGTAAAAGTATATTGATAGTTAGTAAATATTAAGTTAATTAAATAATGTGTTGATTCTTTGTGATTCATAGATGATTTCCGAAATCTGCTTTAAGCTTTATATTTCGTAAAGAGACTTTTTTACATTGTTCCATTATATCGGTTGATGAAGCTTCTGCAGTTCAAAGGCGATCTATAAATTATATTGTTTTTGTCTAATTCTTTGTGGGAGCTTCTAAACAATTAATCCTATGTCTTCATTATAGTTTTGTTTCAAAATTATTTTTAGGGTTAAAGGTTGATTATGAGCTACCCAATAATCCAAGTTCGAAAAGAACCTACAAAGTTAATGGTCTGGCCCCACCAGCTTCATCTCTTACGTATGTTTGTTATAGAATATTCTTGAATAAACTTATGTTCATTACTTCTAAATATTCAAATGTTGAAAACAATTTCTTTATTTAGGTTCAAACTTGACAATGGGACAAGTGTGACAGTTCAGCAGTATTTTGAGCAAGAAAAGAGGATTCGGCTAAGGTACAAGAATCTCCCATGTCTTCATGTGGGGTCCTTGAGGCGTGAAAATCCTATATATGTTCCCATTGAGGTGCGTAAACATTGCAAAATATGTATTTATTTATTTAAATTAAACATGCAGTTATTCTGATTATTAATTTTAAAATTCATAAGGTGACACAATTTAATTTTAAACTCGATTGTGCAATCAACTCTTTTCTCAGACATGCATAACCACACATTCATTCACAAACCCAAACACCTGAAAAAACATTAATGTACATGCCCAGACACATTCACATGCAAGCCCCCCCTCCCCATGCACACACACCCACACTAACTCAACTCTCGTATTTGTGAGCATGCGCACCATTAGGCCCACATTTGTGTGCTTGCCAACACTTGCACATGGATGTGTATGCCCACACACATTGTAACATATCATTTGCGTTCAGTATTGCTTATTTTACATTTTGGTAAGTGTCATTTAGAAAGTAATTCATAATAATACCCATTCTATTTCCCTAAATTTGGTGGCATTGTTATCTAATTGAGAGATAGAAGACCATTTAAGGAATCTGAAACTGCCCTTTGTGCATGCAATCTAAGCATTAGTAAATATTTAACTGCAGGAATACTGACATAACCCTTGAGACTTACGTGATGACATATCTCACTCTGAAAGAAATTCCTCAGCATGTGCAATGCCATCTCTTCCACAAGTTTCTATTGCGGTTTGCTAACAGATGGAAGTGTAGTGGAGGCATACTCTGCTAGATTGAATATTCTCACTTTTAAGTATCTATTTTTGTGATTATATATGGCTTATATGAGCCGCATTACAGTACTTTCTCTTTACTGTGTAAGTATATAGTAGTCAAGTGAGTGAAATTAATACAATATCTTCAGGAGAACATACATACCAATGTATAACATTTCATACAACGTTAGTATGTAATTGGCCACATTAATATTTCTCTTTGATGTACTTTCCAGTTTTGCACAGTCACAGCAGGTCAAGTTACACAGAAAAAACTTAATGAGCGACAAACCTCAAATATGATTAAGAAAGCAGCAACGAGCACAATGGATAGAGAGAGGAAAATTAAAGAAGCAGTAAGTTTCCATCTAGTTATTGTTGTTATTATTACCATTATTATTAATAATAATAATATAAATAATAAAAATAATATTAATATTAATACTTATATTTTTTTAAATATACAACTCCAAACTAGAAACTTATTGTTGCATTATATTGTTTTTTATTTAATGTAGACCATTATACTTTCAGCTATCAAAGGCTCAGTTCAATTCAAGCCCACAAGTGATGGAATTTGGACTTCAAGTTAATGAAAATTTTACAGAAATTAATGCTCGTGTACTTAGTCCTCCTCAATTGGAGTATAAAGATAAAGTTGTGAGTACATTTCTTTTATGCAATGATCTCAGAAATATATAAAAATTGATATTAATTTGTTTGCACGTCTACATGTTTTTTCATGGGGAAGGTTTATATGCTATTCATTATTTTGTAACTTCACCAGATGGCGTTTCGGTTAAATGTAGGCTTCATTGTTTGTGAGCATTGCCAGGTGCCGTAGGGTGAGGTCGAGAAAGACAGGAGGGGCAGGTGGCATGAGATGGAGAACCGAAAGAGGAGATGGAGAAGGCAGGGGGGGCGGGAGAGAAATGATGAAGGGGGGGGCGGGGGGGCAGGAAGGAAGAGAGAAGGAGAAGAAAGTCTGTCTGCTGGATTTGCTAGTTAGTATGTATGCAGGAATGGGGAATTGGGAAACCTGGTGAGAAGTCAATATTATTAGGCAATTCTTGGTTCTGTAGTGTTTCTACAGGCTAAGTTGTTTACTGTTAGAGATTTAACAATCTTCATTCAGTCATCAGTTTGGTTATGCTCCTTTTTATTATGTTCCTAGTGATTGTGTAGAGAATTATTACATTTTTACATGTCACTAAACCTCCATCTCTTGTGATCTGTGAATGCGTTGTGGGGCCATCTTGATTTCCAAATACAGTGATTAAAACTTCTTGGATATTTATGTAATTACATTTGTTTTTAACCTTTGGACTGCACTGGATGTGTTGACACACGGAATATTTTCATGCTTGAGAGTCTCTGAAGGGGTCCATCTGCCCGTCGGGTGGACGGTCCGTTCGTCCGTCGATCCATCTGCCCATTGGTCTGTCCGGTCGTCTGTTGGTTGGTCAGTCCGTCCGTGTACAAAATGGCTCCATATTTTTTGATTAAATTTTGTTGAATAGTACAAAAATTGTATAAAAAAAATTCAAAATTCAAAATTGGAGATAGATTTTTGTCTAAGACAAAGTCTGTTGTACATAATTAGGTCTTCAAAAACTTTCACGCACAATCTTTTGAAAAAACGCATAGAAACTCCAACAATTCTCAAAAACCACTCAAAATTTTTCTTAAAGTGTTAACCGCATATGTAATAAGGAACAGTAAGAAATATGGTGCTAGTCTCATTTTCAGGTATTGCTTTTTTGTTTTGTTTTGTTTTGTTTGTTTTTTTTTTAAATTTTGAAAATAGCAAAAAAAGTTTCAAAATTAAAAAAATGAAGATTTTTGCCTCAGACAAAGTCTTGTGTACAAAATTAGCTCTTCAAAAAATGTCATGTACAATTTTTGGAAAAAACAAGTAGTTTCACGTATTTTCTGCTTGAAATTTATGAAATATATACAGGTTTCACAGAAACTAAAAACCATCTTCCATTTATGGCAAAAATGGTGCTTTAAGGAAGAATTGATAAGAACATATGTAAGAGCATATTGTAAGAGACAGCTAGCAAGAAAATGACAATGATGATGATGAGAAAAAAGATCAAGAGCAGGAAGCAGATTGCACACCGACAACCATTAATTGTTTTGACGTTTTGAAGAGTTTTAAGGGATTACAAGTTTTTGCTATTTATAAAAATTTCCATCTTTTTAACAATAATATATTGAGTAGTTAGAAAATATTTTTTCACAGTTTTATAGTTTTTTACATACCACCAATGTATTAATTTAACGAAGGGAAATAATTTTGAGGCTTCTTATATGGGAGTAGTGTGGGGCTGATTTTGAAGTTGTACAGCAGAAAAATTGAATTTCCAAATTTCATCATCAAAATGGGTCAATCCAAAATGTAAGAATGGGATCTGGAAGTTTCGTTGGTGTAAATGTTTAGCATGTAGGATATTTCTTCAATATAAATGTTATGAATGAGAGATTCAATTTTTTGACAAGTGAATGTGTGTTTTAGAAAAACCATACTTAGTTCATAGTCAACTGCAATTAACCCTCTCCAGGTAAAAAATATTTGTTGTGTTTGTGAGTGTTTGTTTCAGATCAATTTGAAGGGGAAAATTTATAAGAAAGGAAATGTTAAAATAAAAGATCATCAACTTCCACTGTATTTCTTTTTATGAAACAGAGATTGTTCTTTTTATTCATTGTTAATGCGAGAATTCAATTTTGTCCCATTGTTATTGTTGGCTTACTCCTGGTTGAAAACAGAAGGAGACGATGGATCACAATTTACTTTTTCAATTCAACCAAAATTATCTCCTGAAAGGGTTTGATAAAGAAGATTTACAAAAATTCATCAAAAAAATACTTCTAACCCAAGAGTGTCGCGATGTGTGAAGTGCGACGTGCGTTCATTTCTACTAATTTCACCATTAAGCACAAGACATCTGATAGTTATTCATTTCATTGTAAATTCTATATTGCATATTGTTTTTATAAAGCATCCTTTTAAATTATTACTGTAGTAGTACATGATTTGTAGTAGTAGTAGTATTAGTAGTAGTAGTAGTAGTAGTAGTATAGTTAATAATAATAATAATAATAATAATAAGTGATGGATGATGATAATAATAATAATATAATAATAATAATAATAATAATAATAATAATAATAATTAATAATAATAATAATAATAAATAATAATAATAAATAAAAAATTAGTTTGTAATTCTGTAATTCTATTGTTGTGTTATTCATGAATGTTGTCATTATCAGGTTTACTGGCTTGTCCATTGTTCGGTAAATATGCAATATCAGTATTTTGGTAAACTGTAGTTCAATGTTGTTCTTGATGGTTCCTTCTATAAGTCAGGGACATCTTACTGAATTGTATAATTTGTATAATTCACTTTTGTTAATTTTTTTATATAATGTGTGCATTATCTTTGTTTTAATAGGGCCTAATACCTAGCAAAGGAGTCTGGCAGGCTAAAAAATTCCTTGATGGAAGAAAACTTGAAAAGTGGATTATTTTGCAGTTGGAATTTCGTATGCATAATGAAGATATTGGGTAATTTCTTAAAAGGTTTATTTTATAATTGCATATCAAGTTTGGAAAATGATTAGCATTATTATTCGTATTAATTTTTGTTTAATCTTAAAAACATGTTCTATCATTTTGAATTGAGTAAATAGTTACTTCTGTGGTAGACAATACTGTCAGTTTTGTAATTGTTTGTGTAGGCGATTTGTACAACTATTTATCCAGCAAGGAAGAAACTTGGGCATGGTTATTAACGAACCACTTCCAACCAAGACAATGGATTCAAGGAGGATCACAAGGGAATTGGAACCTTTTCTTCGAAACTGTTCAAAAGATGGATTTGAGTTAGTGGTGGTGGTTGTACCCGACAAGGGAAATGAGTATGGTAAGTTTTATGAAAATCATTACATATTTTTGAGTTCATTTTCTAATAAAAATTATTCAAAGTCTGCATTATTTTACATCTGTGACAAAAATAAATAATTATTTGTTAGAATGATTGGAACAAAAGCATTAGTGATTAATGTTGCAATGAGATAAAATTGAATTTTTGAATGTAATATACTACTCTGTTAATCTAGCATTTGTGAAGCAGACTGCAGAATTAGGTTGTGGTGTATTGACGCAGTGTGTTAAAGCTTCAACAGTATCCAGAAGAATGAACTTTGCTACTGCCCAAAACATTTTGCTGAAAGTTAATTCTAAATTGAATGGGGTCAACCATAGTATGCATGGAGTATCAAGGTGAGCAATTATCCTTTTCTGGAACTAAAATTATTATTCTTTGACACTCTATTATTTTAATCTTATGCTTCACAAAAAAGATGAGTAAATTGGCTTGAAAATTAATTATTTTCTATTCAAAATTCATCTATGAAAAAAATTCTTTGATATATGCATTGGACAGTAATGCAAGTGATACAATATGGAAGGAAACAAAAAAGAGAGATTAAGGAATTTATGATGGTGAAAAGAGAAAATTACTACATTGGCAGAGAATTACATATAATGCATTACTTTACGTTCATTTGCTTTATAAATAAAATTTTCCTGTAGCTTTATTATTGATAATAATAATGACAGTTTGTTTAATTAAAAATAGGATTTTGGTTTAAACTTATGTTCTTTGTCAAAAGCTATTAGATATGGTACGATAAAATAAAATGCTCAATCTTTCCCTTCAATTTAGAGAACATGTTTCCTTTTATGTTCACTGAATTGTAAGGAAGAAGCTTCTAAGATGGTATTGTGTTTTTTTGTTTTTCTCCCTGAAATTTTATAGAGGCAGAATAATTTGGGATCAATAATTGTTGTAGTCAGAATCTTGTACTAATTCATTTATAGTATGAACTACAACAGTGGTATTTTGAATTTAGTGGTCAATACAATTTAAATCAATTTGATTTGAAATTTTCATTAGTCTGTTTGAGCGTGAAATCTATTGTCTTGCTTTCAGACCGGTGATATTTAATTCTCCAATTATGATAGTTGGTGCTGATGTTACTCATCCTTCCCCTGATGAAACAAGAATTCCATCTGTTGCAGCAGTAAGTAATTATTTTCTTAGAGATGTAGTCTTAAAAACGTGAATATGCTTAGTTTTGTTTTGGTTCTTTTGATGATGTTAAAAAGAGAGTAGTGTGTGTTATGTTAACTAGACTTACTTAATGATATTTGATAGTAATAATGGAAGTGGAATGAGAGGTTCAGTAAAACTTTGTTATAATGTTGTTGTTTATAACATCCCAGGTATAACAAATCGATTATTTGGTCCTGGTGATTTCCCTATATGTGTAATTCTATTTATTCCCACCTTTAATGAAATCGCCTGACCTAAATGCCTGTTTCAAACAAAAGCAGTTTTAACAAGAGCGTTTAGCAACAACTCACTACTGGATTTAATTCATGATCTTTTCTCATTAAGGGTCCAACTGTATGGAGGCTGTACTGTGGAGTCTCCCAAGTTGCAATTTCTGGAACTCACTCACTTGATACTCATTCATTTCCTTTGGATACGATATGTTTTAATGATGACTACAAAATCTAAGGTTCCTGGTGGCTTAGCTCATTTGTCAGCATGTTTGCTTTCAATGACTCTACCCCGGGTTCAATTCCCTTTCAGGCAAGATTATAGTGTGCGTTTTCCTTGCAATGTCCCAGTACACATTGCTATGTGGTGATGAGAAAATTCACTTCTCAGGTTGAGAAGACCAGAATACAGTGTGGGGATATCTGGTTTAAATGGTTTGAAGTAAAGCTACTGGAAAATCACGGAAATGAAAAAGATTCTTTTGGGATGTTTCAACAGTTCAGAGCTGTAGGTACCCCTTTTATAGGAACATTTTGTGGGAGAAGGCAGCAGTTATATTCAGGGAGTCCCACCAACCATGGACCATCCCCCATACTTCCAAACGGTTCCGGATATCAAAATGCAGTTTTCAACTCAACAATACAGAATTGTGGGGCAAAATGGTGTAGAGATATTATTTGAAATATTTGTCGTTTTCAAGAAATTTCATCTTAATCATTCTTTAAATGCAACCATGTGTTCTCAATTGCATTATATATTTTTCTATCAAGCGAATGATAGATCATAAATTAGGAATGCAATGATGTAATGAATGTTCAAGTTCTGACAATATTTTGATTATAGAATTTGGTTTTAAATTAAATGTGCAACATTTCATGTAGCAGCCCTTGCGTCTGTCACTTTTAGGAAGGGTGGCCTTCGTGGTGCTGGCACTGTTGCAGGCAGAGGAGGCCAAGGAGGCTACGTCCCCAAAGACTACCCTTGTATGGGGCGAAGTGGCTAGAAGAGTCACTGAGCAGCGGGAAGCTGTCAATTCAATGCACTAATATTGGCAAATCCTTCATATGCTTCATGTTGTTTAACGGCTATTTTTCTAAACATATTGAAAATGGATTACATTTATTATTATTATTATTATTATTATTATATTTTTTTTTAGTCATCAGCGCTTTCAATTAGCCTGAATTGGAAAATGGTTTGATTCACAGACTATTCCCACTCTTACATTCAATATCTGAGCTAACAGCCAAATTCTCAGATATAAAACAAAGTGAGAAAGGTATTTGCTGGCAGGGATAACAAGTGGTATCATATGGCAGAACATTGTGGCTCATTGTGACATTGTTACATCAGTGTTTCTCTAAGAAAAGTCATAGAATTATTTCATCAAGTCTCTTTCCTCCTCATTTGTTTTTGCCGCAATTTCAGAACTTTTATCCTTCTCTTTTCTCTCCTCTCCCCCCCCCATGCTCCATCCTTCGGCTCTGATCACATACATAATTATTGAAATAAGTGAGAGAATTGAATTTTGAATTTCAGGTTTGTGCAAGCCATGATCCAAATGCTTTCCAATACAACACTCAGTTTCGATTACAACCAGCAAGAATGGAAATAATACAAGATTTGCAAGAAATTATGAAACAACATCTTATTTTCTTTTATCAAAGAACTAAGGGGATGAAGCCTCAAAGGATATTGTTTTACAGAGATGGCGTTAGTGAGGGCCAATTCCAACAGGTAGAAAAATGTTCTCTAATAATTGGTGAAATGATAATACCAAACAGGTTTCACAAAGAGTACATTTTGTGTTAATGGATTTCTGTTTCGTTAAAGATTGTATGTTAGTTTTAAATTTGATATATATATATATATATATATATATAATAATATATATATATATATACTGTATATATATATATATATTCATTATATATTTATATATATATATTCTATATAGATTATAATGTATATATATAATGTATATATATATGTATACTATATTATGTTATATATATATCGTATAATATATGTTATTATATATGTATATATATATGTATATATATATTATATATGTACTAATATATGTATGATATATATGTATATATATACTGTATATATATATGTATATATTAGTATATATATATGTATAATATATATGTAATATATATATGTAATATAATGTTATTATATATGTATATATATTATGTATATGATATATGTAAATATATATGTATAATATATATGTATATATAGTAATGTATATATATATTGTAATATATATGTATATATATATGTAGGTATATATATGTATATATATAATATGTATATATATATGTTTTATATATGTATATATATAGTATATATATATATTATAATAGGGTGATGTATATGATATATATGTATTATATATATATGTATATATATGATATGTATATATATATGTATATGTATATATATATGTATATATATATTTATATATATGTGGATAATATATGTATATATTATATGTATATATAATATGTATATTATACATGTTAATAATGTAATATATATTGTATATATATATTGTATCATATATATATGTATATATATAGGTGTATATATATATGTTATATGTATATATATATGTATAATATATATATAATATGTATATATATATATGTATACATGTATAATATATATGTATATATATATATGTATATAATATATTTGTATATATATATAGTAAGTAGTATATTAATATATATATATGTATATTATATATGTATGTATAATATATATATAATATGTATATATTATGTAATATATATTATATAATGTATTATATATATATATGTATATATATATGTATATATATATATATATGTATATATATTATGTTATATATATTATATATATATGTAATATATATGATATATATGTATATATATATGATAATATATATATATATATGAGTGTATATATTATGTATATACTATTATATATATGTAATATATATAGTTATATATTATGTATTTTATTATATATAGTATATGTATATATATAGGTATGTATATGTATTATATATGTATGTATATATGTATAAAATTGATACATATTAATTCAAAGAAAAGGCAGAAAAAGCTTTCTTTCAAAATGTGAACATTTAATTCAAGAAAATTTAAAATAAGAAAAAGCTCTGTGCTTTTCCATCTATTTCAATTGTAAGGAAATTTTTGTTAAGGTCAATTTCCTATAAATGGAGTAAAATAAAAGTTTTCTTTAATACTTGCTTCAATGTGTGCTCGTTGGTGCATAGAGTGCTGCTAGCATTTAATACTACTACTTGCAGCACTCTCTCGCCAGTGTAAAGCTAGCATAGGTGGCAAATCTTTAAAATGTGTTATTTAATAATAGAAGTTAGGTGAAAGTCTTAATCTTCAGTCATTGTTCCTGATTGGGAAATTATTTTCAGAACAATCCATCTCGGAATTAATGTTGTCATTAGGTGATATAATATGAACACAAAAGAGAACAATTGAAATTCTATAATTACAAATATTTATAAAAATGCTCTTAATGTAATTATTAACAATGTGACAGATGTTTAAACAAATTACTTTTGTGTACTTTTTCACAAATCAAAATAAAACACCAAAATAACATGTGTCAGGTTAGCACTTCATACAACATTAGCAGTTCATACAACAAGTTAAAGAAACAGTTTGGAGCTGAACTTGAAAAAAAATTATTGGAAAATCTAGTTTTTAAAATTACCAGAGATTACTCATATTTACAATCTAGTTGTGCTAAAACATGTACTTTCTCGCCTGTATTTTCCTGCAAAATTACACGAAAAGTACCCAAATTTTCAAAAAATTATACATCGCCTTATTTTAAAATCTATCTGTAAGGAACAGGTTTCATTAAGTAAAAGAATATCTATCTTTAATATTTTAGTTGTAGGAAGCTTCCGGGATAATTTTGAACCTTCGCTATTGTCTAAAAATCAGGGATTTCAATGAACTTTGAGACCTGCTGCATTCTCTTAAATGTTGTCCTTGATATATGTGGTGTGCAAATACTAAATAGTTTACACTAAAGTTTGGGATTATATAAAATTATGAATTCTGTTTCAGTTTTCTCAAAGATTTTTGTTGGGTTTCAGGTCCTTGACAGTGAATTAATTGCAATTAGAGGTGCATGTTCATCCCTTGAAAGAGAGTATAAGCCATCTATTACATTTTTAGTTGTTCAAAAGAGGCACCATACAAGATTTTTTCCCATTGACAGGAGAGATTCCGATGGAAGAAATTGTAATGTCTTACCAGGAACAATCGTTGATACAACGATTACTCATCCCACTGAGAGAGACTTCTACTTGGTTAGTCATGCAAGTATTCAGGTATGTCTCTTTAAAATATTTTTGCATGTTTTTTGATAAGCTTAATTTTTTGAATTTATTTCAATTTATTTGCATTTCTATAAAGTTATGAAAGATGGATATAATGTGGCTTTTTCTTAAGTGATCCTTGTAAATAGCTATACAAATACAACCAATATCTCAATATTTTAAATGCTTAGGATAAAAAGGAAATTTTGAGTTTTGGTATTTAAGAAATTTAATATTAGGAGAGTAACGGTGAAACTGAACTTCTGTTTTACCACCTTCAAAAGCCACATTCTTCTCCAATGGTTCTTTTGAAATCTTGCCAAAAGTTGTGTGTAGTCAGGAATATAGCATATTTGGTGTTGTATTTGCTAGCATGTGAACATTTAAAATGAACAAATTTAATTGAATATTGCGAACTAGCCATTTATTGACAATTAAAGTAACTTCGGCAATTGATATATAATAGTTCATTGAGCATTTTAATTTTCTCATAAACTTAATTAATGTTGTAATTTCATATCAAAACGAAACTCTTGTGCAAAAAAGAATTCTGATTAATAGGTCACCCATTGTACATTTGTTTTAAAATGATGCCTTTTTAATTATCGATGTGTGTGTGATGAACAGTACTGTATTATTTTTTTTAATTTTTGCCCCTCAGGGAGTTAGTCGCCCTACAAAGTATCATTGTTTGTGGGACGATAATAAGATGACTGAAAATGAATTGGAGGAACTGACATATTTCTTATGTCATATGTTCTCACGTTGTACTCGAAGTGTGTCATATCCAGCACCAACATACTATGCTCATCTTGCTGCATATCGAGCAAGAGTTTACTTGCAAGGGTAAGTAACTCTTTGTTAAGCTATGGAATACAAATGAAAATCATCCCCAATTCTGAATATTAAGTAGAACAACAGGAAGTTTGGCAACTGAAACCACATATTTTTCATGAGTTTTCCATTTTGTGTCCACATCTTTAACAGAGCTTAAACATCATTATTAATTAATAATTTTTTCTGAATATCTATTTGGATTGACTTCTGAGACCGATTTCATCCTCCCAAGTGACAGTTTTAATGATAATTGAAATTTCTTCATCTTCTTCAAAATGTTTCGCATAAACATACTTTTATGTGCCTAACAACTTGTCTAGACACATGTCATTCATGACCATGTGAAGAGACAAAATTTGGTTATTTTAAGGTGATCAGAGAGAGATGCATGACCTTAGAATGTTTGGGATCTTTTCTGATCCAAGTTGCTAATGATGTTTTGCAGAACTGAAAATTATTTACATGAACTTCTTCTTTTAGATATGTGATATGTCCAGTTTTACATGTGCTGTAAACTTGTCAGTATTTTAAGTTGTTTTGGTTTGAAGTAGTTAGATTTTTGTGTGGCTGGGGTAAGAAATGCTCCCGAAGAGATTCCAAGATACACGTCTACATTGTAACAATAATTCTAGAAATGTATCCATTTCCATTTTATAATATATTGTTTCTGATTAAAAATCTGGCATTTTTGTCTATTACAAGTTAGTTGCTTTGTATCAGACATTCTCATGCTGATGGTAGATGGTATGGTATGGTAGATGACTATGTACAGTTATGAGGATATGCTAGAATGTTTTTCTGGAAATATTATTCTGTTTTTTTAGAATGATATAGTAAATAAAGCACAAAAATAGCATTATTTTCTTAATTAATAATGCTAAATAGCATCCATGCAAGAAATACAGGTAAACTGTTCGTCACAGCGTGTAAAGTCAAATCTGACCCCAGAGTCCACGTAAGTAATGGAGAAACAGAATCGAACGGTTAACATGTCCTTTTTATTGCATTACTTGAAAGTTGATCTGTTCTTCTAAGTTCTTGTAGAGTTTGAATCAATTTCTCCATCTTCTAGTTTTTGTGTAATAAGACTAAAGTTTGTTCTTTTAACATGGGGAAAATAATGAACTTAAATCTGTCCAAAGGCAGACTTTCACATACTTTCTAAAGGCAGGGTTGCCAGATGATTACTGTGAAAATTAGCCATTGAAGGGACAAAATTTCGCAAAATACCTGAGTGATAAAGAAAAGTGATCATTGAAAAATGCGGACTCAGACACTCAGGCTGGCAATTTCAATATAGCCATATGTTCACAATACGTTTAAAAGTAAATTTTCTCATGAATAAAACTAGCTGTGATAAGCCTTCAATATTTAAAAAATCTAACAATTTTTAGAAAAAGTTGCACAATTGCATGGCTATTTAATTAAAAATAAAGAGGGCTCTGACATCTCATGTAATATATTCTCACAATATATACTCATACGAATTGCCTCCCTCATTTGAATCCACCCCTAGGTTCTGCATGTTTGCAAGATGTTCAATACTAAAATTCTTGTACCTGGGACATAATCTTTCAGATGCCAAGATTAATCCATTTTAAGTGGTCCAGAATTTAATAAATTGGTCGCTCAACCATCTCGAAAAAAAATTACATTTTGGACATAAATTTCCTTGGGTTTTGGCTGTTCAAAAACATATTACTTTTTTTTTTTATTGTTCCTGGTTTACAAATGGAGGCCATTTTTGTTTTGTGCAATGTGCCATTTTTTGCGTTTGTAGACATTTACTCTTTTGTAAATTACTCAGCTGTGTTGTTCTAGCATTCTAAAACAAAAAGCTGCGGATTCGTTATACTCTGGCCAACAAATCAAAATATTATTCACATTCCTTCTATGTGTTTATTTGGGAAATATTTGCAACCAAATCTGTGGAACATGAATGAACCAAAACCAATTTTCAGACATTCACATTATTTCTCAAAGAAGGAATAGAATTGCAGCCTTAATTTTTTCTGTGCTCTTACACATAACATTACAGTTACCTATTGTAAAATATCATTGGTAAATAATGTACCACTTGAAAATTACACCCACTTAAAAATTGGAATTTTGGATATTTTCCAAATTTTCAACTGTAATATCTCTGCTGGAGGAGCAGATAAAAGTTTGAAAATTACATACATGCTAGATCGCTGTGATACCAAACTTCAGTAAAAATTTCAACTTCTAGATTTAACTTGGTTTTTTTGTTGTATTTTTAATTGTAAACTTGCACAAAACAAGACATCATTTCCACATTGAGGATACGTTGTACCAAGTAGTAAATTGTTTAACAAATGTGTTTTGTTTATTTTTTACACATTTGCACGTTACTTACTTTTTATTATTTGTTTACATAACCTGTGAATATTAAAATTTAGGCATATTTTTGCCCTGACCATCCAGCCTTTTCTACTGAATCACATCTTCCCAATCATGAGTCGTCCATCTGTCCTGTATGATGACTATTCTGCTAACATCTCCTGCCCCACCTATCAACCCTTCTGCACCTGTTCCTCCTGCTCATAACACTGTCCATTTCCCCCGCATGCCGTGACAGCCCTGCCAACTCCTATCACCCTGCCTGTCCATCCCCTTCTACTCTATTCCTCTTGCTAATATTTCGTTTGTCTCCCCTGCACTCCCTATCTGGCATGCCATGGCCATCCTGCAAATGCTCCCCCATCCTATCCAGCCCCTTTTGCTCTATCTGTTCTTCCTGCTAATAATCATGCTTCATCTGTCTCCTGCATGCCCTATCTGGCATGTCATGGCAGTCCTGCCAACACTTTGTGCCCCACTCATCCAGCCCCTTCTGCTCTATCTATTCTTTCCGCTCATAACGCTTCGTCCATCTCTCCTGAATTTCCTCTATAGATTCCATGGCCATTCTGCAAACATATCCTGTCTCTCCCATCCAGCCCCATGTTTTTCTCTTTTGCTCTGTGTGTTCCTCTCTCTCACCACGCTTCATCCGTCTCTCCCACACACCCTACCTTGCATGCCATGGATATCCTGCCAACACCACCTGCTGCGCCCATCCAGCCCCTTCTGTTCTATCTGTTCCTTCCACTTCTTCCATCTTTTCACCATGCCCATTCCTTTCACTAGGCCTGCTCTTTTGCTTCACTATGTCTCTCTCTCCTTTCACATCATCTGCTCCTGTAACGCTTTTCGCTTATTCTGCTTTGCCCGTTCCTTGATGTATTGGCCTGTGTCTGCTCCTTCCGCCCCTCCTGTTCAGTCAGCTCTACCCACTCCATCCATTCCTGTTCAGCCCCACCCTGTCTCATCACCGCTCTGCAACAATGAAATATCGAAACATTGAAGATTGCATTTAACTTAATATTAAAAAACCTTTTGATGTAACAGATTTTAATCACAACCGTGCAGACAACAATTGATTTGATGTGAGATTAATTGAATTGTTTATTTCAGAAACCCATCAAACCCCAAAGTTCTCATTTCGAGAAAACTGAGATAAAGTCTCCTGATTTTCAGCTTTTTTTGGGGGGTTAATATACGAATATTTTTTATACAGAAATGCACTAAACAATATGTCTATCCTCCTGGAAAAATAATCCGTCGCCAAAGTGTGTTTTGTATTTTGACGCTTGACAGTTTCCTGAAATAAACGATTCATTTTCAGTTATCTAATAAGTAACTTGTAAAAGTATTTAAAAGCTGAAAATTCGAAAATCACAGACACTACATATTTATCTGAATTGCTATTAGTAGATCTAGTAAGCTACTATCCTAAATAGTTAGTACTGAATCCATTGATGAAGCAATGTGAAACTAATCAATATATTTGTGGATGAGAAATTGAACATGTATTTAAATTAAAAAAAGTGTGTTTAATTCTTTAAGTAAATGGCTAATTTTCATTTGCATTTGTTCAAAAAGTTATTCTTTTATAATGAAAGTTTTTAGTAACTAGAGAATTTTTTTTGTGGAAATGTGCCCCAATAAAGTGATAAGATATACCTACTATTTAAATCCGGTCCTGGGATTTGGAAGAAAGTTAGTTTCAAGCTAGTGGTCATTACTTTATTGCTGGCACACCTCTAATTTATATGCTTTCTACTTCTGACCATTTTTCAAGAATTTTTAGGCAATTTTAATTTGTGGGGGAGGAGGGGATGTGAATTGCTGTGTGTGCAAGTACATGTTATGGTTCATGTCTGAATCTGGATAATTTGCTAATTAATAGGTTAATATTCATGTTATCCAAAACGGGTGAATGAAGTCTGAAGTCAGCTTTGAAGTGTCCTTCACATTTTCGCCGTGTGTTGTTGACATGTCAGGGAAGATAAGAGTACATTGCAGTGACAAATTATAGATATGTGATAAACAGGTATTACAGTGCTGGAGGGAAATGTGTAAGAATAGTGAGATACAAGGTGTGTAGTTCCACTCTGTCATAAATTTCTATTTACCCTTAACCTGACCTGACCTAACTAAGTTCCCCAGTTGATACTTTGCTATGTATTTCTAGTGTTTGTATCAAGGCTTTGATCTTTGTAGTTGATGTATATCAAACTTGAGTTTGTGAAATTCCTAATTACCAATGCAGTTTTATTCCAAAATTCTTGTCGAACACAAAATACCTCACACTCAGACTATCACCACCTTTTAACCAATGCCTTGCCTTGCAGCTAGTTCTAACATTAGCCAGATAAAGTTCAAAATTATCCGTTTCACATCATTGATACAGTTTTATCCACAGAATGTCAGTTGTGAGATTTAACCAGCTACTTTTATTTAACATTGGCCATATTTCAGTTCTTAGCCTTAACATTCACTCAATGTTTTGGAATCCTAACTCAGTATGTTCCTGATTGGTCTAATTTTAATAAATATGAAACTTATTTAAATGAGTTACTACTTGAGAAAGTGAAACCATGAGCATTTTCTTTATTTTCTAGGCAAAATTTGGAAAGGATATCTGATGACCGCCTGCAAACTGAATTATTGGCTCAACTGCAGAAGCAATCTCCAATGTATTTTGTTTAGTTTAGTTTCTCTCTTTATAAAAGTGTGTTAATGTTGGATGTATATTATTTTGCGAAGTTGATATTTTTTATTTCAATCAATGTTTTTAGTCAAAATGCAAATAAAATAAATTTGGCAAATTATTTTTCTCTTGAGAATATTCTCTCTTCCTGCATTTCATGTGATGCTATTGAATATATATAATATTATAAATAAATTGAAGTCTCTGCCTCAATTGTACATTAAAAGTGTAATTTATTGCCAGTCTCAAAAATAAAATGAGATTTTCTCTGTAATAAGCAAGTGTAACCCAATAATAATCCAAACTGACCATTGGTTTTGCGAAACACCTGTAAATTTAATTATAAATAATAATTTTGGTAGAAATGAAAATTTCAACTTCAAACTAACTACTTGTACTGATATTTAAATTTTATATTGTTGTATTTTTTCTATCTCAAACCAAAAAAGAATATGGCTTTGTTCTTTATTGTAAATGATTTTAATATTTTTAAAATTAGCTTAATAAGTATAAATTTCTTGAAAATGTAATTGAATTATTCAAGTACTATTCATTTCGTAAAACGTATTTATTTAATTATCATCGTTTTAAATATATTTTTTATTGACTGAAGTAGTTTTTCCAAAAATATTTCGGATTTTGTGTAATGCATGGGGGAAAAGTAATAGTGGTGTAATTTAAACAAAAAATTAAAAACAAACTGTACTAATTAATCCTAATTCTCATGTTGTGTCCTGTTGTATAAAAAACACTTAGGGAATAATATTATGAACTTGTTATATTGTCTTCATGTAGTGGTGAAATTCAAACTTATGTGATGATTCCCTATTAAGTCTTTATGTTGAAAATAGGTTAAAGTTAAGGATTTGTAGTTTTAATTTTATCATTCTATTTTTCTCTATGGCAATGCATTAATTTAACAAGTTTTCTTTTGTAAGATGTACTACAGCAAATTAATGTGCTTTTACAAATTCAAAATGTGTATGTTATCAATGTAAACAATTGAAAAGTTCTGATTTTATAAGGGCTCAGATGATTAAGAAAGACAAAAAAAAAATACATTAAATTATGTCAAATCGTGAATAAAAAGTAAAAATTTGAACAAAAAAATAGAATTAAAGTTTTCTCTCCTTCTAAATTTTACATAATGCTATGTTCAATAAATGTCATATCAAGGACAATAACAAAATATTCAAACACTTAAAACTTTTTGGACTACAATTTCAAATACTTGGTTTTATCTTATTGTACCTAGTATCAGTGGTACAAGCAAAATACTGATGTTATGGTTTTATGCTATCTTCAATAGTGTAATAACAATTATGTTAAGTAATTTAGATTTCAAACATAAAACCAATTTTCACATAACAGAAATGGTTAAGTCTTCCCTCACTAACTGCGCATTCGTGGTCAATGTGGGCAAAGCGGAGGATTGCGGCCGGAGACCCTCAAGGCTCCGTCCTCTCCCCGCTTCTGTTCTCGCCATTTGTCAATGACATATCACGAACATAGCTTTTGCTTTACGCTGATGACATAGCCGTCTTAGCAAGAGAAATAAACAGACCACAAATTGAAAATACTTCAAAAACTGATGAACCTGATGCTGAAGTGAACGGAACAAAACCACTTGACTTTATCAGCGGAAAAGTCGCATGCAATCTGTTACACCCGCCCCAAACACAAATATATTAAACGTTTTACACCACCAAAACTAATTTGACTTGGCACACAACTGACATGGGCGCCTAAGGCAACTTATTAGGCGTCACATTTGATCGAAGGATGCGCTGGCATTTACATGTCAGGCGAATGAAAATTACAGCAAAGTGTTCGACTCTTACCACCTCTTTTGAGGGAACACTCCCCTTGGAACTTCGCTTGGCACTCTATAAAATGTCGGCATGTAGCCACCTGCGGCAACGTGGTGGACTACAGCACAGAAGTACAAGGATACACTAGCTAGTACAGAACAATGTTCTACGGCTCATAGCATTCCCTCCGTTTCGGAAACGGTTGAAAGTAGTGTGGAAGGAACTTTATATCGAGTCCTACATTCAATGCGTGAGACGGCTTTCGTTTAAGCTGTGACGTAGCCAGAGCCCTCCACTCCCAGCAACCCTGATGTGGAATATCAAGAAAACTGGGAAACCTTGCGCGTAAGTACTGGCCATCACGATCTAAACATTGTCCCAAACCTTAACCAATGGCTGACCACATGCACAGAATACACATAACTACTCCAAAGTTCAATACACATTTCTTTTAAACTATATTACACGCTCAAATGGAACAAATTAGGAGTGTTTATTGTAGAAAAATAATTCCTGAATAACTGGAAGAAACTAGTGCTGATTGAAATAACACCCAGCAAAGCTCACTGGTCGAAAAGCACTCCAAATCATCATTGCTCTGGCAAAAACGTCCTCTCCTAGACATAGAACCAGAAAGTTACGTACAACTAGCGAAATTGATATTGGCGCTCTAGTGGACACCAAAAGAGATTTCCATTAAGATCAATGACGTATAATGTATAAAATATTTCTAATGCTTTCGTAGGCCGCTTCCAAATTCCACAACTGATGGAGCAAAATATCAGGAAAAAAAAGTATACATTCGGCCTTCTCGTGATTTTCAATGACGTTTGTGAGGAAATACACTTTATATCACATTTAATTGCAGAATGTTACAATAGGAGAAACATCCAAAGTTGTATCAGACGATTATTCACAGTACTTGAGCCAGTGTGTTCTCATTATACGTAAACCGAAGTTGTTTTTTTTGTGTCGAATTTTGAGAATAAACCGAATTGTTAGGTAGTCAAGGTAAGGGTTGAATATATTTTACAAACGTTGAGAAACAGGAATGTATGTTATTATTTATTTACTATGGGAAGATAATTCTTGACGTAAATAAATCAGTTTGATCTTTTAATAACGGAAGGTAACAGGTGGTAGCGCGATTTATTATGAATGATGTACCACAACAGCCAAGGATTGGTGTGTAAAGAAATATTCAAAAATCTATTAAGCCACCTTTGCAAAGCAGTTTCTTGAGTCGGATGAGAACGCAGTACATTTAATAACGACCATTGTCATAATTTGTGAACATTTTGTACCAGTGATCGTGAAGAACATTGCTACCGTTACTCATGAAGTAATGGAGAGGCCTAAGTACTTGAATTCAAAGCCTGGCGAAAAGTTCGATGTCTGTACTGCGTATTTCCGTATATTTTCGTTTAGTAGCCGATTGAGGAATGGTTCGGGAGCATCCGTCTGGATGCAGAACGTTGAATATAAACGGCGTGTTTTGTTCCTGGCGTTCTCTACGGTATACTCTCACTCATACAGCTAATTACATCAGTTCCCCTGCAGTCTCATGGGAACTCAAGTATTCCCTCCGAGGCCACTATTCCGCTATTGCTTCATAACATACTCGCCAATATGACTTCTATCACTCCTACTCCACGCAACGAGAACCGCACTCGACTATTCAGCGACTCTCAAGAAGAAAGACCTGACCGCTCCTTGAGTTCTTCAGTTCCGGCCTCTCTCCTGGAGGGGTAACACCGCGTCACAACCCTTACTGACTGACCTCTCGTACTCGCCATAAATTGCAAGTCGGGCAGTTGCATGTTTGGTCCATGCAACAAACGCCACAAATATATATATATATATATATATATATATATATATATATATATATATATATATATATATATATTACACAATCATCACCTTGAAGGGATGAAAAGGGTTCCTACATCTCGATCAGGTTTTTGTCCGGTTTTCCTGTAGCTTCACTATACGCACGTTTTGTTGAACTCTCCTTTTGCTTTTAATGGTAGGAGTAGAGGTAAGGGCGAGTTACTATTTTGTTAGCAATGCAGAAAAATCGAACTTGCAATTCGTTTACCGATGCAAATAAGTTTTCTATAACTCGGGAACAAAAATGTCTGATGTTTTCAAATATTGCTAATCTTGCGCTTTTTTAAATTTATTTTTATTTATTTATGTTAAACTTGATTACTCATCTTTCACTTATTTATAGTTAAAATGATGGGAAGGGATTCTGGGACTCAAGAAAACGTGCAGAGTTGATCTTCTGCCCCATACGTCACATACAGTTTTTATTGATTTTTACTAAATCTGATTTGAAGAATGTTAAAGCACTGTGTTTCCATTTACCGAAATAATAACGCGTCCATTGTCGCAAGAGGTTGTAGCAGCAAAGCCCGCTAATACATTTCAGGTTTGCTGCCAACTCACCTTCAAAAAACACTTTCAAATTCGTACGTTTGTTTTTGAAAAAATAATACGAAATAGTAAATAAATGAATACTGTTACAAAGAGCGAAATAAGAGAGGCAAAACTGCCCCCGGGGATAAAAATATTTATGTTGAAAATTGAAGTGTAAAAAAAAAAATCGCTAGATTTAAATAAATATACCCAAAGTATTTCGTGCAAATGAAAAACGTATTTTTAGCTAATTTTAAGTTTTTAAATCACATTACGCCGACGAATAATAACTTATTATCCTTGGGATTTTCTATGGATGACAAGGGGTCATCTCAGCATTTGCTCAATGGATCAAGTAAACGTCAAAAACCTGATCGAGATGAGGATCATTGACCCAGAAATTGAAGTACATTACTTGTTACAGGCATATTAAGTAATTTTCAAAAATTACCCAATACAAATGTAAACTAATGCATTATAAATCGTTGTTGTGTTAAAATTAACCTATATATTTGTGTTTTTGATGACTACGTATTGTAATGAACCTCTGGCTAGCCTCCCTAGCCAGAGAGGGGTGTACCGTCACGCAGGAGTGTACCGGTGGTTAGCAGATTTTAGGAGTACACATTCAATTTATTTGAGGAGGGCGTGCAACTTACCTGTCGACCTCTGGGTCGAATAAATGTATATGGTTTACTAATCTACTCTGATTTTAATTATACACTAATAATATCCTTTTTTAGTGTTGCATGTGTGAATGGCGAGAACACAATTGTTCACTGGACTATTATAATTTTTCTTCCATACTCCTATTCTCAAATTTTCTTCTTTATGGAGACGGACCAACATACGTGGCGATGACGATGAGTTGAGACCCGCATGGACGGCACCGGAACAGGAATCTGGAGCTCCCTTGACACACGCCCAGAACCTCTCCTCTACCCGCAAGCTTTTCGTGAAGTCTCGATGTCGGAAAATTTCCAGATTGGGTCGTTAGCAATGCGGCTGGTGCCACAAAAGATTGGAGGTTGCACCTACATCGAATGACGAAAAAGTAATTTTCAAAATTCAATGTACGAATATGTAAAAATTTAAGCAATTCAAATTAATTAAAACTAAGTTAAATGTAAGTCTATATTGAAACGTTACTTACATTTTTCTACACCTCCAGGCGTATTCCAAAATTCCTTCCTAGCAGGTCCAATTCAAAATTGTGCAGTTATGGTACGTTCCATGGAAATATTTGCCTTAAAAGTTGTAAACGTTTGTGACCCACATGTGGTTCACAGACATTAAAACCATTGGGTGTTACGTTTTGTGAACCACGTATATGATTGTAGGATAGTGAACGTGTTAAGTGAATTGTATTCGTGGATTAAAATAAAATGAAAGGCAGTAATACTGTTTAAAACACGTGGTGAAAGTGATTTTATTATGCTCGTGAGATTGGGGCACCTGATATATTGGCCTTGTGATGCTACCTTTTCAACGTGCAAAATAAAATGGCTCTTGTATCATAACTACTTGTTTTGCCTGGGCAAATGAGCGGTAATGCTTTATTTGCTACTTCTCAACACTGTTGGTATTGTTCATGCATAATGCTCTGTAATGATGTAGTATTCCATAGTATTCACATTAATTTGGCATGTAAACAAGCTAGTAAAGTTGCATTTGAGCTGGTGTACTGTGTTTATTGTCTTGTGTAATAAAAAAAATGTTAATTCTATTGAAATTGTGTAAATACTAATTTTACTGCCCTATTTTGACTTTTTTCTTCCATGAAATCCTTATAATTGTTATTGTGAATTTTTTGATAAATTAAGGCGTGATAATTATGGGAGTGAAATTTTAAAGTTCCCGCATAGCTGGTTTATTTCAAATTTACCGGATACTTCTTCGCTATTGGCTGTCCTTTTGCGCAATAGAAATTATACAGAACAATGTGGCGGCACCAAAAGTTAGGCTTTTGGCTTTCCCTCCCTTTTAACATGCCGTCTCTGATAGAAGTCTTGTATTTACTCCATCCTTTGAACAGACGGCGGGGGGCGGGTCTTTATTGCAAAAAGTAAGAAGCGGCAGAAATGATTTAAGGACAAAATGATATTTTTGTTTTTTCATATCCAATAAGAAAAAAGTGTAGTGTATGTACCTGCGTAGTTTTGTAACGTAGTACACATCCCTGTGAAAACTTATGTCGTTTATTGACAACAAAAAATCGCTTTTAGTCTCGTGACACGCTCATGTATATCGGCATTCCATCTTGGTTTACCTGATAGTGTGCGTTTGTAAATCTTCACACCTGGGAGTGTTTTCGACGTACGAAAATCAACAGGTTGATCAGAAATGCGTAGACAGTGTGTATGGTGCATTTTGTTAATTCAACTGCAGATTGTAGTTTCACAGTATAAACCAACATGGGAAAGTTTAGATTCTAGACCTCTGCCACAATGGTATGATGAAGCGAAATTCGGAATTTTTATACATTGGGGTGTGTTCTCTGTTCCAAGTTTTGGATCTGAATGGTTTTGGGAAAATTGGAAGGGTGTTAATTCTAGCACTTACGTTTCATTTATGAAGAAAAATTATCCAGTAGACTTTACTTACCAAGATTTTGCTCGATATTTCAGTGCAGAATTTTATGATCCAAATGCCTGGGCTAACATTTTTAAGAAATCTGGTGCCAAATATATTGTTCTTACAAGCAAGCATCATGAAGGTTATACATTATGGCCTTCAAAATACTCGTTCAGCTGGAATTCAATGGATGTTGGTCCTCACCGTGATTTAGTGGGCGAGCTTGCTGAATCTATTCGTTCGAAAACTGATTTAAAGTTTGGTTTGTATCATTCAATGTTTGAATGGTTTAATCCTCTCTATCTTCATGATAAAGGCAATAACTTTAGTACTCAGTTATTTGTTACCAGCAAAACTGTTCCTGAGCTTCATGAGTTAGTTGAAAAATATCAGCCTGCTGTCATATGGTCTGATGGTGATTGGGAAGCATCTGATTCTTATTGGACTTCCAAAGAATTTCTAGCTTGGCTGTACAATAAAAGTCCAGTTAAAGATCATGTTGTTGTAAATGATCGATGGGGAAAAAACATTCCATGCAAGCATGGTGACTTTTATACTTGCACAGATCACTTCAATCCTGGAGTTTTGCAGCCTCACAAATGGGAAAATTGCATGACTATTGATAAGCATTCATGGGGATACAGACGCAATGCAGAATTATCAGATTACAGAAACACTCATGATTTACTGAAGGAATTAGTTACAACTGTTAGCTGTGGTGGCAACTTGTTACTTAATGTAGGTCCCACAAAAGATGGTGTGATACCTGTCATTATGCAAGAACGTTTACAAGAAATTGGATCTTGGCTTGAAATTAATGGTGAAGCAATTTATTCCACAAGACCATGGACATCACAGAATGATTCTTACACTGAAGGTGTTTGGTATACCACTAGTAATGGAAAGACAGAAGAAAACTTTGTGTATGCTATTGTGTTTGAATGGCCTGAAGAAGGCCGATTGAGTTTAGCAGCACCTAAATTAAATAAGGATTCTAGTATATCAATGTTGGGTACAAATTTTACTTTGAGATGGATGGAGACAAAAACTGGTATTGAAGTACAATTTCCTGATAGAGCTAAAGCACCAAACTGGATGTGGTGCCTTAAAATTAGCAAGGTTGAAAACAGATATACTCCAAATGTTAATTTGCTAATTTAGAATTGTTTTATACATTAATACTCGTTAATGTAATGAGCTAATGTGCAAAACATCTTGTTAACGAAGTGATTTGTGTTTTCTACTGGCGAGTGCAATTGTTTTGAAAATTTATATCATTATTCAGAAAATTAGTTGATGCAATCTTGTGACAGCTAACTGTAATGTAGTGAGAACTAAATTATAAATATTTTTAAAAAAATGTATTTTATTTATTTAAGGTCGCTTTTAATGAACAAAGGTAATCAGCAACAACAATTAGTTAAACATTATATTATCTTACTTAAGTAAATAATTTTTAGTAACTTAAGTTCTTTATCACACCTGTCTTCAGAGCTGAACAATTTATATATGTTTGTGTCTAATTTTATTAAGTTTCTTTCCTTAGAAATACTGGAGCATTCTAGAGTAGGTGTTGGATAGATAATGTTACACCACATTTACAGCATGGTACTGGGTTGGAGTTTTTGAATCAGTGACAATATTTCAGAGTAAAATGACCAATTTACAGTCTAGTGATGATAACTTGCTTTTTTCTTTTAAGACAGATTTTTGGCTGGACTGGGTCCAGAATGGAGTTCCAAACTAGATGCAATTTGATGGTTTTTATTTCCATTGTGAATCCCAATATTTGAAACAGGATGCCTTAAAAAAGCTTTTTAATGTCTTTTATAGTGCCACGAATTTGAGAATCAAACCTTGGAAATTATGATGCCATTTTTGTGGATTTATCAGTTTTCTCATTGCCAGTGATTGCCCTATTTAATGAGATCCAAACAAGTTAAATTTTTATCCCCTTTTCATCGTGAAGAAATAGAAGTTCTTGGATTTTTTGTATGATGAAATTGCCAGAATGTCTATTTTCTATGGCTTTAAGAGTTGACATGGAGTCAGTAAAGATTGTAGTGGACAAGTAATTTGTTGATTTAAAGATTGACTTCAATGCCTTTAAGGCCTGCCCGTGCATTGCATAAACAAATGGAAAAATAATGTGGGAGGCGATGTGATTTAACTATACTGGTAAGCTGAACGTAGACTGCTCACCCAGCTTTTCCATCTTCTTTAGAACCACCTATATATACTTGGTAATAATTGTCAGAGTCTTGTAATATTGTTATTAAATTTTGGAAATTTGCATTGGGACCAGAAGTATGGTAGGGGCGTTTTGGTAAAATCATATTTATTGCAACATTATGGTCTCACCAAGGCAGGATGGGAGGCATACATCTAGGTAAGGTAACTGGTTCCACATCATTAAGTTCCTTGAGGTACTTCGGAATCTTTCTTAGTGGCAGTGGGGTTGAGGGTGGGCTTCATGGATGTTTTTAGATGAAATACTTCTATATGTAGGATTTGGAGGGACATTTATTGGTGAGTAAGCATAATTTAAATACTGAACTTTACATAGTAGGTCTAATGGTAATTGCCCTGCTTCCACTAATAATCCGTTCGCTGGGCTGGTTTTAAAAGGTCCAAAGCTTGAGTGACGTGCACTTGTGATTATTGGATTTAATATGTTCAGAACCTATTCTTTTGGATGCTGAGTTATATATTACTGCACCATAATCAAACTTGGACTGGATGAATGCTTGGTATATTTTGACTAGGCCTTTAGATTGTGCTTCCCATTTGATATGCGACACCATTTTTATGACAAATAAATAGCTTTGTTTGTTGTTTTTGTAGATTTTATGTATAGTTTTACAAGAACTTCAACATCTTTATCCCACTGGCAATAATTTCAATAATTCCAAGTGTTATCTATCTAATATACTAAGTTATTGAGAAATTTCAGTTGTGGACAAAATAGTTTGAAAGTTACATTAGTAATGGAAATGTACATATTTAGCACATTCCGCGATAAATATTGTTCTCTTTACTCATGCAAGAATGTAATTACGATATTCTCTGCATGACCAACTGACCCTGCCTTGTTATGCCAAACTGGCCCTGCTTATTACCGGACCCTTTGGAGAAGACAAATTCTGAGATTGTCAGTTTGAGTTTACCCTCTATTAATCTAATTTAGTAAATGCTTATGGTAAAAGGCACTCCAGTTTTTTTGCAGTTGATCCTTTGAAATTGTATGAAGTTCATTAGAATATGAAAAAAACATATTATTGATATTGTAAACTGAAATTTTTGTACGTAAAGTACACAAGAAGATAATTGGTTTTTGATATCCAAGAATTTACGAACTGTATTAGATATTTTATCAAACAACTTTGCTTCCACTGTTCGATCAGTAATGATTACACCCCATATGATGACCCTCTTCTCGATCGGTTTTTGTCCAGTTTTTCTGATCCATTCAGCAAATGCTGAGCGGCCCTTTGTTTTGCTTCTGGACGTTAATGAAAGCTTCACTATGCGCAGTTTGTTGAACTCTCCTTTTGCTTGTAATGGTAAGAGTAGAGGTAGGACGAGTTGCTATTTTGTTAGCAATGCAGTAAATCATACTTTCAATTCGTGTACCGATGCTAATAAGTTTTCTATAACTCGGAAATGAAAATGACTATTTTTCAAATACTGCTCATCTTGCGATTTTTAAAATTTATTTCATTTATGTTCAACTTTTACTCATCTTTTAACTATTTTTAGTTAAGATGACGGGAAGGGATTCTGGAATCAAGAAAACGTGCGCAGATAATCTTCTTCCCCCTAAGTCACATACAGTTTTTACTGTTTTTGACTAAATAAATCTACTATCCGACAGGATTCGAGCTCGATCATTGCTGATTACTTGTTCTGGTTTGCACTTGTAGTAAGGTTGCTCACTACGAGGACGTATCTCGTGACAAGGGCTTGGTGAATTACTTTGGCGACTCAGTTTCTCTTAAGGTATTCTGTTTGAGCTAATGCGGGGCATCCACAGCAAATATGCTGGATTGACTAGTTGGTACATTTACATAGGCGACACCGGCTATCAATTTGCTGACCCATTTTTTATATGCTCTGGTTTTGACAACTTGGCCTTGAATGGAGAAAAGAAATCTCTGTCTCTCCGGAGAGGTTTCCAGTTCGATGCCACTCCACTAAGCTTTTCTTATCAATGTTCTCCGAAGTTGAAGTTTCAAAAAATCTACCATGAAGTTCCTTTTCGTGCCAGATATTCAGGTAGTCTTGATGCTTCAGGGACCTAATCAAAATCTTTGCTTAGTTGTGCCAGACATAATGAGATCATCTTTTTCCTTGATCACAGATAGCTTTGTGAACGCGAGTTATTGGACAGAAAATGCCGACGTAGCTTTTCATAAATTCTTGGCTATCCGGGAGAGGCCGGGTTTTTGGTTGAGCCAGTCAAGACTATGGAATCGAGCCGCGGAAGCTTACGTGTGCGACGTAGCCTTTCTTCTTGTTGTCGGCATGGTGACTCCAAGTTAACAGGTCCTTTTCCTGCACTACCTCAAAGTACAGCATGTGCAAGGAACTCTGAGGGTGGTGAAGTCGATGCATTATAAGCGTAGTTCTTATTTTTCCTATCAAAAGTCAAAGGATGTTTCTGTGCATTTTATTTACACCAAATGTGTAAGTTGCTATGGGAATAGCCCAAGTATAATCTGGAATTTTCCCACGTTTTGCAGACTTTATTTACTCTCAATAGCATGTTTTGTACAATATGTTCCCAACGTCCGAATCAAAATTTCCCAACAACCGTAGCATTCCTAGATATTTGTAGGAGTCTTGACTGCCGAGATTTTTAATAATTGTCACACTAGATATTTGCACATTTTGTTTTCCGTTTTGGACTTGCCCACGGACAACATGAAGGGTAGCGCACTTGTCAATCCCAAACTCGCTGAAACTCTTTTGACAAGTTCAATCTCGTTTTGTAAACGATCTTTGTTAGAAGCATATAGTTTGAGATCATCTATGTAGAGCTGGTACGAAATACGATCATCAGGATTTTTCTTCACCAAGAACCCGTATCCTGATTGAACATTCTGCCCAAAGAGGTGTGTGGTACACAAAACCATAGCGGGCGTAGGCTGTCCCCTTGAAAGATTCCACGACGAATTGCAATATCTTCCGTCACGTAACAGCAGGTTCCGTTCTTAATCTGCAAATGAGTTTTCCATTCTGACACGCAGTTCTTCAAGAAACCGATAAGTCGATTTTACACAAGTCGAGCACTCTTAGAACCTATGAATGAGGTACCGAATGAAAGGTTTTTTGTAATCTGTCCAGCCTACAGAAAAATTGCGGTGGTGCTTTTGTACTTGTTGCGTAATTACATTGTCAATTAATAATAATTCTTTGCATCCCATATTTCCCTTGCGACAGCTTTTCTGTTCAGCAGCCAAAATGTGCTGGCCAACTAAACGACCATATATTCTTGAAGGGATTATGGAAGTCAATATTTTATATAGTTGGCAGGCAAGTGATCGGTGGATCATTCCTTGGCTGGGATCTGTCATCGGCTTTGGGCCCCGTATACGTTCTCCCTGCCAACAAGTGCTTAGGGAATATAGTTGGACCTTGCAAAGCTTGCGGATGCAGCTGCTATGTCTGCGATAGCCATGAGTGGTATAGCGCCGCGCCTAGTCTGTTGATCTGCTCTAGGTTCACCATTATCCACTGGCACCGATAGCTCATTTGATGCAGTTGCTCCGGTGCCAGAGCATTTCGCGCGGACTTGGGAGGACCGATCGCCAGCGGCTCTATTTCTTCATAACCTGCTCATAAACATCTTCTCCGCTTTCTCGGTTGTCAACACCATTCGAAGAAACTCTGGTATTTACGGCTTGGGTCCGCGTGTCAGCCAGACACGTAAGGTAAAATATTCCCTGCGGTCCAACTGTAACCTTACAGGCTAAGGGAGCTGCTGTTCTATTAGAGAGCCGCTGCTGACCATTTCAGTGATTATTCCCACCGCCTCTAGGTACAGGTCCAGTTGGGTGACCTACACCGTCCTGGTCGACATTTCCCAGAGTTACTCTCTAGTAGCCCTGTGAAGACCTCCTTCTCTCATCAGTTCGCCGGGCCACTCCGCCGAAGGCGCTGGTTACCGCAACATTGGAGTAGGTTTCCGACTTAACAGGGCTCCCCGCGTGAGGGGTGAATGTGGAGTTTTGTGCGAGAGGTTTTTGTCTGGCACATCACACGCCTTGGGCCTCTTATTATTATTATTATTATTATTATTATTATTATTATTATTATTACTACTACTACTACCTTCCATGTCGCAACCAGCTACCTAAGGAGCAGATCTAGGGACTGTCGGTACCTTTACAATACTTTGCACAAAATGTAGGCTGTTCCAAATAAAGTAATTTCTTGCACTTTCCACTCTTTTGAAAGACCTGAGAGTTTAGCCAAGTACTTACACAAATTTTGCGGAATAAATCTAAGAGCTACTATGACTATTGGTACGACTTGTGCTTTTACATCACACATTTGGCTGATCTCGATTTCCAAACTCTAATATTTAAGACGTTTCTCTTCCTCCTTGGTTACGGTGTTTTGATAGCGAGGTACAACAACATCTACAAGTAGACACGATTTTTTCTCCAAATCACGGATAACAATATCTGGTTTGTTTGCTTCTATAATGCGAACCGTTTGAATTTGTTGGTCGTACAATATTGTATAGAGGCCAATAGATGTCAACGGTTTTGGTGAGTATTCGTACCACTTGGTGCATGTGTTTAGAATTTCGAGGGCGGTACAGATCTGCCGGTGGAGGTAACTACACACACTGTTGTGTCTTCAAGTATTCGGTCTTTGCTAGAATTGGACAAGCTGAGACGATATAATCAATGGTTTCTACTTGTTCCTGGCAGATGCGGCATTTATCATCTTGAGAAATTTTGATAACCGCTTTATGATGCTGTATTCTCAACGCCTAATACTGAGCAGCTATTAGAACTGCTTCCGATTCTGGCTTCATTCTTCCCTTTTTAAGCCTCATAAATGATTGATCCGTACCTTGTCCATTCTTTTTAGATATTGTCCGTGGAGTGGTTTGTCTCTCCACGATTTCTTTAAAATTTTGTGTCTGACATTTCATGTTTAGTAGCATCAGAAGTTGAATGTTTGTGTTATTCTGGGTGTCTTGCATAGTTTTCTTTGCAATGCTTCTTGCTGTACTAACAATGCCTCTGACTGATTACATAGTTTCTCATCCCGACTATTGTGCCAGGAGGCTTCAATTTGTCTGAGGCCTCTTTCTCCTTCCTTACGTGACGCATGAAGACTTTGTACTCCAGCTCGAGGGTGGGAGACATGACGCAGTGTTAGCAGTTTTCTGGTTTTTTGATCCACGATTCGAATTTCTTGCTCAGTCTAATCCACGAGTGCGAAACTGTACTCGACTACAGGCACCGCCAAACTACCAATTGCAGATCATTTTATTCCCGGAGTTCAGGGCGGACTGTAGGACGTGTCTAACTCTTCTGTAATACTGCCCACGAATTCTCTCTTTCGTTGTGTCGTTCCAGATGGTCTCACATTCTTCAGTGTCCATGTATTTGTAAGTTTTACCTGGCTCAAGATTTTGAATCACAGTGTGCATATCAACTTCAATGCTCTCTGACGTTGTCACTTTACATTTCTTTTAAATTGATTGTTACACACTTGTCAAGACCAGTACAAAAAAAGAAAAGAGAAATAAAAAATTACCCCCTCTTAGAAATGTTAGAGAATTGCGGAAAATGTTAGGGAGCAGCCGCCCCTGCTCAGGTCAACCGATGTCACTGCAGAGCTGGCGTCCTACAGTTTCCGGCGGTGGAAAGATTTTGGACATTCTAGACAGCTAGGTCGAAGTCAACTGCTGTCTGGAGGAGCATTCTAACGACCCAGTGCACTGATCGGCAGTTTTCCGAGGTTTCTCGCATCAGCACCGGATGAATGCCGAAACGGTATTGGTAATAAAAATCCCGCAAGCTGACGAGTAGATCGGCGTCGATCTCACCTTGCAGCGGAGGAACATCACCACCTCCACCTCCTATGACCAAAACATGCAATATACTTACGGGTCTAACGAAATAGCAGGTGACACGCCTAAAAACACTAACACATCGTTGAAAATAATCAGAAAAATAAATGAAGCATTTATTGTGAAAATAAACATATTTCAATGAGTAACAATGAGGAAAGTGATGTTTATGTCACTTGAATAAATTACTTTTCAGCTTCTATTATTACACACTAAAGGCTATGCATATTATCTAAATTTTTCGATTGATGGCAACAAAATACGTATACTTCGTCTTTTATAGTGAGGCGCGTCAGGGGCAATCTTCACGATTCACCTCACGGCATTTCGCGTCTTTCTCGGTCGTGCCGCTAAATGTCGCATGATCGCGACCATATCAAGACGTGCGCTGTAATTATACTGCGATTTATGCAATTCTGCCCCTGGCAGGTATCAGGTATTGACGGTTTCATCCAATCGGGGGCTTGAACATCACCATAGTGACGTCACAATGAAGTTTAAGCTCACGATTGAATGAAACTGTCAACAGCTGATGTCTGCCAGAGGCAGAGATGCGAAAATCGCAGTTTAGCGTATCCACCGTGAAGACAGGCCTTGACGCGCGACGTTATAGAAACCGAAGTATAAATGGGAACAGCAGATGTTTGTGAAAAGATAAAAACACCTTTTATCTTCAATACTTTAATGACGCAATATATAAAAAAAAACAGCTTTATATACCTGCTTCAATGACTTGTCAAGGTGGTGGTGATTTTGATAACTGTTTTGATAATAATAACATTTACAATTCCCGCTAATATTGTGGCGCATGAAGCTCATTGGCTGCAACCGGATCGGCTGGGTATTAGTAACATAATAACACCACACCCATCTTCTTGCATCATGGGAATAGCAAAGAGTGACTAGGTGCGTGCGTGTGTGCCCGTGCGAATGTGGGGTGGTGTTTCTGAGGTCAATGTACACACTATGATGAATTCTGGCAAATACTACTGTTTCATTTAAATGTAGTATCTTGTAGCGTATTATCAGCTGGGCTTGTATCCAATCAAAAATATTGTTATATGTTTAATTTTAATATTGAAGGTTTCGATTGGATAACCGTGTGACAGCTGATTATCTGTCTTAAGTCACTAAATTTAAATTTGGCAATAGCACTGTGGCGATTGTCACAGACGAGCGTGAGTGTGAAGCGGTGTGAATGGTGTGACAGTGAAGGGGTCTTCGATGTAGTTTGTCATTGTCACAAATTAATTAAAATTAACATTGCTAATGGCTGATGACGCGGATAGTGATGGAGTTACCGATTCTCCGAAGAAAGGTGCGAAAAACCTCAAAAATTGGAATGTTTAATTTTTTAATGCTATGTAGGAAGAATTTTTCTTACACATTAATTCTGTTTTTAGGCCCAACTTTATCGACAAGTACTAGTAGTTTTGAAGCCTTAGATCCTCATGATCCAAATTTGAGTCGCCTTGCTACCACAATGTTTCAGAAAACAGCGGATTATCTATATGGCGAATTAACTGCCACTCAGGTGAATTGGAAGTTTACTTCTATCTAACAAAGTGGGTGAATTACAGATTAATTGTTTTTTTATTATTTTAGGATGATTACCGATTATTGGAGGCGATGAACCAAGCAACAATTGCGAAATATTCAGACATGAAGCAGATTGCCAGCAATGTTGCTCGCACAGTGGCAGATTTAAATGATAGATGTGAGTATTATTAGAAACAAATGAATGTTAGGTATGCGACTGTGTCAAGTTAAAAGGGGATATAGGCGGATTTATGCAATGTATTACATGCAGAAATGCACGATTAACCCTGAATCGCAGAGGTGAAAAAAGAAAAGAAAAACTATTACACAAGTAATGAGAAAAATTATTTTATGCACAATGTTCCATTTTTCTATCCAATATGCTTTAAATAACCTTGGGGAGAGTGGGTATATTATTGACAGAGGAGTGTTTCAGACATAGCTTGTATTTTGTAGTAATTTCAATTCTGTGTGGTTTGGCTTCCTGACTCGTGTTTCCACGCATGTCATTTGGATAGCTTAAACAAAGTTATGATTCTTCAGTTCAAGACCAGTTATTGTGAACTTTGATCATTCACTGAACTGCACACGTATTTTATATATTTCTGTTGATATTACATTGACTGATTGAACAGTTATATGTGGCACTTCAGTAAACTTTGTAGGTATGCTATTCTGAACCCCATTTTTTTTAAATGTTTGGAGAAAAAGGACAGGCAATGAAGTTTATAAAATTTTCAAATCCATCTTTCAATATTCCAAGCCTTAATGCAATTAACTCCCAAAAATATAATGTATTGGGTGTACCCATAATTGAGTTCTAAATATTAAGCTCTATAAAATGAACAAAAAAAGGGCTCAGAGTGTTTTATAATTAGGAACCCCCCTCCCTCCTAAGGGATATCAGGAATTCAAAAAGGAGAAGAAAGTATTATTAAAAATGAAATTTATCTCTTGAGGGAGGGGACAAAAAAGGGTTACAGATTTAGGAACACCCATTTTATGGCCAAAGAGTTGAAGGGATCAGGACAATCCTAACACAATATGCAGATTTTTCTTTACATATTTTGTACAATATTACATATTTTGAAAATATTTTATCCTACCAATTTTTGTAAACTTAATTTTGCCAAAAATGTTTAATGAAATTTCAAAAATTTCAGTTTTGATGATTTTCAAAGGCACCTTTGCCTTCATTGAATGTGTTAACCTCTTAGCTTTTAATTGGTACTGTAGTAGTTTGCAGTGTCCCAATTTGTAAAGATGGGTTGGGGAGGCAATAGTGCTGAAGGAACTATTTCCTTGAATATTTGCACTCATAATGGAGCTTTGATGAATATTTACGTCACTATAAATTAACTTATATACATGAGGATAATTTCCACAAATTTCTCCCGCAAATCTATTAAGTGCTTGTGCAATGCATGTTACATGTGTCATTGTAGGGTAGAGTAGCTGCAAACCTTAGCCAGTTTCATAATGTATCAGGCTGCATCAGGGACAAGGAAAACATTTTCTTCTTCACTCCAGGCAACAACAGCTTCATTACTTATACAAGGTAGCAGCAATTGTTGAGTGGTTGTTCAATGTTTCACAGGAAATAGGAAATTTATGCCCTGCTCGGTCTCCCCCTTAAAACACCAACAACATTTGAATGAATAAGAAACATTTCTTTCAGATGACTAGAAATATAAACAGAAAATAATAAAAGGGTTTAATAAAATCTAAAATATGTGACATGTGAAAATTGCATAATTTTAGTAATTGTAGACTTAAATCAGACTTAACTTATATTTTCCATGGAAATAATTCAAAGTAAAAAATGAAATTTCATAAACATTCAGGCCCTAGTCATTACCTTCAAAACCATAATTTTCATTCATCCATCTGGAGACCAGATCTTGATATTTAGACCAGTTGGCTTTGTTGTAATTCAATTTAGGAAAATTCTGAAATGGGATTGATGTGCAATTAGGGCCACTGATGTTAATAAAGATAGGGAAATTATCACTATCTTGCAGATAACTTTTAGTGCTATTGTTATATCAGTAGGACTGAGGCTACCATTGCTCACATTGAATTAAGTTATCCATTATTAGTGTAAGATTAAGTTTTTTGGTAAGGTGGTGTGACAATTAAAATCTCCAAGGAACACAGGTTTGGGGAGTTATTTGATTGTGTCTTGATCTCATTAACTTAAAAAGTTATAGCTACTTTGTGGGTAAATGTTACAAAAACACACTAATATGAGCTTGTATTATAACATGTACTCCCTTCATAATAGATGGATGTCAGGATTTTTAACTCTTAAGAAATCTTTAACATATATTACAACACTTCTGCTAGCAATGTTGGATGTTAGTTGGTTTTTAATAAAACATTTTTGCCTTTTTATATCCCCTACACAAGTTGGTTTCCTGAATGCAAATGAAGTTACGTTTCAGTTTAAACATAATTAAATTTAGTTTTTCTAATCTACAATAAAACCAGTTGTCAATCCATTGTAGAATATTCATAAAATCTATAAAAAAATTGGGATTGGGTTCTGACATATCAGCTCCTGATTCTGCTGATATTTAAGACACATCTTTTCTTGCATGTACTTTTAAAGGATATAATAATGTATGACCCTGAAGAGTAAATATTTTAAATTGCTGGTAGGAATATGGTACAAAAATAAACAGGAATATGTGCTTGAATTAGAGCAGCTACTTCCTCGATATTAGTCTGAATGTCAATGCTGATTATCAACAACTGAAAAGAAAATGTTTCATTGCGACATCTCAGGAAAGAAAATGGCAGATGAAGTTGCTAAAACACCAACAAATGGGGCCATGTGGCAAAATGTAGAAATTAAATTTCTTCAAAATGCTATTTCTGAATCTTATGCATGGTTCAAAGAGAGGTGAATTGAGAAGTGGAAGCATGTGATTTCTGGTTGGCATCTATTTAATTATCCAGAAGTTATCCCACTCACATATGTACAGACTTGTAGAAAGAGCAGTACACATTGTCGAGGCAGAAACAAGAATCTGACCCTTGGTCACTGAAGAGATGAAACATGGTTGGTTCTACCATTTGCAAAATATGTAAAGAAGATTGCATTGAGCATACTGTCCTGTTATGCAAATTCAACATTAGAGTGAGATCTTTGCTGACTCAGGTGGTTTCAAACCCTAAAACTGAAAAAACATTATTGATTATTTTGCTGACTTCCCCAGCTTGTAGCATTGCATGTGAGCAATGAACATAAGGGTATTGGCAATTGATGGAGTCTGAAATGTGAAGAAGTAGATATTGCTATTATTGTTCAGTAAAATTATGATTTTTGCTTTTTGTCAAAATCTTGTCATACGACCAGTCATCTGTCTATTCTTTGGACATTTGAAAATAAATAAAAATATGATAAATGATAATGCAGGGAATATGGTGAGGGTTAAGAATTGTTTGTTGTTTATTTCTTGTGTGAAATTATAGGAAAAAATTGTCTCAATTGTATTAATTGCATGATATATATTAAATGTGTTAGTGTATGAAATTAATCAGGAATTGTATCATTTATTTTCATTTAGCATGATTTACTGAACTTTATGCTGGAAATGATACTTGAACTCATCAGGATTCAAATTCTCCTATTAATGCCAGTGTTTGTGTTGCAGATCGGAGTCTTCAACCGTATCTGGAACAGATAGATCAGATAGAAGATAGTGTTACAAAATTGGAACAAGCTGCTTACAAACTTGATGCATATTCCAAACGTCTGGAAGCAAAATTAAAAAATTTGGAGAAAAGGTGAAATATTTGAATTAATTGTTAATGTTTGTACATTGTGCTAGGCTCATTTGTATATTGAAGTGTGATTCTGTAATTGTTAGAAGTGTACTATCTTAATTTAAGCAATAAAATAAGTTAGAAAATAAGTTTCTTTCCATAGGTATGATTTTAAAACCTTTTTTGTCATTCAATGATTCAATGAAGATTACTGACTTTTATTTATTGTCTATTCAAATTTGTTGAGATAAATAAATTAATTTTGGAAAAAATGGTGTCATCGTGCAGTAGAAATGAAGTCGGCAATTGCATAATTCCATGGATTTTGTGTGTGGGGATTGCAAGAGTACAATAATGTGTCGTTTATTAATCGTATTAAAATTGTGCAAGTAATATTAACCCTTCAAAGCGGTGCTGAGGGTGAGCATAGTAACATTGCAAGCTGGCTTTAAGTGAAAGATGTGGTCAGCGGCGTCGCAGGGCCAGGTAACTAGCTGAGCACATACGGCGAGGCCTGCTGTGGGAGCATCTCAGCTCAGGCGGCATTGCACTCCCCAACTCTTAAAACATGCTGTTTCCTGAGAATGCATCGCTTCACATCAATAATAATAAAGTAATAATGATGATGATGATGATGATAATAATAATAATGATGATAATAATAATAATGATGATAATAATAATGATGATAATAATAATGATGATAATAATAATAATAATAATAATAATAATAATAATAATAATAATGATAATGATAATGATATTACTCATAATAATATGAAAATTAAAATTACTGCACAACAGCTTTATTCATTTACATCAATGCTTATTTATAGTAGAACATAATTAAAAATAAGGTACAACAACACAGTGACATTTAATAATCCTATGAACATTTTCATATTCATTTCTTGCTTTTCTTCCTTTCAAAAAGGTACGTTTGCAAATACTGACCTTTCAGATCTACCCCTCTCATAGATTTAGTGTAATCAAGAACACTCGCAGGTTTTTAAATTTCTTGTTTTCTTTTTGTAATGACTGTTTTGAATTCATCCTTGCGGTAGGTGCTTATCATAGAAACAGACATTCTATATTAATATAATATGATATGAAATGGTTACCGAGAGTTGGGCAATGTACTCACCTCACTTCAATTTCTTTTCCCGCAATATTTTAGGAACATTTTTTCTCTTCAAATGTAATGTTCCTACACAACCTGTTCCCATTTTTGTAACATTGCAGCTAATGATGGGGAGTTGTAATTGCCCATCCATAAAGTCTGGCCCTTATTTAGCAATGGTTGTATTACATTTAAGGCAATTTCTGTTGTTTTATATATAGTATGTCTGACAGTCAAAGTAATATAATATGATATGAAATAAATAGAAGATGATGTATTGTAAATTAATTGTTTATATAAAAAGCAGCCTCAATGAAATAGAAACACTTCAGTCCATATTAAAATATGTGGATCAAAAACCACATGAATTAAAACTGGAAACTCGCCGTAACACACTGCTTGGCTGTGCACGGCACCGCAAAGAGGCAAGCATCTGTAGATGGCACACTGCAAATGAGAGGAAAGGCAGGTAAAGGTCCCTTCCATCCTGAGACAGCTTATCACGAATGGAAAGGAAATTCCAACCCGTTCAGGTACGGCACAATGTGTTTAGAAAAGAAAGGAAATTGCCATCTAGAGATGGCATAACATGCTGTAGGGTTGAGTATAAAATTATGCATTATGGATTGTGTTTTGAAATTAAATAAGAAACCTTTCCTTTTAGTAACCCTGGCAATGGTTGCCTTTGTGGGGTGGCGTTGAAACCATTGGCTGACTGTGAGACAGGTGGCGAGAGGGTGGAGGCTTAACTAAAGAAATTCTTGCTTTATCCTTTGGTACATTGATTTGCTAAGTAGGAAGTAGAATACCAATAAAGAACATACAAAAATGAAAATTTCACAAATAAAATTAAATCTTTAAAGTACTCTTGAAAGAAAATACTAACTTGGCCTGCACATCCTCCTGATCTCATATTTACAATTTTTTTCTGTGGAATTAAAAGAAACAACAACATGTATGAAAGAGTGTCTTCTCATCTCCAGAAGTCATGAAAATATACAATAATATTTTGAAGTATGGAAACGTTTTTGGGGATAATTGAGAAGAACGTTTGGGGGAACATGAAGGGGAATTTTTGGAGAGACACTGGGGTACATCTGGGAACATTCGAGGCACTCAGCCTCTGATCAACATTTAAGGTACCATACATTGCGCTTGCAGAGATCAGGAATTGGTGATATTTGTGCACCCAAATGCCATCTGGAAAATTGCCAAATAATTATGATGGTGGCCAAAGGTACATCAATCGATCGATACAAAAGTTAATGATATTTAATTCTCATATGAAGTCTTGCTAGCTTACACCATTGAATGAGAGTAGCATTGTTGAAAAATAAGATTTTGACAAAATGTTGCTGATTGTGATTTTAATATGAATTTCAGCTTAGATGAAGCTCAACTGTTAATAAGATCTTATGTTAATTATCATCTGGATGAAAAATTTAATTTACAACTGAACCTTGAGAAAGGTCAGTCTATAACCAGATCAGGCACTACCATCAACATAGTATTCTTGCCTCATTTAGAAATTTTATGCACTAAATTTTTGTATAATACTATGCTGTCATAAATCAATAATTTCGTTTTTGGAATGTGCATCTATGAAAGTTGATGAATAAATAAAAACTATTTTTTTAAGTTAATTTAAAGTTTTACTTGTATTAAATTTCACTGAAACATTTCCTAATCGTATAAGAATAATAGTAGAATTTATTAACAAATCCAAAAAACAGCAATGCTTAAAATCATCTTTAAAAAATTTTCTCGAACCGATCCAAATTTTTTTTCATGGATGGAACAAGGAATGGTTGATGTCATAGGTCTCCTTTTCATTGAACATACTGAATTTTCGAAAATTGCAATTTTTGAAATAATGCGAGAAAGTATGTGCTTTTGAGCACTGCTAGTTTATATAAGTTTAATAAATATATTTTTGTAATTTTAATTTATTTTTATTTGCATCATCATTTACGTTATTAGCAACTAAATACAATATTATGGTTTTATGTTTATGGTTACAAAAACATATTGTATATTAACATTAAAATTACATTAATTCTTGGTTCAGAAAGAATTGAGAGATTAAATTATTTTAATATAGTTTAATATTGTCCCAAACATCTATTTTGATACAAAGTTTTATCACATTAGTTTGGTATTTATCATCAGTTAGAATATAATTAAAACTTCATGTATCAAAAAATTGAGGTTGATGGAATTGTATTGGGGACATTCCTGGAGGATGTGATTGATGTTCAGCAAGTAATTGCAAGAGTTACATAACGGGTTAGATGTTCTTTCCAGTATGGCTATGGGAAAATTTCATATGGCCTGATCTAATGAGTGAAAGGACATGTGAGGTTTGCCTACATTTTGAGGACAGAAAATTCACCACAAGCCATGAGTTGTGCTTGCTTTGAGATTATTCCATTGGTTTGACCACATCTTCCTGACTTTGCCAGTACACTTCAGGTAGTCCTCAATTGCGTAAGACATTTTGTTTTTAACTTTCTATTCCAAATCAGTAAGCAACATAGGGATGGGTGATTTGCCAATTGCTAATTTGCTAATTCTTGCTTCTATTTTGATTGCGATATGGATCATTGTATAAATATATCTGTTGTCTCTTTGTGAATTTAAAGCAAACTGGTGCAGATCAATGGTAGGTGATTACTGGGTGAAACTTCAATGCCATTTGGTACATATGTTGATAAAATAATACATTTCTTAGTTGGATTGGATTTGGCATGGTTCATTGCCATTAGGCAAGCATAATTGTAAGTGCTATTTTTGCTAGCAAAGATCCTAAAGTTGATGTGAAAGGTCTTCCAAAGTTATACATCCATGGAGATTGGATGTTTAAGTCCACTGTTTTCAGTATTATATTTCAAATATTTCAGATATTATTTATAATATTCTTATTTGAGTATTAACTTTCATGATATTACTTTCCCGCTACAGAGTACAGAGAAAGTTATGTAATGCTGCGCGAAATTACTCAATTATCGCCAGAACCCATGTTTTGTGGGTCCTTGATGTCGAAGAGTCGAATGACGTCATAACGTCCGTCCGTCTCTCTCCGACTGTGAACAACGCTAGCGGCTAAACAGTTCTGCCGATTTTCTCCAAAATTGATATTCCCCAATCGTTCTAGCTGATGTCGCGGACACTGTCTTTGGAACCGATATTTTAATTTCGGGGGTACTTTACAAGAAGCCCCTGAGACATTTTCAAAACGTTAAAAAATGGCTCCAAATTTTCTGATTAAATTCTGTTGTTAGTGTGAACGTTTAAGAGAATGGTGCTGGAATGACGGCAAAACGTCTGTTCGTTCGTCCGTCCGTCTCTCCGTCTAAAAAACGCTAGCGGCCAAACCGTTTAGCTACTTTTCTCCAAAATTGATATTCCAATCGACCTTGGTAATGTCGTCGGCCCTAGAATTTGAAACTGATATTTTAATTGTAGGGGTACTTTACATGAAGCTCCTGGGACATATTCGAAATTTAAAAGAAGGCTTCATCGTTTTTGATTAAATTTTGTTGGATAGTGTGAAGGGCGTTTAAGAGAATAGTGCAGGTCTCATGTTCGTTAAAAATCCTGATTTTTCGAAAATTAAAACAAAATTTTTTCGGCGCCTTCCTACAACTACAATTTAGAAGATGCATTTTTTCTTAATGAAATGAGCTAATCGAAAACAGATCTTCCAATAAGGTCATGTTCAATTTTTCAAAAATATGAGTGTTTTCTTGAGTAATTGGGTGTCTACCTTGCTCGTTCGCTCTGAAAATCTTGCGCTTCGTGATCGTTAATTTAGACGAGTTTTGAGGCAAGTGAATGCTAATATTAGTAGTTAGAATATTGAAGTTAGAATGTGTATATTAGAAGTCGTCCATGAATTACATTAAGCTGAAGAGGGTGAGGGGATCTGAGGCAGCGTTTCACTTCGTTACATACGGGTAGGTGTTACTAGTTAAGTGTTATGTATCATTGATATTTATTTTTTACATTTCTCAACATTTGCTGAAATGATTCCTTTTTTATGTCCTGTACGAAAATATTAAAATATTAACTAATTAACTTGTTTTAAAAACCCAAACTAAAGTTGTTTGTTGTAAATTATTACAATAAATGGAAATACTTTTTCAACATTTTTTTTTTAATCTGTAAGATTATGAAGAAAATATTGAAAACTGATATGAAGTGTATTCTAGAATCCACTTAAATTGGTGCTGTAGACTCGTTCATGCATCATCTGCAATGGCACAAGTGTACACCGCTTGTGAACCGTTTCTCACTCAAGCATTCTTCCTTCACACAACTTGCCCCAATCTTATTGTTAGGTGCAGCCAACATCACCAACTATTTACACTATGCTGCATTTTATATGGAACAAAGTTTCATTACAGAAAGGTGATTTTAAAACTATTTTTCATTCTGATTTCAGTTTTCTGTAGCACATAGGGGTTTTGAACAATTCACGATTGATATTTGAACTAAAATTGCATAATTTTTGACAAGGAAAAGTAATTTTTTC